ACTTCGATTGAGACTAAGGCTGATAAGATTTACATAGTAGCAGCATCCCGTTGTTTGCTGGTATTGTACTCGGTACGGGTAATGACGATTACTTGACTTGTGTTGGAAGTCAAGGCACCGTACAATTTATGCATGCAGTGACCATGCCTCATATTGTTGCTGTTATTATTTGGAGAGTCCAAAATTTCAAAGGCACAGTACATTCGTTTTCACTGGCGGGTTGGCAGCGATACTATGTACTAGGTTGCCTCTAGAAGCCCAACGCAGTCCTGCATATGAGTTAGTGGGGGAGAGACCAATAGTAAGAATAAGCTCCCTGAAGAGGAATGTGGGGATCCTGAAAGTCCTTCTCATTTGGTACCATGCCAGCGAACGACTTTTATCATGGAGAATTCTACGGATCTGTACGAGGATCAAGGTCCGATCGTATGTGTTTCTAGAAAACTTGTCGCTCAATTGAATTCACGCCCATTGGCACCGTCGTTTCGATCAACTACCCCGAGACATCCCTGGGTTAGGGACTTCACAGCCAAGACAAGGTATTTTTAGACAGGATGTAGCGGTGGGCTGCAGCTGAGTTGAGGCGGCCATCAGGCAACCGCATTTCAATGCATGAGCAAATTAAACGGTGAGGTGGTACCAAGCGTGTAAAAACGAGGAAAGCATGAGCATGCCTTGTAGTTTCGATCGTGAGCTTCAGGAAGCCCGAGCCCACAGAGCAGGTGAATTAGCACGGAGTCTTTATCTGCATTGTGTCGCCCCGTTATTCCGTACCCTGAATGGAAATTGACGGTGTTGGAATGTGATTCCATAGCCAATGCTCAGCTAAAACCTGGTGCAAGGATGACGCAAATTTTGAGGCGCAAGGCAAGGGAAAGCAAGGACAGCTGTTTACCCACGGCTATCAGTGCAACTCGACAACGGTGCCGAAACGTCGAATATGTAATGGTGATTACGTGTGAGCAACACGTGGGCGGTGGAACCAACCAGCGCTCCAATGCGATTATCAGCAGGAACACACTGCTGCACGATGATGGTAATAATTCCAACAGTTTGAGCTGGAAAAGTTCTCGAGCGACAACCGTCCTCCCGGTCAGTTTAGCACAGGTTCGAAAGGCAGTCTCCCGCAGCTAGGGATAATCACCCGTAGTTATGGGCCTCCATAAATGTGGTACATGAGGTAGCGCTTCAATAGCGCTCCATTTTCAAATACACACTACACACTCAAGAAATAGACATTGTCAGATAAATAGATGGTCCACCATACATACCAGTGACTTAACTACTTATCCACATTACCGAAAGGCACTTACGCCCAAATTACTTTATTCAAAGATTTCTTCATTTTGCGCCATAGCGATGCTAAACATGCATGCAAGTTGTCCACCATTATGATTACTCAGCTTCTTTGAGGTACTTAAACCCGTCCGGAATCTCGCGATAATGGCAACCACTGTGCAGTGGTTGTGACTGGTCGTAGCCACCCATTGAAACGCAGATGCGATAATTCAATGACTGTGTCAATGGATCACAATTGTCGATGTTCGTACCATTCGCATCCGTTTTATCCGCTACACCATACTTTGTTCGGCGCTTCGGTAAACAACGCACCTGTTCGCTCAGGCTGGGGGGTTATTATATCTAATCTCAGCTCAGCCAAATGGTAGACTCGTGATTGCCACTGCTATGGAACCAGTGGGCCACAAATGCGCAATTGGTTCTGTGCTGCGTCAATTATAGTCATCCAGCGCTGGGACAGCCAAAGTTTCCAATCGGTGGCCGAGGAGTACCACCAATGGTTTGTGCGATCAACATGAACAACGAAGCAATTGCTTTAGCTGCGTTCAAGCTCTACTTGATGTTGTTTTAATTGATTTCGGTAGCACATTCAGATTATGACTTGCAATGGGAGAAGCACGACTTTGAAGCTCTCTGTCGATGCACCACGACTTCATTTGCTCACCATTATCGAAGTTGCTGACATGCATCGTGTTGCAAGATACTCTCCCATAGGTCCTCCTGCTAATACGAAATTAATCCGATCACGCTTTAGCCTCGCTCTTACCCATGCTTCTGGGCAGACACATGTTGTCGTCAACTCTGTCTGTTTCACAGCGGTGAGCATGCTGAATGCTACCTCGCCAGGTGCGGGGGTTTCTTATCGTGCATGTTGTAGACGGCTCGCCGGCCTTTCATGAGTAGGCGGTTTTGTTTTGCACCAATACATGTAATCTTCTTCATTGTTACCTGAGGGAAATGTTCAAGGACGGCCGGCGAAGGACTGAATCTTGATATAGCGATGCCGATAGCAAGGGCACTGACCAGACCCTTGCTGCGTGTCATGACGCAGATGGCCCGATGGGTGATAGCAATGTGAAAATGTGAATTGCAATGTTCCGATCTACGACTGGCAGCCCAAATTCATGTTGACGTTCATTGTGATTGGACGCCTTGAACGCCTCAACCTGCCAACTCAGATCCTTTTGCAGATCTATCGGTTGCGTGCTGATTTACTTACTAACCATGTAGTTGCGCATGTGCCTGCATTGCGTATGTACGGAATCGATCGCTCAATTCTCCTGCATAACTCAATAACCTTATGGCAGTGGCTAAACGTGCGCAGTACTTGGGAGCAGGGTCTCCGTCTGATGAGCCTGGTATTTACACCCATTCATTGGAAGATCTCTTATACACCAAGAATTTGGGATCACTGAAGCGATTAGCCCACCACTCATTTCACGGGCCGTCAGTGGCAATTGGTTGTCCGCATCCTAGAAATGGAGAAAATGGTAGTCGGTTGGGACAGTTGAAAAGCTGGAGAAATTGTCGAAGGTATCTAGCCTAGGGAGCACCCGCACCATCCGAACTAAAAGGCAAACAGCCAGCGTCCCAAGTCCAAGAGGTCAGGCCATGATAACTTAAATCTTGTTCTACATATCCTCTTAGGAGAAACTGCCTATGTCGGCCCCGCTCTGGTGCCTTCCGCACAGCGATTATCCCGACTCTCTGGGCACCGCTGTGTTTCACAGAAGCTACCTAGATGGTGACATCTTTCGAAAAGCTTCCAAAAAGGAGGGTATGTTACACGGTCAATGTACACAGTACTGACTCGTCTTCGAATTCAACAAGCTTGGTTCAGAAATGTCCCAGTCATGTGACACTGGCTATATGAGTTCACATCCGGTTGGTCTGTGCATCGAAGGTACTTAGAAAGCTTGTGGTTTTATTACATTGGGAGAGTGCCTCTCCAGCGCAACAACGTATAAGATTGTGACCTTTAATACAGAAGCCGACGACCTGATCTAGTGATAAACGCTGCCAGGCGCACTCTAGTGGTTCCCATTTGAGGTCGATTACACGGATACAGTAGAACAGGCGAACTGGCTTACACACTAGAAATTGACAAACTAACGCTTGTAGGTATTTCTACGATTTAGGAAACTTTTCCGTCCAAGAGGTACGCGCTCTCTGCACAGGCATTGATGGACAATCAACCAGCTTGTGTCCTGCTTGTGTGCATCGGTCCCAGGGGAATGGGGAAATTCAGCTACACTAAGCTTGAAGTTCGTCCTAAAACCCGTGCAGTGATGTAGGCAAGGATAACTCATCACTTCTCCGAGAAACTCCATGGAATACCCACAAGCGTGACCACTAGTTTACCTGCGGCTATCTCCTCTGTCTCCACACGACCTTTGCGATATCGCGAAGTGCCGAAGCCCTACACACTCCTCACTTGAGGGTTGCATCGGTGAGAGAGAGGCAAGCATAGGACCATGTGGTTTGTTGGAAGCACATATGGCCCCCCCGAAGCGTTCATGAAGCTCTGTAGCTGTACTGTATACAGTGGATAAGCATATTTATGGATAAGCGCTGCATTTAGATTGTCAATCCCACGTGCTAGGTCCAATTTCGTCTACCAATTCCTGACCTAAAACGCGCAGTTACGTGGCCACCGTTGATAGGCACGACTATGAGCTCTTCTACCACACCAGTATCGTTTTGTCAGTCAAAAGAACGAATCAACAGCGCACGGCAAAGATCCAACAGATCGGATCATGCATGCATTTGATACTTGCGTCACTATTTCACGATCCTGCTTGCAGGTCTATTTTGCGTCCGTTGTGATGTTAGGAACCTGCTTAGATTAGTCAAGGGAAGTTTGATGTCAGTCGTGCGAGGGAATTGTTCCACCATAGCATAACCAGCAGGCTGTATTTCCGTGTTCTTGAGACGTTGTAGTCGACAAAGTGCTTTTATTGACATGAGGTAAGGGATCAAAAGTTTCTGAACAACAGAGATATCATCCACCAATCCTTTGGGATTTGACTTGGTGCGTGTCCACTCCTTACATTACAAGCTGTAGCTTACTTTCTAAGAATTAAAAAGTGATGTTTTGAACTCGATCCATCCATGACTCGGGATTTTCTTGGTAGGAACCGAACGACATATCCTTGCCGACGTTTCTCATCTCTTTTGATTACATGGTGTATTAGTACAGAGAAGATTTGGTTTTGATGGACACGATGCTCGTAGTTACATTCGGGCAATCATGGTCACAGAGACCGTCATGTCCACTATCTTGGTTGAGTGCTGGAATGGCATGAGAACTTGATACCAAATCCGTAATTGGCAGCTGCATAGCTAAAATCAAATGAGGTGCAGATACCGGTGAATGACACACCTGGGTGATTTGTCGGGTACCGTACTCACCAACGGGATATTGAGCCGACCGTCGATCTCGATGGGTGCTTGTCGTTATAAACAACGTTGCTATGATAGGCGTTACCGGTGTACGACTGTATAACTTAGGAAGTACCGAAACGCACAGATTGAAGATACGCGCACAAATTCTATGCGATGGTGAGAAGGCATCACTTATGTGACCGTCAAACGATCAAATCCGGACTAGGTGTTCTACTGAAAGTCGAGGCTCGACACGATGGTCATATATAGGGCACGCGTTTTGAAAGCTAGGTTCTCGACTACTTTCTTTTCTCTCTTCAAGCAGCGACTTTTTCCAAGACAGCGAAGAACAGTGGCCCCCACCGTCCTCTGCTCGGGTGATCCGGTAGAACAATCCAGCCGTGTCTCGTACATTCGGCCCACTCCTCAAGCCCATATCCAGCCAAGTCACCCCTCCTGACTGCTACGTTCCACCTGGTGCCATACTTTTTCTGCTCTTTTGCTACAAGCTCTATGCCCTTCTCGATCACTGCGTCATTTTCTTCGTTGCTCAACGAACATGTAGCGTAGAGAACCTTACCGCCGATCTTTACAGCACGCAGGGCAGTCATAAGAATGGCCGCCTGTATTTTCGCGATCTTTTTGGACTGCCCGGAACGCCATGAGGCCATCTCATCAGCGACCCTACCCCCTCTTTTTGCCTTCGAATGTGCATGGAGGACATGCCTCTCACTTGAGCATGGGGCATCCAAGAGGACTTTATCATAGCCTCCAGTCCCCAGCGGTAGCGACTGCGCAGCATTGGGGCTGGTCGCATCCAGCTTAAGCACCTTGACCTCGCCAGTATTGAAAAATTGAGCCGGCAAGTACGACTGTAGATTGGACGCGAGGCGTTTGTTTCTTGCGTTGTCGATCTCATTGCTGTGAAGACAACCACCGAGTAGTGAAGGGGCTGCCGGGTCAAAGTTTGATGGGCGCAGTAGCTGTGCTGCAGCTAAGCTCTTTCCACCAGGCGCAGCACAGAGATCCAGCACTTTGTCGCCGGGCTTTGGAGCCAGAATACTGACTGCAAGCAGTGAGGCCGCATCTAGGTTCCAGTGTGTCATTAGAGGAGTGGTCGTTTCTTTACTAGATATAGCTTGTGGTGCTGGGAATGGTGCTTCAGAGGCTGAGGATTCTGAGGTCTCTGCTGTGATAGACCTTTGGTACGAGATTAGACGCGGCTCTGATCCTGGTGTTATAAAATCATCACCGGTTTCAAAGTTGATTAGTTGCAGGTCATTCATGTCGTTCTCTGTGAATGTGCTAGGTATATTGTCTGATTCGTAACGGTTGATAAGCACAGCGTACCGGGTCGGCGCTGTCAAAGCGTGGCGCAATGAACCCTCCCATCTTTCAACACCGTACTGTGAAGTATATGTCCGGTTGAATGAGTCCTCCACAGCCTGAACCTGCTTCAGTTGAGCTTTTGTTAGGGCAGGCATAGCTCTTATCATGGGCTTTCTCTCGCCTTGGTCAAGGAAGACTCCGAACGCAAATTCGATGGCGTGTTAAGTGTTTGTTAGATTCGATGAAGCCTCTAATCAAGTTTGTTACATACGTGATCAACAAGGAAGGTAATAGCTGTATACAAAGCTCAATTTTCAACAGTTGTGCTAAACATTTAGTGAATAATTACTGCAGCTGCTTGCCGGTCCGGAACAGCCCTTAGCAGATGGCATGGAGCTCAATTTGTTTCCTATCACTAAAGCTCCATCTCGAGTGATTTATTCCATGTGTCGATTGATAGTAAGCATTCATCCCTGATCGTGGCGTACAAGCATTAGAGCTTCACAAGAACTTCTCAACATTGTCAATTCACACATAAGGCGATACGACCTTCCCCGGTATGCTACTACAAACAAATGGCGATTTGGATGCTCCATCTTGAGCGTATTCAAAAAGACCTCAGAATGTGAGCAGTCTGTTCCTACTAATCCCATACTTGAAGTTGGTCTGCACCTTTTCGAATCGCATATAGCCGCAAGTCTCGCTCTCGGGATGATTCATTGGTGCTGCTAGGCTGACAAATTCTTATCATACCTCAATTGGTTGGGGCAATGGTAGAGAGCTTGCTGATATGTACGCGTGATTAGCAACACCCCCTCACCCTGGGGCAAGCCATCCGAAAGCATTCATTCAACAAACAAGTAACTTACGGGTTGGCGAAGCTAGATGCTGGCTCAAACTGTGAAGAGTATTGAACACACGGTGGCAGATGTAGCATTCATAGCCATCCCCATTCCACGAGCGGCTGTTTGCCTCGTATGCTGTAGAGCGGGGGCCATTCAAGCATATTCTTGGAGATAATACCACAAGGGTTCTTGGAACGCACAGTATTGTAGATGCTGTCACGATTGAGAGAAGGGGCGCGGGGGCAATTGCCGCTCTCAAGGTGGTGGCAGACTGGTTGCAGTGGCGTAAGAAGCCTTACAGAAGGGACAGGTCATGTTGGCGCCAACGTGGGCGCATGAGTTTCGATGCTATTATAGCGTTTTAGTAACTCAAATGTGCTTCATTAATCACCGTTCCGCTGAGTGTGACAACTTACCATACGCAGGCTGTTTTCATTCATGAATCGTTTATGGCACTCACCACAGTAGAGACACTCGTTGATCTCGTGTCGGTCGCGCTCAACTTCACTGCTGAAGCCATCACCACAAATATGACAGTTGCAGTACCAGTGATTATGGGCATCCATGTGTTGGTAAAGGGACTTCTGAGTTGCAAAGAAGCGCTCGCATGTATCACACTCGTTTGCTCGAGGACGGTGCATTTTTGCATCCATGTGTTGATTTCGTGAACCAAAGCTGCCGAACGACTTGTTACAACTTCCAAATTTTGTAAGTTACATGGTGGACGAGCGTTTTGCGAAAAAGAGTAAGTTGATCCGAGATTTACTTTCATGGGAGGAGGCCGGGTTTGTGCCTTCTCACACACAAAGGCAGCTTTCGTCTGAGTGCTGTGGTACTTGTGTTGTCTTGGTAATCAGGTGGGAACTATCAAGAAATAGTGCAGGTGTCGTTCAAGTCTCAAAAGCCTGGTCTCTTGCGTCAGATTTTGAGAAGGGGTGCGGTTTCTGTGGCTGACACAAGATGACCAATTCAAAGCTGGGGCATGCGAAGGAAATGCTCGTTTGCAGGCAACTGCCTGAAATTGCGTTTGTCTAAGGAAGATACCACCAATGCGGAATAACTTGGTCAACTGGTTGACTAATTGGTCGAGTCAACAATGAAACGGTTTTGGCCCAAGGCAGTGGGACAGAACAAGGTTAGAACCAATGTGAGATTAAATTCAGCGGCCCGGTGAAATAAAGCAAGCTCTGTTGGATGAAAAGTATCGGTGCGGCCCAGTTGAAGCTGTCATCAATTTCTGGTATTTAATTATGGATAAACGGGTTGCATAGCACTAATTAGTCGCAGGCTCATGCAAGTGAAGAATAGTTTCAGGATGTTACAGCCATGCAAGATGGGGTGTATTTCCAGCAAGCGATGCACAAGATACATGTGGGAAGTTATTTCTGACGAGGTTACTAAACTACAAGGGTATATAATCTGATGCAATGACTTCATGATCAACTGCAAGCTCTTTATACTACATTGCTTTTGACACCACTACCAAAAACTTCGTCAGTTCGAGACCTACGATTCCACACAACTGTACCATCGCTGCTACGCTTGAAGTACATGATGCGATGCTGGGGGATAAACTCCTCATCTGTTTGTTCAGCTTTCCATTGGTCCAGGGGCCTCTCTTGGATGCCCAAGAATCTGTCTCTGTAGCCGACAACATAGTCACCACTATCCATTTCAGGGTCCCACCTGATGCGGTTGATGACATCGGCCGACGACCGAAACCTGCCCGCGTAAGAAAACCTGATGGGCATTTCCCTCTCCAATTTACTATGCTTCTTTGTACTTACTGTAGCAGCCTCATCGCCAATATCGTCAAGAGGAGCATCTTCATCCTCCTCATCATCTTCGGATTCGTCTTCTCCGATAGTGTGTTCGCCCCATTCGCGGTGATCTAGCTTGAGATTGCCTAACTCGGATTGGTTGATGATTGAAGCACTCATCCAGGAGGACTTGGTGTCGAAATATTTCTCGTCACTCCTGATCTGCTCTTCGAACTTCTGGATTGCATTCAGTAATGAGCCATATGTGATTTTGAGGTCATCTTTGGTGAGGGTCTGCCCTTGAGCAGCTACTGGTAAATCCAAGCCCACGAGGTAGCAACCCTGATAGTCCTTATCGTCCGAGTCCGAGTCCTCAGCCACAAAACGTGCCGGCCACGTTCTGGCATGGAGGTTCGGAACCCGTCGCCCAATGTCTGCGTAGTGTGAGCATGGAGTTTTTTTTTTTTTTTGTTGTTTTCAGGATTCCAATCAACCTAACTTACCTACAAGTAGCATGACACATCTTGATTCCAGCCAGCCGACAAATTGACTTCCTTTTGCCAGCGAAACACCCCAAAATTGTACATCAATCTTGATGTAGCTCTTGTATGCTTTTAGAAAAGCGTTGTAGCTGTTGTGAAGTTGAGAAGGCTCATCGCCGAGAAAAGATTCCCACGTCATCCCGTCGTAGGATAACATGCGATTTGCCTGCTTGAACTCCTCTGAAATAGTTCGAACTGAAGGCGTGGAAGCAGCGGTTGCAACATTGAGACTGGGAGAGTGGAACCCCAAAATAACCATCGGCTCTCTAGAAGTCCTTACAAACCGCAGGTGTTTGTGAAAGAACGGGTCGAAAACCATTTGATTTGCCCAATCAAAATTTGCGTAGTGGTTGAAGAATGTTTGGACAATCACCGGTACGGGGACCGTCCCATGATCGCGAGATAGAAGCTTGCAAACCCGGGAGAGCAAAATAGCAATATGGATGCCTCCGAGATATCCGAAACGAGCTGCATAGATGCCACGTTGTTTTGCCCAAGTCTTGATTAAATAAAACGCTGTCTTGAAGGCAGCGAAGTCCGGGATTGTTCGCCGTAGGTAGTAGAGATCTCGTGCAGGCTTCAATTTGGCCAACATCTGCACTGGAAGCGAAAACGCAGGGCTATTCGCGGGTAGCTCCATGGCCCTGGGCCAAGTTTGAGCTACTATGGCTGAAGGACAGTATTGCACTACATTCGGGGTTAGCGATTGTTCATTTGCGAAGGGTCGGGATTTCTTTGGGATATGTGAAACATTATAAAGAGCTAGATCGCCTTGGACAGGCAATATAGGCTTGATAGAGATGCTGAAAAGGGTAGAAATAAGGTTCAAAATTTGCTTACAATCCATCTTGATCCCTCCCACTTCCAGCTCAAGCATTGTTCCAGAAAGGGCATTGACCTTTCTGAGTACCTTGATGCCCTTTGATGAAGCCTTCCGCAGTCTCTGGGTAGCTAAGGCAAAGAAAGTTTTGGGGCTTATTGAGCCAATGCAAAGACAGTCCACATCAGAAGCTGCAGTCCAGACACCCAAGCCGTAAGAACCAACTGGCACAAGAACAAATTGAACACCTATACGGCTGGAAACCTCTGTGCGTGTATCAGTATCTGATAATGTGGCACTGAGAAGTGCCAACGCTTCCTCCCGCTTATGAAATTCTGTTACCTCGGGAAATATTCGACGGCGAACAAGACAACTTCTCAGATCGGAAACGTCTGATAAATCTTCAGGCACCGCAGTCAAAGCAACTGGAACCACGAGCTTCGACAAATCATTTGATAAAGCTGTCGAGAACTTCGACTTTATCTCCATAGAGCAACGGATACCCCAGTGGTCACTCGCATAACTGCCTACGCTCATCAAGTTGGCATCTTGGACGTTCTGAATATCCTTAAGTTGCTGACCGAACCTGTTGAAGCCGTTGATAGAGAATAAATTCCCTGGCTTGATAAGTATTCTGTCATACCGCTGAGGCCGGTTGTTAAGACCACTACCCACAATAGCAGCGGCGAGCGGGTTGCGGATAGGGTCGAAAGTAGCCCCTTCCTCTCCTTCGAAAGGCTCAGCATAGTGTCGTTGAGGCTCTGTGGCTTGTGATGTCTCGACATTTTCAAGGCGTGCTACTGTCCAGGCATCAGAGAAACCGGACTCAAGTAGGTACGTCTCCATGTTCGCAAGGTATTTTGCAGTTTGCTTAGAAATGGACTTCTTTTCTAGCGCTGCGCCAATCGTATAGGCACTAGTGGTAATGTTTAGATCTCCGGCCAGTATCGTGGGATTATCAGGGTAGGTACTGGAAAGATGTTCCAAAATAGATTGCAATTCTGACTTCTTTGCGGCCACTGCACCGTCTGTCAGACCACAGGTAAGGTGTACCACGGCCAACACAGCCGGTGTGAACATCTCTCCATCTCGCCTACCGATGTCATCGAACTTGAGCACAACGGAAACCTTATGGCGTCTGTTGAACGAAACCCAATCCCATGTGAAAGACCACTTGCTTAATACGATGACATTTAGATGGCTCGGCAAAGGATCAATCTCTAGCTGGTCAGGAGGTCCGTGTGACACAAACTGATACTCAGTTCTGATATCGCCATTGCGAAGAAGATAGCATAAGAAATCGTCCGTGACCTCTTGAAGTACAACAACGTCAGCTAGCGCTGATTGGTCTAGCAAGTTACTAACAATAATGGAATACCGTGCTTGTGATGGCGGGTACTCAAATTCAGCCAGGACGTTGTAGGATGTAACCTTGAGAGTATCGATTTTGCCAGCACCGGGTGTCCCATTGCTGGTGGAGGGTGTCAGAACCTGCTCCCATGTATTGCTCTTTGCTGAGAAATACAATGGATGCCGAAGTTGTGATCCACTTCCAAGCCGTGCCTCAATATCATGACGTTCCGAGCCTCTTAGCAATGACCTCATCTCGTAGAAGCGTGAAGGAGCTGGTAGCTGATGAAGCTTGAAGTCCTTCAAACTGATCGTTCCCCATAATTTCATTTGGCTTGTCGATTGGCCATTCACCTGCGTCCGATCACGCACAAGTATACAAACTTCGTCCACATCCCACTGGATGGGTGGAATCAAGCCTGCTTTATCGAGCAAGAACTTATGCGGTGCGGCGTTAAGGTCGTCACTCTGGCCGATGGTCATATGCATTTGGTATTTGTCTGCCTGGTGACCCAGCGCTTCCAACATACTCTGTCGGAAATCATTTAGCCTTGACGTGTGGGCAATTTCATTATCGTGGATGAAAACCGTGTTGTCGTGCCGATGATGGAAATAATCCGTAGCATTGAGTGTTATCGACAGGTTTTGTGTCTCAACTTGCATACGTTGGTTCTTTTGTAAATGTATAGAAATGAGTTGTGCGGCTTTCGGTAGGCTATCTGTCTTTACAAAGGGGTATATGAGATTGACATGTGGAGGCCACTTCTCGTACGCCTTGTCATACAACATCCGCAATTTGTCGACTGACTCCCAGTAGTGCCTTGGTGGGATAATACAGAGGGCCGTCTCATTGGATCCAATCGCCACAAATGGCGAATCTCGTGCCGTCTCTGTGGTCGCCATGATTCTTGTTCAATGTTTGTGCTGTATTAAGATTTGGGAGTTTGAAAAGGGCAGAAGTGGAAGAGACACTGCGCTAATGACAAAACAACAAGTTGAAATGAATTGATATTGCCAAAGAATGGTCTTTGTGAATGGAGGGATGATAGAATTATACCAAACCGGGTAACACAAGCAGGAAAACAGCGGAGAGTTATAGTAGAGGCTCAATGCTACCAATACCTCATTTGGGGAAGTTGTGGATTTTCAGTAGTGCTGCACTCCAGCCGCTAAATTGGTGGCGCTTCAGGGAAGCGGTGTTGCGAGGGCCATTCCATTAGGACAGCCCAGGCAAAGGCTCAGCTGTACAATGAGGCGGAGTATACTATGAGTAATGAACCGTACTTTGAGATGTTCTTAACTTCGAGCTCATTCGTCCAGTTAAAAAAGCTGGTTCCGGGTGTGTTTCCCGCTGTGACTCACGGTTTCTCATTATGATTCATACGCTAGTGCCGGTCATATTTCGTATACACAGTGCAATGGTCGAGAACCGTGCGTTGACATAACTTCCCATAATTATGACCTGCTCTGTGGAACAAATTGATCGACTGGGGACTTCAATATAAAAAAGCAGGAGGGAAGAATGATGATGAGGATAAGTATAATGTTATTGTGACCTGTACGTGCCAGTGCATCCCCACTCTCTTCCTGGTTATATTTAACTGCCTTCTGCGTTGTCAGGCACACACAAAGTCAAACGATAGTTCATATTGTTGTCAACAGTTTGAGTTACCCGGGCACTAGCTATGCGCTCATGGGCTACGTTCATTAGTTAGTTGTGCAGTACGCAATTAAACGGGAGAGTTATCATTGCACGACTAGTTCAAATGCTCATAATTGAATGCATAGTCGCTTGAAGTTCACATGGATCTACATATTACGACAAAACTGTGGTCCATATGATTGTTGAACGTTGTCCCTGCTGTTTTAATAGATATCTAAAGGACGCATGTAATGACAATGAAACAATCGAAAATGTTCTTCCTAAAACTGGCCATCCACATGAACTATGAAGCCAGATTGCCTAATGCACGAAATAGAAAGATTCCCATTCAGTGTACTACTAAATTTGTGCGCCCGACTGGTTGCTCAGCGCCTGTCTACGACAAGCCATCCGCCTTATTTAGAGGTGATCGTTGTATCTGTCAGAGAAAATAATGTTGCGCAGTCCACGACATAGGGGTTTACATACTTGGACGACAGGGTAGGAATGCAATACTACCCGGCTATAAGCAGATTTAGGATAAATCCATTTCGAAGTCATTTATACATGAGGATGCACATATAAGACGGCACCAAATTTCGACGAATCAAACGAGCAGAGAGATGTCCATACCAAGGGAGCTGCATATTGAGGCATTTGTCGTGATTTCGTCTGGCCCGTGTAACTATGAACCATGTGGTCGTTAAATGATCCTATGTCAAGTCGATACAGCGTACTTACGGTTGTATACAGGACGATTGGCAAGCCGCCGAGTACCATATCAACTCAAATATTAGTGACCTAAGATTACGATCACGGTTTAAGATTTCATATTTAGTACTTATTGTCATCTAAGCTCTTAGAAATCGGACTAATTTGATATGCTGGCTTAGTTGACGGGGTTCGGTCAATTCTCAATTTGGATTGGCAATATTTGGATGTATCTGCACGCCATAAACCCATACAGCTGGTAGAAACTATGCAAAGTGCTATACGTATAAAAATAGTGTATCTTAGGCGAAATTGCTTCACGCACCCGTGTGTAAACACGATATCGGTGTTGTTTCCCGTACACGCGAAGTACTCATGCTTGCACAGTGTCGATCGTTACAGCCTAGTCAATAGCCTATAAGTGCTGCATAGCAAGCAAGTTAACTAACCTACAATACTTGGGTACATGTTCAGCCTTTTCTGTGAAGGCCTTTTGATTGATTACATACATGAAGAGAGAACCCAAAGACATACTTATAACCCATTGTAGTCAAAAGTATGAATCTGCTCAATCTGACTACATCCCGGACAAAATCCACTTTAGAAATCTGGGCCCCAGTCAACAATGGATAGTCCTTTTCCCTTGGACTCCATAATACACTCCAACTTATCTTCGTTTGTCACCCAGCCATGGCGCTTAGTCGCCACGGCGTACTTGATCGGATCCTTCCACTCCTCCCACCAAGTCTTTTCGCTCTGGACTAGACATCTCCGGCCAGGCTCCCCATTTTTGGCCGTGGCAAAGGGCCAGACTGCTTTGACAACTTCGTACTTGCTTTTGCCGGTAAAAAGCGTCGAGACACTGGTGAAAAACTTGTTGACTTTGTCCGGGGTCTGTACGATGACCTTTGAGTGGGTGACAGGGAACGACACAGTCACCACACCCTTATATTGTGTAGTTGCCACGAGGCTGCGAATCTGACCCTCTAGCCAGTTGGTGTCAAAGTTCGCTACCACGCGCTCTAACATAAACGATTTCACATTTGCGTCATCGTCAATGAAGCGCTGACACCATGCCTCAAGCCCGCCGTCCGTGACCTCGGGTTTTAGAGATGGTTGTTGACCCCCTCGGTATCCCATCTCGTCCTTGTTAATAAGGCGGAGATAGTCCATGCGATTGTTGGGATTGTCTGGGATAAGAAGACTGAGAAGGTTTAACTTGATGCTAAAGTCCACCTTCCTGCCACGGTTCCCAGTAATTGAAACTTGTGGCTTTGGCGGCACGGTAGCTAGGTTTGTGAGCAAGGTAGACAACGCTTTCACGTTCTCCGACAGATATGTGGCCTTGCTGGTGATGGTTGTAGTGTCAACAGACAGGTCAAACATGGGGGGCGAATACTGCCGATAATCAAGTACCGGAAGACCAGGATAGTATTGAGGACCCTTCGCAACAAATACTTTCTGCTGATCTGGCGGGTTACTGGAAGTGCTTGAATATGGCGGTAACTGTACAGGTTGTGAAGAGCTAGCGACATGGTCCTCTACACTGTCGTCCTGAACATCAGCGGCAGGCGGCTGGCTGCTGGATGCCGACGCATCAGATGGTCGGTGCACAACACCCCTAGCCCGCTGGGCCTTTTCGGCCAGAATCGAGTCCTGTGTATCCATTGGGCGAGCTGATCTTGGTTGGAAGTGTATTGGCAGGCACGTGAGGTGAATTGAATCCCACGGCTGTGCCCCTCAGCTCTAACACCGAGGGTTCGTATGGATCAAGCGAAAATAACTATTGGAGCAATTCTGAGAGCTCAATCAACTGGAGGTAAAGTTGGTTGGAAAGTGAGCTTGGTCGGAAAGGACGAAATGCTTGCTATAAGGACGCGTGATGTCTGAAGAAAACGTTGCGACGTGTAAGGCTGAAGCTGAAAGTGAGAGTGACTGAACAGAGGCGCAGCTAATAGCTTTTATCTAGCTGCCTGAGAACCACAGAGTCGTATGGTAGGTAGCCGGGCCCGTGCTTCGCTGCATAGTGCTATTGTAGGCAAAGTCTCCAAGGATTCAGCTGCAATCTGGCCAATCACATGATGCGCTGAACCGCAGTTGTTAACATTAGTGTAGTAAGACACCTAATCTAAGCCCCAAGATCGGCACCTTTCCATTCATTGCTGACTCCGCCCCAATACTGGTTGGCCATTCCCCAAAATGCCACGCCGAACCACTTTCTCGCATGGCCAATGACAGAGCCCGGGAGAAGAGGTTGATGTTTCTTCTGAATTGCTCTTAGAACTGAATTGTCATTATCGCCCGCCTTGGTTTCACAGAGACAACCTTATTCATTTGAGTACACCGCTTGGCTTATGGCGGGCAGCATGGTAGGCCAATAGTGTAAGCCTTCCGGGCTTACGTTGCACTTTAGCACATGGTGGGATGATGCAATTGCTTCTTGAAACCACTAAACACGCTGACAACACAATCCGTTGCAGCATATTCAGAATCCGACAGAATTGAAAGTCTGAAGTACCATCTTTTGCCGTGACGATGGCCTATTTCTTGGGACGACAGGGTTGTACTCATCTTACAGTGATCATGAGAAGTCATTTTCGCATTTCGCTCAATAGAAAATCTGGTCTACTGTCACATTGTTGTGAGCCAGTGAAGAAGAGTTATTCACATGGGCAAAGATCTGTGTTCCGCAGCAGTATACGGACACTATTGCGTAGAACGTTAGTGAATATCATCCGGTGTCGATAGTGATCACTCACCTGAGCAGCCACATGGTCCACAATAGGTCACTACTGACATGCAATACATGTGCCAATGCTGGGCATATCAGAGCCCACTGCGTAGTTTCTGTGTGCAGATCACGGTCCTTGAGATATATTGGCCGAATTGGGTTATAATTGACTTTGTTTACTTTCATGAAACGCAAGATTGCGTCACAGCTTGAGCATGATCGTTATTGTTGTGCATGCTGGGAAAGAACGAGACAGAAGCCATGCTGGCCACGTCTCAGACAAACCGACCTCGCATAACTAGTCGACGCCAAACTGCTTCTTCATCTTCATCTTGACCACTTGGTGAAATTGGAGCGCTTTCAACTGGGTCAGGGTTTTCGCAAAGTTCCAGGAAGTCTTGTGCCATACCCTCGCCGCCAGTAAAACCCAGGTTCAGCAGCGTATCTGTTGGAATTGAGTCGTACCTAATGCGCTATTAGTATTACTTCTTTGAGGATGTAACAGAACAGATATCACGCATGAAGCCCTCTTACCATTGATTTATGTCGGGGAAGTCAAAATCAGTACTTTGAGTGCCCGTCTGCACTCCAGATATGTTTCGATTCACGAGCAACTCATCAACACTCTTTGCTGGATTATTTTCTTTGCTGGAAGACTGGACCTCGGATATACCTCTTCCATTTTGGACCGGAGTGCGTAATAATGAGCCATAGTCATGCGTGAAACTATCTGGCATGAACTCAAACGGTAACGAGGTATTGTTATTAGCAGATGTCGAAAAACTATGCCAATCCGGGGTTTGTGTTATATTTTGAGAAGGCGAGGGTCTTTGGGTTTGGCTCAAACCATCCACATCAGCGTGGGAGGATCGCTTTCGGATATCTTCACTGAGAGTGTATATGTCGCCTGGATTTTGTATGGGACCATGAGGATTCACACTAGGTGACGGCTTCGACGTCACTGAAACTGTGCTCCTTCTCGAACGACGGCCGTGGCTCTGCAGAATTTCACCATCACCCGTGCCTTGGTCACCTTTGTTGGCGGCCGGAAGATGAGCGTTGGCCTGTGCTGATGCTTGGGTTTTTCGAAGTTCATCCAGGCTCGGCAGCTCCCCATTATGTACAAATTTGCCGAGCCGACTCTCGTTGAATCGATTGACTAGTTCTGACTGATTGTCATTATTCTTGAAATAGTCCGCATTCGAGACTCCAGTATCGCCGGGCATGCCACTGGCAAGTAATTGGAGTACCACATCCTCAAGATCTGGGTTGGCACGTAAGACTAAGCCCCATAGTCGCTCGCCAAACTGTGCGGTGTACCCAGTCCGAGGTCCACGCTTGCGAATTGGTCTATTGTATGTGCAATCTGTGCCGGCCCGCTCACATACACTGCACTTTGGGATCGCGTTGTCGCAAGGCTGGTGCTGCACATTGCAACGATCGCAGGCTCGGCTAGCCTTGCGCTTCTTCGATGCCCGCTTGTCCCCATCGCTCTCCCCATCACTCATGGCTCATCCACCCGCCGCAAGGGTTTCTTTCGTGCTCCTATAGCTTGGTTTACAGCACTCTGCTCTGGGAGAGGCAAGACTAGCTGACGAATATCTCAGCTGGTGTCTGCGGGAATATTGGTGACTAGATGATGAGTGCTGTAAGCATTCGGCTCATCCAATGGCCTTAATTGTCCCTTTGACGAAAGACAGCGATTTCCGAGGCTATCTGGGATGACGATGAACACTGTTCCGAGCATCTGCAGCCACAGGGGAAATGAATGCGCTATCGTCTGTAAACTTCAGCAATTGAAGGTTTGGGTGGGGCACCCAGCAAGAGGGGCTTGGCTGTGCAAACTCAACTTATGGCACGAACGGTCTCGGACTATAACAATCAACATATTACATCGGCGATATCCTGTAAATACCGGACTCGAAGTCCAAAGCTACGCGGCATGCTCGAGATTGGCTGGTACTACAACAAAAGCCGAACTTCAATCGGGTTGCATCGGGACGGAACTTCTACAGCTGTGGCGCACACAAACTCCAATTGTGGCTGGAGCGTTGCCGGCCTCTACTGGGCGAACTTTCTCTGTTCGTTGCCGGCAGCACTGCCGACGCTACAGATCTCCCGTACCACATCGTTCTACCCTTTCATGGATTGAGTTGTCGAGGATATCATACTTGTTGCTTGCTGAAAACTGAAAGCTTGCTCAAGATCATTAGACAACATCAAACCATATGAAGTTTCGAAGCTCAAACCACTACTGTGATCATCCCCTACATCTGTATTTAGGGCTCCGATTGGTCAGGCTGTTATCACACAAACAACTCGGCAATCGGGAAACTATAGGACTTTCTGGCTAACGAAAGCAACGTCTCATGGAGAGCCACATCCCTGTGTCTCTATGAGGTCGAATTCGTGACTGGGTAATACACTTTAAAAGTGGCGAGTTGCAGTGATTCGGAACTTGGAAGACTACCAAACGCTGAAGATTCATCGCAGGGAAGGTCATAACATCTCCATTTGGAACTGGAGATCGGCAGTTCATGATGGCTGGAGGTTATGCTCAAAACTTCTACAAAGATGGTGGGAAGGATGGTTCAACAAGCCTATCAACGCCAAATCGCAGGAATTTCCATCCGGACTCATCTATTGTCTTGGTCGGATGTCGTGGCGCGGGAAAACGCACACTTGGATTCATTGGAGCGACATATCTGCATCGGCGTTTGCTCACCGAGAATCATTATTTTGAGCAAGCCACTGGGTTCAATCGAGCGCAGTTTTTGGAAAAATACGGCAAAGATGCACTTAACACTCAATTGACTTTGATACTAGCAAAGATCCTACAGGCCAATCGATACAACTGCATCATCGAATGCGAGATGGGAATATGGAGCAGAGATGCTCAGAAACTGCTGCTCCAGTACTCCGAGACCAACCCGGTCATCTACGTTCACCGAGACAAGGAGGAAATCTATCGGCTTCTGAATATACCAGTTGTTGATGCAGAACGACTGGTTATTGCACACCAGAAGCACCGAGAGCATACTAATCTCGAGTACTATAACTTATCCGATACCAGTGGTGAGGGCACTGGAGCAAGCGAATCAGGCCTCCGATCTGCTTCCATGGCCTCTGCAAGGCTACTGAACGTGAAAGAGGACTTTGCAAAGTTTCTCGATCTCATCACTGGCCAAGGATTGACCCGATCCTGGGTGGAGAACCCATTTTCCATCAACGCAATACCACCCGAATATCGATCATACTCGTACGTACTTCGCTTGCGACTATCTGACCTTATGAGTCAAGAAATCAACATTACGGAGCTTGAGTCCGGGGCTGATGCAGTTGAAATCATTGTCGACACCTGGCCTAATAATATCATGGATTTTCTTGCAATGCAAGTATCGTTGATACGGCGTAAATTAGACTTACCCATCGTTTACCATGTGGAAGAGAACCCACGAGAGGAGCGTCAACGACCGCAGGATGAAAGGGACACCATGGATCTGGCATTACTACTACACGGTCTCCGACTTGGTGTTGAGTATGTCAGTCTTGATCTCGAACGTAGTGAAAACTTGGTCAGCCGGGTGCTCTCTATGAGAGGGAAAACAAAAATCATTGGAAATTTTACATTCAAAGGTTTTAATGCACCAAAATGGTCAGAACCGATTTACCTGGAGTTTTTCCGGCGCGCACAAGCTCTTGGCTGCAACATTGTTCGCTTCGCTAGATTCTGTGTCCAGGATCGGGATGACGAAGGTCGGCACAGGCTCTTTGAAGTGATCAAGGATATGCCAGATCCAAAACCACAACTTGTGGCTTATGAGTTCTCAGTACTAGGTGCTCTAAATAGCAATATCCTTACTGATGGAAGCAGACCTCCTTTTCGGGGCTGGGCGTTCTTGCCAGTTGGACATGGCTCGGTCAAGGCATCCTCCCGAGAACATCTCGCTGGTGTTAACTCAACTAGGGGATCTCTTCGCCTCATGTTCCGCAAGGGCTCTCTTCATCCCTTGAAATTCTACACGGTGGGCTCAAAGGTCTACTATTCTGCATCTCCTGCTATGCATCGAGCTGCATACGATGCCCTCATGATGCCGCATTCTTTCGAGGCGAGGAAATGCAATCAGTTAGAGGACCTGGATAGACTTCGCCGCGAATACGATTTTGGCGGCGCTTGCTTGACTGCCCCATTCAAAGTGGTTATGATGGATCATGTTGATCATCTCAGCTCACATGCGAAAGCTATCGGTGCAGTAAACATCCTTCTGCCTCTGCGAGGAGAAACTTCCTCTGTCATCGATCATGCCAATGCACGCAACAAAGGTGGCTCCGCGCACAGATTCTATGGAGATAATGCAGACTGGAGCGCCATTATGACTTGCCTCCGCCGCGCTATCAGCCCTCGCAACACCGTTCAGCCGTCAAAGACGACTGGACTTGTAATTGGCGCAGGAGGTATGGCGAGGGCAGCCATCTATGCTCTAATCAAGCTCGGGTGCCGCAAGGTCTTCATCTTCAATCGAACCAAGGCTAATGCGGACAAGGTGGCGGAACACTTTAACATCTGGGCAAAGCAACACCAGCTCGTCCAAAATGGCTCAAGGATATGTCACGTCCTCGAATCAACCGACCAGGACTGGCCCATAAGTCATCAGCAGCCAACAATGATAGTGTCGTGCGTCGCCGCCGCCGGCGATTTTCATGACTCCAAAATTGACTTCAGGTTGCCACCGCAATGGCTCAAAAGCCCGACAGGTGGTGTCGTTGTGGAAGTAAGCATTCGGAACCATTCCATGCATAGCACTAATTCCTTTTGCTGACCCTCAACAGTTGGCCTATGAACCTCTCATAACTTCGTTAATTACACAGATGCGTGAGATACGTGAAGCCGGCGGCACGGCTTGGGTTATTGTTGATGGCCTCGAGGTCGTTGCCGAGATGGCAATGGAAGCTTTTGAGTTATTGACAGGGCGTAAAGCACCCAAGGCTTTGATGCGTACAGTCTGTAACGAGAATTGGGAGAAGAACTGCGCGCCATTTGAAGCAAGACGATAAGTCGCTGTAACGATGCACGCTATTTTAAGTCATCGGCGAGGTACGATCGCACCGCTACAACAATGGTCGGAGCAGTCCAGATAGGTACGAGGACCGAGGCACAGCGTGACAACAAGGAAACAGGCATTTCAATCAAAATGAACGGCCTTCGGGGCCTCGTTGCGGTCCGGGGTTCTTCAACTTGTCTCGAGGCAGCCTGTTTACGCTCGCAGGGTTCTAGCTGCGCCAGGGTGTAATTAGGCTCAGTGTCATAAGTAAGCAAACTGGCTACTCCTACAAGAACAGCTAGGCCACCACAAACGCTACGTCAGTCCGGAAGCCTCACTGGGCCATTCAATCGGCAGGACTTATCATACAGCGGATCCCAATTGATGCTGAAGCGGAGGTTCGCTTCTCAGCGGGCAATTGGTGGCCACGCGACTCCTGTTTTTCTAAGCATATAAGCACTAGAGCTGGGGAATCGCTCGGCGACATCGATATACTATGCGGCTGTCACCGCCGCTTAGAAACTCACTCGCCGCATTGGACCACTCAGCTAGCCCTAAAGGTAGCGTCGGATAAAGTACGCAGCCTATCAGTGCCGATGCTCAACCAGAACTCAACGGGTCAACAAACTCCCGATCGAATGTTACTCAAATACACTTGCGCACGCCTCGTCATATCTCCCCAGCCGGACCTACTTTGCATTGCACAAGCACAAGTGGTAAACTTTGGAAATGACAGAGTTTGGTTAATTTATGCTTTGTAACTTGGTTTCGCAGGAATGGCAGAAATAATGTTGTGAAGTCTAGTGCGATTCATCATCTGAAGGATGACTGCGCTACCATAGAAATCCCTGTCTTTAAAAAGTTATTAAACCTTCAATAGGCGTGACATTTGACTAAGCAAAGGCGGGATCGAATGGATTATCAATGCGAGGGACCTGATTGCAGTGTGCCCGCAATGAGACTCAGTCAGCATCATAATTGATAAGTATATAATTTTGACACAAGTAGGGCTCCAAGTACTCTGTATATGATCATTACCATTGCCTTGCATTTCGTTCTCAAGTTTCTTGACACCCAAACAAAACCTCCAATATTATAGTCGACCCAACCTCTCCCCAGTTGCCAACATGTATACCAGGCAGGCCCTCTTCTTGTACCTGTCTTTACTCCCTTCCTTTGTGACTCCCTTAACACCTTGGGATGAATGGTCGCATGGTCGTGTCACACTAGAAGATGTATCTATCCACTTCCGATACTCCGGCTCTGGCCCGCCCCTCCTGCTTGTACACGGCAACCCCCAGTATTCCCTGACTTGGCAGATTATCGGCCTTATCCTCGCAGAAAATTACACAGTGATCGCTCCAGACAACCGCGGCGCCGGCGACTCTTCTATACCGCCAGACGGCAATTACACGGCCGCCGCCACGGCCGAGGACCTGAAGGGCGTCCTCGACTTCCTGCGCATCAACCAGACGTATGTTTTCAGCCACGACAAGGGTGTCGGGTTCGCGACGGCCCTGGCACTCAAGCACCCGGGTGCCGTCAGGATGCTCGGGCTGAGTGAGTATGCCCTGCCTGGGTTCGGGTACGAGGAGGCGGCCGTGCCGGCGCCGTTCTTCGACCTCTACGCCAACCCGCAGCTGGCGTTCTTCCAGATCCCGGACTTTGCCGAGTTTCTCATCTCGGGGAAGGAGAAGCAGTTCATCAGCTGGTATTTCTTTCACGGCTCCTACAGCGGCGTCACGTCCTTCTCCGAGGACACCGTCAACCGCTACACCAGCTCGATATCGAAGCCGGGCTTCCGTGAGTATATTTCGGACTTGTTTCCCTTATCTTCTTCGGCATCTCATTGCGCGTGTATTGCAATTCAAAAACACCAAAGCTCTTGGTGACTGTTTCAACCCCCCATCTTTTGTAAAGAAGTAACTGCTGACTTCGCATACGGTAGTGAGGGCTATGATTGGACCCTTCTCGGCGGCGACCATAGCCGACGATCGAAGCTTCTTCCGGGGTCTGCTGACGGGTGGAAAGCTTGCGATGCCAGTGTTGGCCTTGGGGGGCGAAGCAAGCTTCGGCATCCCGAGCGTCCTCCAGAGCTTACTGGGGAATCTGAGCGACGACACAGAGATCGATGTCGTACCGAAGGCCGGACACTGGATAGGTGAGCCATATTTGCCCCCCTTCGATTATGTCCTTATCTTGACATTCTTCTTGGTAAATACTAATGGGGAACAGCTGATGAGAATCCTGCTTGGGTGGCTAAGCGCGTTGGTAGATGGTTGTTGACTGACGTCTCTCCTTTAGATAGCATTGATCTCTCTTGGTTGTCGGATTTGGTGACAATCAAAGTTGGATACTTCGGTACATATAGGAATGCAGCACTAGGAGGATTTTTATCGTAGCATATGAGTTTTTGTCTGTAAGTGAGGCGTGACCGGCCCAATTTGCAGCATTTGCGTGAACGAACTCTGTCAATTCACCTACAACATTGCATTATCGCTGTTGTCATTATTGGATCAACATTTTTAAACATAGTGGCAATACTTTATTGCTCCATCTAACTCTAATATGTACAACCGAAACGAAAAACCCATGGCAAATATTTGCCGTAGATGAAATTATGAACTAAAAGGAACAAAACGTGACGGTTTGCGGGTATCAGATGCAAGACAGAAAAGCCAACAACTGAAGGACCTTTTCTCTGGGCAACTGCCCAGTCCTCAATAGAGCCATGTAAACACGCCGGGTCTTGGTCTATACCGCTCTGTGCAATCCCAATGCATCTCGTACAATTCTGTTTACAATGATAATATTTATGCCGCAATTTCTTGACCTCTGGTCTTATCCTCATCCATGATCTGCTCTCCTTCCTCAAGCTTCTCGCCAATGGTTCTGGTCTGGTTGATAACTTCCTTGCTTTGAGCAGCAAGCAAGAGCTTTTCGGCATTGGCTGGTAGACCCAGATAAGTGGGTGGCTCGCGCTCAGGCAATTTATTGATCCAAGCAAGGAACGCCTGAAGACTGCTGTCACTAGGCACAACGAGTTCGTCACCTTCGGTGTCCCTGACAAGCCTGTGGTCATGCTCGAAAGCATTCGGCAGCAGAATTCCATTCACCAGATCGTCCAAGACTTGGTAGTCGCCATCGTCATCAATCTTGCCACCGTACGTGATGCGCACGAGACTGCGTATCATGTCCCATGGAATATTCTTGGGGTCGATATTGGAGCGGTTCTGGGCGGCTTGTTCGATCCAGGTGTCTATGATGAAAGCGGAGCATTCGTACTAGGGAGTTTGGGTTAGCGAACAAACCGCTGATACATGGATTGAAGAGTACTTACGTCAGAATCGTTAAATTCCCAGAATTGTTTCCAACCCATTGGTGCATAGCGTAGACGTTCCTGGATAACAGCATGCAAGAACGACAACAGGAAGTACACACGAGTCCTCTCACGCGGGTCCTTGGTGGCTCTGTCGGTAATCGAGGTCATCGTGTCTTTCATATTTGCTTTGACACCGGCGGGTTGCTCGTTCATAAGAATCCGAGACGCTCTCAGGAAATTGACTGGGATTTTGGGCTGAGCTTCCATCGATAAGAAGAGCCTGAAGTCGGGATGTGGCCTCCTGGACTCAAGCCTCTTCTCTAGGGACTGTAACCAATCTGGTGTCAGGTGAACGTTCTTGATCAGCACCCAGCGTCCATTGGCAGCGGCATCGGCGATAGCCTTGTCGGCGACGTCTTGTGACTTTTTGGAACCCATGGCAACATTGGTGCAGGAAATGCCCTTTCGTTGAACGAGATTGTCGACCTTGTAGCTGGCATCGAATCCACGGGTCGAAACAAGTGATATTGGCGTGCCCAGTTTTAGTTGTTCTGTTGTCTGCTTCAGATCCTCTGTGATGTCGAAGAAGCCAGATCCGAAGACCGAAGTCACGAATAGTTCTGCAGCTGGTACAAACCGGTCAACGCGGAAAATCTTGACCAGAATGAGAGACAATAAGCCTTGGTTGTGGGGACTAATGTCAGAACCCCATGCTTGTGGAATGTACTTTTCGGCCTCTTCTTCTACAAGGAATTTGTCCCACGCATCAGTCTCGATCTGATCAAGCTTACCACGGAATACATGGATCGCGTTTGTTCGTGCGAAAATTTCATCCTTGTTGTTGCTACCAATCGATAAGTCGTTGCTCTCGATTCTATCGCTCAGAACCAAGTCAATCAAGTCTTTATCCATGGGATATAGCTCTTTTGGCGCGGCTCGGACGAGAAGCAAAGCAAAGATAATGAGATGCTTTTGAAAGAGACTGAGGGCAGTCTGTTTGAAGGTATGAACAAACAAGTCTCCGACAATGATCTTTCGGCGGCCTTCGTAGTTCGCCTTTGGCTCCTTAGCCAAGTTGTCGTTCTCGCGGAGAACTTTCGTGAATATGTCGAGGAAATACTGCAAAGAGAATTGATAAAAGCGGTCCACGTTGTGCAACTGGTCTAGCACAGCGAAAATGGCGCTGCAAGACTCGGCGACAATGTTGTATTGACGTGTGGTTCCCTCCAGCTCCGCCGCTAGTCCTTCGGTATTGTTCATCTTCTCAGTGATCTCATCGGACTCCTTTTTGAGGGTTTCTAACTTGCTGATGACCGAATCATTTTCAAGGAGTTTACCCTGTGATTCATTGAGTGTCTGCAGAAGATCGTTGCCGAGCTTTCGAAGTTTGACCTTGTATTCACCCTCAGCCTTGATGAAGTTGGACCGCTTCTCGTCTACATCAGGCCGCTCTGACTTCAACACCTGATCAAGGGACTGAGTTTGAAGACTGCTTGGGGTGACAGTGAAGTTGACAAAGGTTGTGCGACTGCAAATATCTGGCGGGAATAATGCTGACGGATCCCTGGTGGAGAGATAAAGTTTGAACGCTGGCGAAAAATCAATCTGTTGCTTTCCGAGCTGGATCAAGACACGTCCTCCTGTTCGCTGGTATTCCCTGTTTAGGACAGGATTCAGGACTGGATCCAAATGCTCTGCATCCTGAATCAGAATAGGGTTACCAAAACGAATGGCACTCTCGAGCTGTTTGGTAAAATTGGCATCCAAGAAGCTGGTAACAGTAAGCCGACGGTCATTGGATTCTTTCGATAGGAACTCGCTCATTCCGCCCGAAGGATCGATGATGAGTGGATATCGATTGTGACGCTTGAGCATAATGGCGTTTTCGGTGCAAAGATCATCGACAGGCAAGCCGTTTGCTTGCCAACGCAAGCGCTCATCGGCCGTAGAGAGGTATTCGGTCATCGGGTTTGATTGTTTGTACTTGAGGCCAGATGCTGAGAGCTGTTCCGACCACTCATCCATCATCGATTTGCGGAATACTTGATCGTATAAGCCTCCGTATGCAGCAAAAGCAGCTGCAAGCAAGACATCGCCCACCAAGGTGCTTAGCTGAGTTTCGAAAGATCTGCTAGACTCGTTCCATCGTGATCTTTCGGCGGAAAGATTGTCGATAAGTGCCCTACTTCGCTGAAGCTTTTTCCCAACGATTTGCGTTTCGCTTTCGATTTTTGTAATATTGGCGTTCAATTGCGAAAATTCAGAAGCAAGCTGCTCCTGCTTCTTCTGAAGGTGCATGAGTTGTTCCTTAGCTTCTTGATGTTGGCACTGGGTTTCCACTAATTGCGACTCAAGCTGCTCGACTTCTGACCGCAGGGGGCCTATCTTTTCCAACAGATCCGAGTATGTAATCTGTGCCACAGCCCACTGCAGTAATGGACCACAGGCAGAACTGGCATTCATGGCCGCATCAACAGTGAATTTGGCATCACTCATGTACTTCTGGGTTACAGCTTGTTTCATCTTTTTCGTCAGTTGCCTTTCCGCATCATAACTCATTACTCTGCTCTGGAAGTCGCCCTGGCGCAAAAGACTCTTGCATTGCTGCCAGTCCTCTGCTTGCGCGGCGCTTTGCCCAAACATGATCATGACCACAGCAATAACATTCTTGATCAGGGGGGGTGGATTGGCGAACGATTGCACCTCAGTCAGGTTTTTCTTCTTGATACCTTGTACAGCCTCCTTTGCCTTCTCGACGGCAGGCAACGCATCCAACAAGTCCCTGTCGACTTTACGTTTCCGTTCTTCTATTGCTCTCGTCTTCTCCTCGAGTTGTATCCGGATAGCCTCCGTAAGTTCTCGGCTCTTCTCAGCTTCGTGGGTGGCCACTCCTACCTTCTGGATTGTTTCAGTCGCCAACAGCTTTTTCTGTTCGAGTACAGTCCGGTTTTTCGTTAATTCGCTATCCAATTCTCCGACTTCCTGGACAGTATGGTTGAGCTTGTCAAGACCAATGTTGAGATGTCGCTGCTGTTCCTCGAGCTCATCTCGCTTCTCACTGTACAGGTTCACGTATTGTGTTACGAAATCAAGGAAGTGGCGAGGCGTCAAGAAGTTCGTTCTGTTCTGTTGTGTACGCAAGCGGTGATTGAATCGGTGTAGTGAATGATGGATGTAGACCATCGAGTTGACCACGGTATCCCGGTGCGAAGCAGGAAGTTCCAGATCACGGTAAGCCACCGGCACGCCATCAGCAGAAACGAAGTCGGGCTTGTCAAGGTCAACCGACGTCGTCAATTCCTTTCCGACCTGGAAAAAGGCCTCGTCGGACCAGTCTCCCATCCAGTTGAGTACACAACGATTGAACAGTGCAGGACTGGTGGCAGCCCTTGACGATAGACCCTCCTCGGGAGGATTCATGGTGAACACGACGTGCAAGTTCTTCACAATCTGCCCGGTGAACCACTTGTAGAGCTCGTCGTTGGAATCAAGGACCTGGCCATCTTTTTGTGCACCTTCTCTGCAGGCGGTCATCAGAGTTGCATATTCGTCTCCTTCGAAAAGCCCAGGCACTTCGGCGTTGGCGAGCAAAGTGTTCATTCTCTCGAGGAAACCCGAGTCCAAGACATTCGATTCATCCATGATAAAGCAGATTTTCTCGCCTTTGGCACCACAGCGACGAAGAACATCCCGCAGATCATCATCGAAATCCCCCGCAGAATATTTTCCATGGACCTTGATTTGAAAGACCTGCAAACCGTTCATCCAGGCGGCGAACCGAGCTAGTGTTGTCTTTCCACTTCCACTGACACCAATGAGGATGAGATGCCCTTGTGGCTGTCGGAACACTCGATCGATTCGTAAGACATGTTCGAGCACTTCATTAAATAGCACAAGCGGCGTATCAACTTCCTCCTCACAGAAATTCTTGAAACGCTCTTTGACATGTTCGCGTAGTTCCTCTCGGTCAACGGGCACATATTGCCTTTTGATCCAATTTGAGAACAGGATAGGGCCACCAAGTGCCTTCTGCTCGTCGATGTTGGGAAAGAATTGGAGGGCAATTCGCTTAACCGCCTCTTCCGTCCATTGTCGCTCAGCTTCTGTAACCAAACGATCTTGGAAGAGGCGCAGCGCTTCGTGGGCCCAAACACGGATCAGTCCTTCGAGGTCTAGCGTATCAAGCGGCTGAATGGCTTCGTATATACCACGGGACCATCTCGTCAGCTCACGTGGACTATAGACATAGTGGGGTTGGTCCTTCGCGGTGAACTTTTGTTGAGACTCCAAATAGAACCGTACCATGGCTTGCGTAAGCTGATCAGAGTATCCACGAAGCGAGTTTTGAGTTTTGAGAACAGCGCTAAGGAAAGTACCATAAATTTGGTTTAGAGATATCTCACCAGGATAATCAACCATGATCAAAGGCGCATGTCTGAGGAATCTTGGAGTGAGAGGCGTACGACCTACGTCCGTCGGCGGGTTGCAAGCACCGACAAATTGGATCCTGTCGAGCGTTACCCATGATTTGTCTTTTGTTCTCCAGAAACCATTATGTTCGACCAGCTGCCGAAGGAACGAGATCGCTCGTTGTGTGCCGTACCGATCCTGAGCAGGCAAGTTGATCTCGTCGCAGAAGACGACAAGCCATTTGCCTGTCTGTCTTGGCGACAGAACCACACCGTGGACAGTCTTCTTATACTCACAGCGCTGGTCAAAGGTTTTGATGATCAGGTCAGGAGTCGTAGCACTTGAAAAGTTAAGATCGGCGGTTTCCATGTTTGGCAGCTTACGCAGTGCATTGAATAAGGTCATTGTCTTTCCTGAACCAGGAGGACCACAGAGCAGAAGCGGCTTGTGATCGGCAAGCCAGGAGTAGAGCACATCTTCATGACGCACGGTGTCGAGGGTAGGAATAACCACGTCAGTCTGGACAATGGAGTGAGTGTTGACTTCGATGTTTGGCACTTGGCTTTGCCAAGAAATCCATTCTGCCCGCGGTAAGGAGACATCGAAATCGATGAGCGAGCTAGCGCCGTCGAGAGGCGGCGTTCCGAAACGTGCCAGATTAGCAATCTGATCTCCGAAAGCTTTCCGATCAACCAGAGGACAGTCACCTGTGAAGGCCCAGACTAAAGCAAGCAGAAGTTTCTTTGCCACGTATGCCTCTATCTGTTCAGAGTCTAGGGGGAAGTCGCTATGTTGAGCATTGTATTCAATGATATTGCGAGTAGCCTTGTTCAGTAACGAGAATAATGTCGACATTACTCGTGTGGTAGTGAACAGCATGATGTGATTGTAGCCGCCGGCTTCTTTCAGAGCTGCGTGGATGAAGCTATCCGTAGTCATGAAATCACCAAGCAAATCAGCCACTTGCTTCTGTAGTGCCAGAGTTTGCGTGCTGCTTATATCGACCAGGATGTCCTCATCCAGATTGTCGAAGGCTTTGTTGCGAAGCCCTTCAAGGTAGTGTGTCACCATCATGTTGGTCGTCACAACATCTTCACTGAACCAAACCATGCCACAGCGACTGACTGTCGCAGGGGTGGCATGTTTGAGGTGCTCAACCTCGAACATGACACGCACGTTTTGAGGAAGATTTAGACGCTCACCATTGGGTAGTGTCAAGAGCTTATTGTCATCAAGGACAGAGTTCAGGTTCTCGACCCATTCTGGATCAACATCACCATCAAAGACGATCCAGTGACGTTTGGCATCTTCTCCGCGCAGGTTGTCAATGATTGCACGCAAAATGCTCGTGAACAGACCGTCAGTCCATTCACGCGTAGTCGGGTCAAGGACACCATACAGGGCTTCTTTAGACATGACCTTGGAATCAATGACATGATAAACACCCTGAACGCCTTCAGCTGTTTTGAGGGCATCGAGAAGTAACCTCCATGCAACAGATTTGCCAGACCCAGAACTTCCAACCATCATCACACCATGATGAATGTTCTGGATTTGGTAGAGTTGAATGATTTTGGTCATCCAAGCATCGCCTACCACGAGGTTTCTCTCTGCTGCAAGGTTTCGGATCGCTTCTTCCAGCTTGCCCATTTCTCCAGGCACATACTCTACACCAGGGAAGCAGTCTGCCTCGACAGACTCCATAACGGATACATCTTTTTGTAGGAGTTTTGGCGCAACAGTCTCGCGTATGCTCTGGACAATGATTTCGGGCTCCACAACTTCTTCGGCACCTATCTCCCCTTCGCTGCCAACGATGCGCGCCCGCTTGAGACCACCTGAGCTCACGAGTACGCTCTTCAGAGCACGTAGACCGAAGTCGTAGTGAGACTCCGCTTCCAACTTGACTTTGCACCGATCGAAGAATGGCACAACTTGCTTGGACAGCTGCTTGGCCTGCTTAAAGCCCTGCGAGTAGAGCATGACCTCAGCAATAAGCTCCTTGTCGGGCTTGGACATGGCAACACTGCGGAATAGCTTTTTGAGATTATCTGGCAGGTTCGAACGTCCAGCGTAGCCTGGGTTCATGGTAATGAAAATACCACTATTAGTATTGACTAAAATGGGCGCAGAGTCGTCCTTGAGTTTGACCATGGACTCGTGCTTCAGGCCAAGCTGAATGTCCTGGATTTGCTGGGACACAGCAGACAATATTCTCTCTTCGAGACGGTTGAACTCGTCAAAACAACCCCATGCGCCAACTTGGCAGAGGCCAAGGAAAATTCTGCCCATCGCGCCATCATCGAACGTGTCGTCACAACAGAAAACCAGCGTGAAACGACCAAGCTCGACACCAAGGGCCTTGACGGACTCAGTTTTTCCAGTACCAGCAGGACCGTAGGGTGAACCTCCAAGTCTCTGGCAGAGAGCTTGTGTCATGGTAAGGAAACATCTGTCCGTCAATGGTGTACGAACCAATCTGTCTGGAATACCTAGATATTCAAAGCCGTAATTGAGAGTTGCATTCGCCATTTTGATGAGAAGACGCTGGATATGATCGCCCTCGGGTGTATAGGCGTATCGCATTTGAAGTGACCACAGGTAGTGACTTGCAGAGCTGACATTAGACTTGATCAGCTTGTCGATGATGTCGCGTTGGTGCACGTAATTGGTAATCAGTGCTTCGCACTTCTTTCTCTGAATGATTGGCAGATCACCGAGCACCGTATCGGCGAGCAGGCGTAGAAGTTCAATCTCTCGTTCGCGAAGAGGTTGAAGATCCTGCCCACCTTCGCTCAGAGACTTCTCTACTGCGGTTGTCCAAACAACCTGGGTGGCGAGAACCACGATTTGGCTGGGATATGTTTCGATAAAGGCATCGAGAAGAGCTGCATCAACCTCATCGGAACGGAAGATTGGCGAGTATGAGTCAATGGCTTCAGCGAGCAGCTCGGCAAGTGTATATTTCATGCCAGTCTCCAAAAGTGCAAGCCAGTCGTTGATCTTTGGGGTTTTGGTCAGGGAGATACTCTTTTTCAGGTGAACCACCTCGCCTTCCTTGGAAGTGAAACCCGTGATGGTGGTCTCGTCGTCCATGATGAGGTTGTTAATGCCAGCAAACATTTTCTTGAAATGCTTAGTGATGCGCAAGGTCTCATTGCTGTTGCCAATCATCTCAAGAAGGTCGTCGTTTCCGACGAAATAGAATCGTGGGAAAGAGGCTCTCTCCTTCTCCAGATATGCTTCAAGACCACTGGAAACAGAGTTGAGCGCTTCTTCAACCTGTCGGAGTCTAGGCTCCACGTTTTCAATTCGCAAAACGTCAAGAATCAGAGGCCTCCGGGCGATTGCTTTCAGAATGTTGTGAAACTGGCTGCTCTGGTTATCAAACTTTCTGGTCTCGTTTGGCAAGAGATGCTTAATATCTGCACTGCCAGTGAAAACTCCCTCGAGGTATACCCATTTCTGCTGAACTTTCTGGAAGACATCAAGCAGAACGCCGATCTCATTCATCCTGGTCTCCCATATATCGGCTTCTACCTCAAAGGTCTTGTAATACGGTGAGTGCTTCATGGCCTGCAATGAGTTGAGGTGTTCGCCTGATTTTGTCATCATGTCGTCGTGACAATCTTTTCGAAGAAGACGGCACTTGTTTTGATAGTTTGTAAGATCCAGCTCATAGGTTTCCCAATGATCCTTGACCTGCTTCATAAACTCTTCGAGGGCCATCTCACCCTGTGCTTGAGTGATGACGTCCCTGATGATGACCTCACTAGCGACAAGGTTCAACTGCCAGATATCATCGAGCGTCGTGGAGGACGGGGAATAGCGTCGACCGGGCTTGAGGTCTTTCCAAAGCTTTTCCCAATGCCTCTCCTTGATCGCATCAGATTTGAGATCACTGATGATAGAGGTAGCCTTGACATGCTGTTTCAGGACGGTCTGCATATGCTCATATGCAGCGTACTGCCGCATTCTGCTCGGCAAGTTTTTGGTGGTCTCTATCAAGCCATTGATGGCTGATCTGAGTTTCCGTGGCTGCACGCTTGCCCATGGACTATCGCCCAGTTCATTCAGGCTGTTCCAGATCGTGGACAGGTTCGACCACACCGACTTGAAATCTTCGATTTCTGCCAGAATTTCCGAAAGTGAGGTTTCAGGACTGGGTGGAAGGTCGAGAGATTCCTTGGCCTTGGATACCATGGCGAAATCTTCTTGTAATTTGTTGGCACGAGACTCGAAACTGTTGAGTGTTTCGGTGGCCTTGCCATGGGCAATGGTGCCAGAGACCGGTTTGTCGTTATTCCAGTCCGTTGCAATGTCAGCGATCTTGCCTGTAACAATCTGGTCCTCGGCTAGGATCTTTGCCTTGATAGCATCACTCTGATCGTCAACAATCTTCACCTTTCTGGCGAGTAGGTCGTTAAGAGCATCCCACAAATTTTCAACCTGTTGTATATCTAGCCAGTCATTGGGAAACTGGTAACGGTTGCGGTAAAGCATCTGCTGTCCTTGTCTGAAGACTTCAACTTCGGGGGCCCAGACTTTGACGTTACGCTTGCAATTCTGCACGATGGTGATGAATTGGACGGCTTGAGCGGTTGATGATGCGTCCAGGCCTTGCCCTTCCAGATCCCGACGAGACTTCTCGATCTCGCCATGGACTTCCCTCATCCGACCACCTAGTCTATTGCCGAATTTGACCAGGATCTCGTGCTGCCACTGGTCGTACTTGGCGTTGACTTTCGTTTGAACCTGCTCGTAATCAATTGTAACCCGACCAAAAGACCTGCTAACCTCTGTGGTATCAAAAGTGGCACGAGACTTGCGAATCTCCTGTAGTAGCTGCAACCACTTGGAAAGCTGTTCTCCAAGCAAGTCATAGACGTGCTCCGACTGCAAATCCCATAGAGACTGAAACTGCAACCACTTGTCGACATACGCACTGATGTTTGAGAGCTTCTTCTCGATGGACACATAGACAGTCGACAGAATTTCGGTGCAGTCGCCAGGTAGGTCTGTGAAACGAGCATCTTCGGGAGCTGCGGTGCTCAACGTGAGCGTCATCTGGTATCGGGATGCCTTGATTTTTGGGAGGTTGCAGACTATTCCGAGCCAATCGTGGAGTTGCAAGAACCAATTCGCTCGAGCAAATTCGAGCGGGGGGTCCAAGTAGATGACTTGGTTTCGCATTGTGATTTCATGGACGATCCCCCTCATCACTGGCGAATCTGACTTCAGTGGCTCGCCGGGTGGCACTAATGTCTTGCGGCGAGAAGACTCCTCGCCAGCACTCTCGTCTTCAAAGGCGGCCACCCAGCGACCGGTGGCTTCTTGCAGGCGCACAAGAAGGGTCGACTTGATGCGCTCATTCATACGTTCGACCCAATAGCCGAGATTCACATACTGCTCCAAATTTAGTTGATCAACAGCTGACTGGATAGTTTGAAGGCGCTTCTCGAACTCGGTAGCTTCGTACGGGCACGTTGCTAGTTCCTTCAGCGCATTTTGGACTGTGGCATAGATGGACGCCAACGCAATAGTCTTGGACTGCAATATGGATGCGGCAGTGGCAAAATCACGCACAAACTGAACGTGCTTCGTGCCAGCATTGTTTCTGCCAAGGGCATGTTCCAAGGTACCGTTGGGAAGATGCTGCCTCATGTGAACGTCCCATGCGTCCAGAAACGATCCCCATTTGAGAGGAACGCCTTTCTCGATCAGACTGTGGACATCCTGTTGATATCCTCCCAATAAGATGGAAACTTCAGCCATCTCGGAGATCTGGCGCGAAGTTTGTGCAAATGTTCGAACACTTTCCATCAAGCTGACGGCAAAAGGGTAAACTCGTTTGGCATCCTTGGCAGTGTTGGTCACGGAATGAGGTACATTGAAATTTTGCCATCCAAGATTTCGAGTCTCCTTGAACAGAGTGATGATCTGAGCATCGAAGTTGACGGAAAGGTCCAGCGCATTGTTTGCTGACCGAATCTTATTAATGTTGAACAAGCGGCCGGAAATGGTTATGTTCTTCCGAAGAACATCTTCGATCCATGCCTTGTAGATTGCCTGGGTATTCAACTTCTTCCTGAACAGATCGCTTTCTGTTTGCAGCTTTTGGCCTTCTGTATGGTGGATCCATTCGGAGCCCAGGATATCTTCCACCTTCCTCATATAACCATCTAGTTGGCGCTCAATCTGTCTGGCCCAGATGATGGCGCCTGATACTGGCGGCAAGTCATGCAATTGGGCCATCGCGTGAGCCTCAGAGTGTCCATATTGTTGTTTGAACCTTTCATGAAGTGCTGAAATGGCCTGCTTGACATTTTCGATGAGCTGATTCTGATACTCGGCAATGGCACCTCGAATCTTGGGTCGCACAAAGAGCGCGTTGAATTGGGAAAAGACCCGGAACATTTCATTGGCATTTTTCGCGGTTGCAAGGCGATCACGCAATCTTGCAATGATGGAGTTTTCTACACGCGTCGTTCGCTCGTTGTAAGTGTTCTCAGCGCGCGCCCAGCGCTGCGTGCCTTCTTCAGACACATCTAACAGGTCGACGTTCTTCAAGGCATCCCAAGCTTGCTTCACCTCCTGAACAGCATCCACATCGCCCAGCTCCTCTGTCAGAACAGCACCGTTTGTGGGCGGCTCGGCGCCATTGACAGTTGCTTTGGGCCCCAGAACGATGACGATAGTCTGTTGAAGTTGCTCGTGGTTCTCTCGGAATGTGGCAATGTACTTGAGTCGTGCTTGCAAATCACTATGACGCGGATTGATCTTGATTGGAATGAACTTTTCTTGCCGCCTTCTGGTAGTTTCACGTGCGATATTGGTGAATTCCTTGATTTGGGCATCCCATCCCTGGAATATGTCCTCGGCAGTCCCCATGAGGGCTTTGAAATCGTCATATTCCAAGTTGACTAGGTCCGTACCTGGTAACAGGCGGTGCATGACCTCCTTGAGGTCGGCTGAGATAGCCTCGACAAGATCTAGAGTACGCTTGATGGGATAGTTACTAAACCTCATCTTTCTGTTCATGTGACCAAAGATCTGAACGATTGCAACATTGACCTTTGAAAGAGACGTGGCAGATAGGAGGTCGTCGAGGGGGAAGTCCCGCATTAGTTGGTTATACTTCTGCACCGTGTCCATGGCTTCTTTCAGCCCCGTATCTGAGGAGAAACTGACAGTGGCTTGGAAGCGTTTCGCATGCTTGAGGATCTCGAGGGTCAATGTCACGCCCTCGCTCCGCAGTTGCTGCTCGATGCCTTCTAGAGCGGACTCCATGGACAGCCAAAAGTTGATCTCTTGGGTGGCAGTCCTGGTAACTGGGTCTCTCGTCATCTTGGTAATGCTCTGGATCTGCTTGATCCAGTTGTTGACTGTGGATTGAAGGTTGTTCATGAATGTGCTATCGGAGAGCTTGAACGCTGGTATCATGTCGGTGGATGGTCGTGTGCCTTGAGCAGCAGCACTGTCTAGAACGGACTGTACGTCGGGATGGAAAGGCAGGAGCAGCTCGGGGATTTCAACATTCTGCTGAAGATGCAACAAACTGAGTTCGAGCTCGGTCAGACGCTTCTTGGTGACGGGGATGCCCGTCTTTGCATCAACATCTGCTCTCCTCGTTCCGCTCGCGGACTGGGTGGACTTTGTGCTGGCGTCAAAGTAAGGAGCCAGAGCATTATGAACAATAGTATGAAGGATCTCGAAAGGCGAAGCGGAAGGTCCTTGGTCGGCAACGACATTACTGAGAGAGGCGGCGCCGGGCAAGGTCTGAATCTGGATCTGCGAAGTCAAAGGCAGCGAGGGGTCGATGGCATGGGGACGTTTGAGGAGAGCGAGGTAAGCTGCGATGGTTGGGGCAGCCGAGATTTCGGACGTGATTGTATACGAGTATAGAACAGGAACGTTGTCCAACGGTCCGTCTGCTAAGTCTAGATCTAGGCTTGAAACAATTTCCTTCTGGATGTATAGTGCGACCTGCGAGTCACTTGCGAAGCGCGTGCATCGCTGAACGGTGTCTGCATAGTTTTCAGTGGACAGCAGGTTCCCTTCTCTTTCTAGATCCTGGCGCGATGCTCCGAGGGCTATGGTGACAATGGCAGCAAGGTGCTGTACCACCTTGTCGGGGTCGATCATGACGAGGGAGGAGGGAGATATGCCATTAGCAGTAGGCTCCTGGTGCCCCAGCGGGGAGGCCGCCGTCTCCATCATGATGGCGGGTGGGAGGAGGTATTACGACGTCGACGGAGCTGGCATCGATGGCATCGAACGGCATAGGGTTTGGAAGCGGAAGCTGGCTAAGATGTCGACAGCCTCGGCATAGATAGGGGTGCGGTGCGATTTTCGAGGCGGTGCGGTGCCGTGTGTGTTGCGGTGGCGGCTCGACGAAACAAAACAACGACGACACAAATACAACAAATGAATGTGGGAGGTCTGGAAGAAGCAATCTTCTTCAGTGACCCGTGGCAAATGGTGGTTAGATTATCGTGCTGGGTGGGTTCGTAGGCATCTAATGAATCAGCTCGAAGTAGGTAATTTATCTACAAAGGGTTCCAACGATTGGGCCCAAATACAGACTTGGCAGCTTGGAGTGCGGTAGGTTAAATCAAAATGTTTGTTTGAGACGCGCAGAGGTGCGCTGAGCAGGGGGGAAGCTCGCGACGCAGCTCCAACGCCAGCATTCAAGACCCGCTACTTCTACTTCTTCTCCATACATAAGTAGACTAGTCCGTGGAGCCAGGGGTCATACGTATGGTACGGTACGGTAGGTAAGGAGAAGGCTCCCACTAATCACATGTTATCAAGTGGCTAACCTACTGTACCGTACTATAAGCGTCGAAGCATGCACATTAGCTACTGTAAGTTTCCATCGGTTTTATGTACAAGTACGCCCCCGCCCCGGGCCCTTCCACGCCCACAGCTGTGCTTGACACGCAGCACGTATGAAAGTGGCCTAACCTGGTTTACTAGTTTCTCTAATGTGGCCTGCCAGCCTCAAGTCAATGCATACACACATAACCTTGTGTACGGATCCCATACTGAGGACCGTTCAGGGGTGTTTACGGACAGGGGTCCACTTTGGGTGTAAGGGCAGGTCCGCCATATTTGTCATGTACTATAGTAAATAATTACACCTCCGCATACAAATGCAAAACAGCTAAGCTCTCGTACTACAGGTAGTCAGTCTACACGTAGATCCTGAGCCATCGTCGCAGAGCACCGAGAGCCCGCTCAATTAGAGATCTCGAACTGTCAGTATCGTGTTTAGTTTGGTGAGCTCTAGAAAACGCCATTGTCATTGTCTTCAGCACCCTTCCGTATATCATAGCACCCAATGCAATAGCATCTCGACGCTTCTGCCCTGTTTTCAATCCCATAATCGTCAAAGGCTCATCTCGGCCATTTAATCGCTATTAAACCATACTTCATCCTTAACGCCGGCTTCCTTTTTGTTCCCTGTGTAAATGAGCAATACGCCAACTCCTGTCCTGTTTTCCGTTTGGCCATACAGTAGTCGACCACTTGACTCCCCACGCCGCAGCAGATATTTCACGTGCCCTGCCCCGGCGCAAGCCGCCCATGGAACATAACCACGTTCGTGCGTTGTTGGCATCAACTGCTGGATGCGCTAGCTTCACCACTCCCATCTCCCGAATCGAGCTTGTGTCTTTGGAGCATGACCCGCTGGTTGCAAAGATCAATAAACATCTCGAATTTCTCAATCATTTTGTCTTTCTCGCGGAGATCATCTTTGAGCTTCTCGATTTCTTTTTGCGTCTCCTTTTTGAGCTTCTCCAAGTCGTTCTTGGCGTTCTGGAGCTCTCGGCGCAGATCAGTCCGGATGCGTTCTTCCGGTGAAGGGGCCGGCTTGCTATATATCGCAGGTCTCTCTTCTGCGATACCAACATCCACCTTCTGAGGATTGCGATTGATAGCCGCGCGGGCATTGTAGATATCTCTAGGGAGGAGAGGCACGTGAGGGTTCTCCTGTTGCAAAATCTCCAAGGTTTGGGTCACGCCAACACCTGGATATGTCAGTATCTCACGACATGACAGGCTGATCTCTTGTACTTACCGTCCTCCTTGAGTTTCTTGACAGCCGCTACCATCTTGCTGTCCAACTTCCTGGCGGCCGGATGAAGCAGTGGGCTTTCGCTTGGCCCATGATTATGTGTGAGGTGAATTGTATCAGGCCGGTAGCGTATGGTCCACTGGGTTCGCTGCTCAATGGCAAAAAAACCAAAAGGACAATTACACTTTCGCGAAGATGTCTTCCTCTTTCTCTGTTCCGGACTGACCCGGCTAGGAGGCTTTCCGGCACGGTCGCAGACGAACAGAACCTTCTTCAGACCGGGGACCGTTTTCTTAGACCGTCCAATGACCACAGCATAACCTACAGATGTGCAGTAGGATAAGACTTCCTTGTGTACCGCTTCAAGACTTGCGTAGCTCCCACCTTCCGGGGGAGGTGACATCATAGCTCCCATAGGCGTTCGCGGCACATATGGAGTCCCCTCAATCAGCTTGGGCGAGATGTCGTCTCCGTCTCCTGCCTCTTCCTGACTGTCAACCTCCATTTCTGTACTGTGGTGGTCATCAGACGGAACAACAATGGGCTCGGGCTGCGGCTGGGGAGGAGCACTAGAAACTGGGATTTGCTGTGTCGGCTGCGGCTGTAGGGGTGCGTGTGGCTGATGGACTTGGGCAGGCAAGGGTTGAGGGGCTTGTTGATGGTTCTGGGCATGTGACTGCTGTTGGTGTTGCTGCTTGTGAGGGTGCTGATGCGGCGGCTGATGGGTTTGGGGATGAGGTTGATGACGTGCTTGTGGGTGAGGCGCCTGGTTCATGAGGTTGGGATCGCTCGGCTGGTGAAGTTGCTGCGGCTGTTGGAACTGCGGGACAGGCTGTTGTGACTGTACCGGCTGGACCTGCTGGACCTGGGGAACCTGTTGGACCTGCTGTGGCATCTGGTGCGTCTGTTGCAACGGCTGGACCTGTTGGACCGACTGCGGCACCTGCTGTTGTACTTGCTGCTGCACCTGCTGGGGGATCTGTTGGCTCATCTGCTGCTGCACATAAGCCAACTGGGTTTGTGACTGCGACATATGGCGTTGAGGAGCGGAGCGCTGGCGTGAAGCGGCCACGGCAGCTGCGGTGTGAGCCTGGGTCGAAGCATGTCTGCCAGTGCCGTTCGGAAGGCTATGAACTCCGGGTACGGGAGAAGGTGTTGTCGAGAAGAGCGGAGGAGGGTAGGTGCCCTGAGGCGGCTGCTGGGGGGTGTAATGCTGAGGTGGCCCGTATGGGGACTGGTGTTGCTGCTGTTGGGGTGTCGGGGAGGGTTTGGGAGGCGTTGCGGAGTGCGATGAAGGAAAGCCGCGTCCTCTCAGTCCGTTGGGTTGAGGAAAACTGAGGCCGGGCACCGAGTGCGAGTTCGAGTTGTGGGCATTGGGCCCGGTCTGACCCAAGGCCGACATGCTCGGCACCGGAGGGAAAGGGAAGGCAAGGGCACACAAGAAACGAAGCAAACAAAGGACAAGAAACAACGATGGACGACGATGATGGATACCCAGAGGTTACGAGCAATGATACGGACACCCGAGCTAGGATGCGATGGTCGTAGCAACCCTGGCTGGCGGCGCGATGAAGGGTGGGAGAGGGAGAGGCGTCTGTATATCACGATGCGATCATTCACACGGGTGTGTGCTGAATGGGATTTGGCAAGAAAACTGGCCTTGCTGCGAAACGGGGGGATCGTCGCGCTTTGGGGGGGGCGGGCCAGCTGGGGCTCAGGCTTGCTGACAACATTAGTTAGTTGCCTGCTTAAGGTATGTATGCACATGTAATCCATGAGACCCAGGGGTGTACAGCATCGACGTGGCCTAATTATAAATACTTGTAGTGGGCAGAGTGGGCAGAGTGGGAAGAGCCAAGACGCGGTAGGCCGTTCTGGGGATAACCTTCCCGTTGACCCTTCAGGGGGAGCACCCGTTTGCTTGCATTGACAGGTCCATTCATGTCAATGCACGACACGTTCAGGCTACTGAAACAACGCTGCCGCGAAGACTTGAATACACATGTATATACATGCGTATATCGACATGGAAATATTCAGTTGTTCGTTGTTGACAGATCACTGCATCGCCTTCTGTCAAAGTGTGAAGCCATCAGTGCCTTTCGGGGTCTCGCCCGAACGAGAGCCCACAGGTCTAAATCCAACTGGCTTTCACAAACAATTCTTTCAACCTAAAACATATACCAAGTATAGGTATATATGTCTGTTACGCTTGTCGTGCACTCGACTCATCTCTGTCTGATCCCTATGTAATCGTAATACGAAACATCCGTCTATTCAGCCAGACTGGCAAATAGCTGTCCAAGCCCATCATCCTTCCGATCGAGATGATCAATAACACTCTCCAAAATACTTAAAGCTTCTTGACTCAACATAGAGCAATTACATTGTACATTTCCTCGATCTTCTTAGCGCTTGCCGTCCTCATGTAGACTAATATAAAATTATCCGGGATGGTTGGGTATATCTAGTTGATCAAGTACATGGTTGCTGAACACGGTGTGCTGCGCAAGGGCGCTGTACAAACTGTGGCGTTTGGAATCAGCCTATTAGACTACGGGGAGACGGCGGGGAATATCCGACTCCGATTGTAGCATTCAACCACAACGAAGCATCACAACACCATTCCCATGCCATTTGATAACATTGTCTCATACGTCCCAGTCCAATCCACTTTTCAAGAAAACTTGGGGACTGCATCTCGCGTTACTTCTCTCTTTCGAGACAATCGCTGTCAGTATCTCGCCCCCAAGCCTGGATGGACTCCCACCTTCGGTTAACTCTATTGCAGCTTAGAACCCGTGGACTTTCAAAACATATGATATGATCGTAGATAATACCGACCAGGTTTGCTATCAATATCATAACCAACATAAAATCAATCTTCGTTCGCGGTGGAGGCTGATGTCTTTGCATACTTGTGTAGCACATACAGCTACACAGCTGTCAGTCCCTGCCCTCTGAAGATTTGCAACTGCTTCAATCTAGTGCCAGGAAAATCAGGGTTGCTTACATCGTCGACCACGTTGGAGTCAGTTACAGCAAGGCGTCACATCAATCTTACCCTGTGTGAATCAAGTGTCCCTAGCAGCATTGCCCTCTTGAGTTTTTCTACCTGTAATCCCGCCCCAACAATTTCTTTTTCTTTTCTTTTTTACACATCAGAGACCTGCAGCGTTCACGCATGGCCAAGCATACAAGTCGTTCGCCCCGGCTCCAACATTGAAGGAGTGAGCATCAATTCGGCTCTTTTCATCAAATTTAGTATCTGTCATACGGTCGGTTTCTTCAACTCGTGGAGATTTGAAGGTTGGTATCTGAACCTTCTTAAATATCACCGTCCGGCATGCCAACAGCAGGACACCGGAGTTCATGGTAACACATTACAACAACCTGTGCCACCACCAACCAATGTCGGCTTTTTGCCTTCTATCACAGTATGAGGCCTGAGATTCATAAACAGTTCCAGGACTGGCTTACTACCTTGCGTCGGGGCCAGAACAGAATCACGTATTGGAAGCGCGACCCTATCAGGCGATCAGATCCGGCCCTGGAGGTCATTGCACCTCATCCGTGCCACAGCTTGTTCAAGGATAGGACTGAAGCCCGACTCGATCTTATGGGATTGCCAGATTGCTTGTCGCAAATCGATGTCATCACACAGCAAAATCATCGAGAGGAATCAGGAAGTAGGCGATACCAGTTCCTTGGTTTGGCCCCGGAGCTGAGGAATATCATATATCACTACTGCATCGACTATCCCACTTGCCGTGAGCTGTTTCATTCCTATTACACGCAAGAAGAGCAGCGAAAGTACGATTCTCATGATGATATAAAGGGGAAGCGGCCTTTGTTATTTAAGAGAAATAACACTGGTCTCAAGCTCCAGACGCCGACCGTCTTTCTCCTTTGCAAACGGATCACACGGGAAGCCCTCAGTGTTCTGCGGACTCGAACCTTCGTCTTAGACAATATCCCGCCGTGGCTCATGGGTCATTCAGTCCCCTTGCCGGTAACATCCTTTATTTCCGTCCCGACGCTGGAGAGCATCAGGTACATGGAAATTCGTATCGCCTTAGGTGAAGGCAGTGGCAGTGGACGAACATGGAAGAGAGTGATAGATCAGCTTCTAGAAGTTTTGACGAAGCACTCCCTGATCAAACTCAAAGTCATGTTCAAGCTCAAGGATATTAGACACATGCCTCAGTGGTTTGGTGAGCTTCAAGCTTACCAACGTCTCATTGACCGAGTAAGATTATTCTAGCCTTCTCTTCGGATCTTTTCAACTGACAGTGGACCAGTTTCTACGCTGGGAGCTCTTGACGGCAAAGAGAGGGGGTTTACTCGAGTTCGAGTACTGGCTAATCGATGGGTTTTACGCTTACAAGCATAGTGAGCATTGCCGAAGTACGGTTCAAGATTACTTCCTATATCAAAACGACCTTTACGAAGCTGATTGGTTACCCAGATCCTGCGATTCGACGATATCCAGACGGCGATGTCTGGGTTGGAAGTCTACTTCAGTACGTGTGATCCAAATTGGGACGTGCCTCCACTCTGCAAGAGTTCAGACTGCGATACCGAGTTTCTAGCTACAAGTAGAAAGCTGCGGAGCTCTAATGGTGTGTGGTTTCCGTACGACCTCGTTCGTTCAACGGTAGTGTGAGGTCTCCAGGACAAGAGACTTTATGGCGATGCAAGATTCCGGGGCGATGCAAGAAGGGAAATACTACGAATCATTGAATCAATACTGTATTTGTGTCTGAGAAGGTTGGACATTTGAGAATATCAAAAACACACATATAAACACGCTGGCGTGTATGCTTCCTGTGCGCGATCCTAGTGACTAACCCAGATCCAAATCTAAAAGTAGTTATGCAAATGGTATCTTCCCATACAAAACCTGTCCCAATGTCTTCATCTTTCTTTCTCTTAATGAAACCACCTTCAACGCCAGCCCATTATCCCGCTATGCATTAAATCCTACACAGCCCTGAGTTTCCTATCGACTGTATCCTTAATCATCATCCGGCTTCTTTCTTTTTGTAGGCCTTTTTTGGTTTCCCTCGCCCTCCACAAAATGATCCTTCTCTATCTGGTGCTGTCGAAGGTTGTCCGGTCTGTTCTTGTAGGCGCTAGTGCAGCCCGGAAACTTGCATCTGTAGATCTTGGGCGGCTCTTTCGAGTGCTGCAATTTCTTGTGCTTTGCCATTGAACCTTTAAACCACTGCGGGTCGCCCTTGGGGCGGTAACCACAGATTTCGCAGCAGTCATTCGCTTCAGTCCTCGGTCCTGAGGTGTTGCCTTCCGCTGGTGTTGAAGCGCTGCTCTCCTCCTTTTGTGATGGCACAGAGGTGGGTGCGGCTGTGAACACGTCGTTTTGGTGTATGGTTTTGTGTTCATATGCGATTGTCTTCTCTGGCCTGCTTAAAATACTATTTTCTGTCTCGGAGCCCGTGTGATTTAGACTTTGGGGATCGACGGTAGTATGGTCCGTCCCTAGGATTCCTGTTGCAGTGGGTATTATGTGTGATGTGTCCCTTTTGGAACCATAATCTGTTTGCTCCAGTGATGTTGTTGTAGGGTCAATAAAATTCTCGCCAGCCAATGCACTGTTGTCAAAATCTTTCAAAAATGCTGCCACAAAATCAGGGTCATCTGGTAAATCTAGGCTGAAGTCCGATGTACTGTCATGCACTTGATCTGAAGTTGAAAGATTTATGACTGGTGTAGTTTGAGCGTCGATATTCTGTACCAAAGACTCGACCAGAGCGACTCCGAGTCTCTGATAATTTGATCTAGGGTTTGACCCGCGCTGGCTGTATATAGGATCACAGAGACCTCTGACTTGTGGGATATAATCTTGAAACAGCTCTAGCGCAGGTAGGGCGTTTTTCCCGGCTTGGAGTAACTCCAATTCAAGACAACGAATCGTAGTCACATAGCCACTGGTAACCTTTTGCCCAACAGCTCTCAGTTTTGGTACAAGGTCTTTGCTCAACGGCCCGAACTTTTGACTGAGCACCTGGATAATGTAGTTCACCGTGATAGAAAAAGCATCGTTGTTTAGCTGAGTAGTTGGCCCCGTTTCGGCGATGTGAATCGAGTAAAGCTCCGAAGTCATAGTTTCAAGGGGACGTGTGGTGTTATTCCCACCAAGCAACGACGTTTCGAGATCTGTATTACAATTAGCTACGATTCTTAGGAGCCAATGCATGTATTCTTCCGCTACACGGATCTTGACTCAAGATTACACTAACAATGGAATTTGCTAGTCATATGAAAGAATATATTTGTTGTTGTTAATGGGGTAACTCACCATCTAAAAAGTTCTGGGCCACAGCGACTAGTGGATCAGATTTAAAAGGAATGGGTGTATTGTCACGCAATTCTAGCTCTTTTCCTTTCAAGCTTGATGAGCGGCCCAGTTGGCTGTTAGAGGTTTCCAATTCCCTAGGTTCCCAGATTGCAGTAACCAAAGCAGAGTAAGAATCCCGATCTCGCGCTGGCAAGAAATTTCGATATGCCAGGGCCTGCTTGAACAGCTCATCAATACGTGTCGATACATCTTCCTCATGGATAACAAAGGAGAACGCATAAATCAGATGAACAAAACAGAGGTAATCGAGAGGGTCATTAAGGTCTGTACCACATAAGATGCGTTGCAGACCTTTCAGGCCTCTCAGAATCATATCCTTTGGTGAGAACATCTCGAGTTGTCGAGCCAGGGAGTTGTTGATATGCGCAACATTGGGCATCGAAAACGTCATTTGCTCCTTTAAGGTTTCCCAAGTATGACTGACCAAAGTCCGCGCATCGCAATTAAATTCCTCGCTTTCCATGTTCGGATCATCGTTGTTTCCGGTAAACAAGACATTGACTTGAGTGTCGACAGTAGAGGACCATGAATAGTTATCTTTAGGATCAAGAGAGAATGTGAGTGGCTCAACACCCCAGCTTCTGGGCAACGCCATGTTAAGCGGCATGTCGCCAGGGAGCTCAGACACGTTATTTAGAGTAAAGCTACTGTCCGAAGTAGCCAAACCCGTGTGTTCAATCGACCTACTCTTGTATGGCTGATCGTTCCAGCTTGAGAGTAGAGACGGTAGCCGGAAATCCTTGGGGAATTTGCAGCTATTCTCTCGGGACAACGAACTAGACTCGGCATCCGAACTGAACGGGGTGATGGGCGATGCCAGGGTCGTATCGATGGATGACTCATTAGCCCATAACCCTGATGCTGCACTAAGAGGAGAAATAATACCCTGCGAACTGTTGTTTGAACGCAATGAAGAACTTGGTGAGAGGAATGTTGTTCGCGGGACTTTGTTCGGGCGCCCCGTATTGTGAGTATCAAGTGTTAATGATGGTCGGCTCCCGTTGTTGTTCACAAGATTTTGCAGGCTATGGCCAGGTAGTGGCGGCGTCACAAAATGGGACACCACTGGAACCGGAGCATCGAAATCGTTGAGCGGTTGGGAAATATCCTGTTGTGGTTCGTAGTTTATAGACGCGAGCTCAACGGGGAACATTGTCTGCGCATCCATCTCACTAATCGGATTACCGCTGATCTCCGGTTCGATAGGAAGCTGCAACTCTTGATCCTCATCTTGATTCGATTCGATGTCGAGAGACTCATAGCTTGGAGGAGGCGGTATCATAAACTCATCTTGGCCAATTTCAGATGAGCCAGCTCTCCGTGGTTTATGTCCAAGAGTTGAGAAGACCTTCTTCGCTGCGTTGATAATTCGCCTTCGTTTCGTTTGATGACCAAGACAGCACTTGCATTTCCCGTCGTTGAATCTTTCGACTCTCATGCAATCATAGCAGAGATACTCTCCCGTCTCAAGATGTCGACAACGGCTCAGATGCCTAAGCATGGTCTCGTGATCGCCAAACTGTTCACCGCATCGTACCAATGGACACCTCAATCTGTCACTCGCTGCCATTCGAATTGATCTATTTCGTTTGACAGCAGCCCAAACAATGAATCTCTGCTTCGCACAGTCATCTTCCGAGGCTTGGCGAGTTCTGTTGAGTTCAGTCAGCTCAGCTGTCACTAAGCCGAGAAGTGGCCTATGCTCACACGCAGGAGACTGAAGTCGTCGACCTTATTACTTCTGGACTCAAACTAGATCCGGAATTCCTTCTCAATTCTACAGAATCACGAATGCGTTGTGTCATTCGCCGGGGTGTTGGACCTTCTTGATCGTATACTGAAATGTCGGTGGTGGCCGAGCGCACTTCAACCGTGCCGGAGCCTTTCTTTGACTCCATTGTAATTCAAAGTTCAGGGCAATACGCAGTCTGCGCTCAACACAAAGAAGACATAGTTCAAACGGGTTCGAGTATAATTAAGAGTGGCAAATCAACACGGGCCCTATCGTGCGTCCTTAACTTTGAATTATTGAAAAGTCATCTTCCATGCTGCCTCCAGAGGATGACGAGGTCACCCTCTGTTAGGACTGACCAGATACATTGGTACTTGGCGTAGGACTTTTGCGGAGGCCTTCGCACGTTCATTGGTAGAGTCGCTTACCTGGCAATGCCGGCCTTTGCGAAGGATCGAAGGCCGACGGGTTGGGGGCGGAATCTTACTCGGCAAGGTACGACAGGCAACAAGGCTGAATCGGCGGGGTCCAAAAGTGCCCTGAGAGCCAGGTGGATAAACCAGCTTCGAGGACAAAGGACTCTCTGACTTGATTCGCGCAGCCACCAATCAGGCGCGCAGTGAGATATTGCTGACCGAAAGGCAGATGTGGAAGGGAAAGACATGGGCGGGCGAGTATCATCAATCAGTTCTGGAGGCGCTTGCACTCGGTCCTTGACGAATGTCCTAAAAGGTTCCAAAGCTGCCAAGAGCATGAAATTGTTTGCGGTGGATGGATAAATCCATGAGACAACACGTCAAAGTGCAACGCTGGAGATAGAGCTGATCCATGATTGGGGAACTTTCCGAAGTCGATACAATATGTCGACATAATCATTGTCCAAGGGCTGGGTTTGCGGATATGTTTGAGTGAGAAACACTTGCGAATGGGTGAAAGAACGAGCTGGATTTTGCAAAGGTTTAGGGACTAGTCACTCCTTACTCCAAACTTATTGAGCTGAGCTTGTGTGCTTTAAGTCAAGTGTAGTGTGCCACATTCATAGCAAGACCACCTTAACCATTCATTTACTTTGAGGAAATGGCAAACGAAATAGTCGCAACGGGTAGGGCGAAATGGATGATCAGAACCTGTCTTTTTTACTCAAAAACTTAGAAATTGCTACCTGGCTAGAGACGACGGTAGGGCTGATGATCGTCCAGTGGTCTTTTCCCTCAAACGGCAATATGGCTTCAGATTGGTGCGCGGAGCGACTGGAGTCCTGCCAGTCCCATGGTAGTAGCGCCAAGCATGAAAGTGGAGCGACAACCATCGCCTGCCCATGTCACATCTGTAGGACTTTTGAAAAGCTCGAGGACGGCAGTCCCTTGACCATGAATTGTTGGTTCGCCAGACTGCCAGATACTATCGATCTCATTTGACGGCGGGCACCGAGCCGTAATCAGATCTTTTTGAGCCTGCTGCGATCCAGCACATCCCATCATCGTTCCGGCCCCCATCGTGGGCTGCCGTTGTAGCACAATATTAGGTAGGCGCACTATCGATGTTGGTAAAGTCTTGGTCATGATATCGCTCAAGAAATGGTTGGTGTTGTTGCATTCAGAGTACTTTCATGATTGAGTTGTATATCGATTTGGTGGAGCAACAGACAAAACGGTTACCTGCAGTGGAAATTGGTGAATTGTTGTGCTCATTGCATCGCGTGCTCTTGTTGAGCAAGACCCGTCGCGTAAACGGATCGATTATTTCGTCCTTGGTTGAATCAGCCGCCCGTAGCGAAACATTGGCTGGCATTACATAACTCGAAGGATATACCGAGCCCGAGGATCTCGTTAGAGTTCAGGTTAATGTCCAGCTTCCACTATCGGACCCGAACCAACCAACGGCAAGACTCAGACTCAAGCCCGCTCAAGAAAAAAACGGCATGGCCGGACCTCCCAACCTGTCCCGAGTTTATCACTACAATGCAGTCACCAATAGCATTCGCAATGCATTGGTTGCCAAGCTGGGTTGTTGTTGCAATGCCCTCATTATGATGTGCCCCGTCGTTCATATTCTGCAATGAACAATTCTCGTTCTGAGCGACTCCCGTCGACCCTAGTCGGTTTCGAAACATGCATGTCCGAGCTCACATGTCTTCGTCTAGACTCTTACAGATCTTCACTGTCTCCTCATCCCCAGACTGACCCAAGTGGTGCCCGCGAGATATCTCGAGTTTCAGATTTACCTGGGTTGACCTTCAAGAGTGGACGATTGGTTTAGGGTCTCCTCCCATGCACCTCAGATTATTCCAAGCTTTTTAGAAACGGGGCCAACGGTGGTGCAATGGAGACAGCTTGGCGACAACAGGTGGGGGCATGCGTCAGCTCTTTGGGTTCAAGCTTCCTGTCTCGTCTTCCCGACCAATACTCTTCGGCCGATCTGGGATGGGCATGAAGCGGCCGCGACATAGAATAGACACGAAGAACCGTGGAAAGGTATGAAAAATCACCTCATCTTGAACTCTGGAAGCTCGTCTCCGCTTCCGAAACAGGCATCGTGTTAGTCTCGTACAGATCAGATCAGAGCACATGGTTCACGGCGGTCTGAATAACTAGCTGGACCCATCTGGATGGGTCAATCACTAGTCCAAAACACTTGAGCCCATCATAGGCTAGACTTTATCATCACGATGAAGCCATGTGCAGCACATGATGGTAGACTTTTTTGTGAAGCCAGCAATGCATTGTACAGAGATAGCCAACACCCAATTCCCTGCTGTTGGCTTTTGTGGCGCCCGTCTAATCGATGCTATTCGTCTGGCTGGAAGAGTCTTATCAGGAAGCCCCCCGGATCCGAAAGAAAAGCGTGATCGCGTTGCAGGATGACATCTTGTTCCCCTTGGCAACTGTGATAGGCACAGCGATTGAATTTAAGGGGGGGGCGTGTTGGTATTTGGGCTTCTCTCGCTCGGGGCACATATGGGGGGCAGCAGAACGCATAATATCGCGAGTCTGATCATGCCTATCTATGGCTCGGCACATGTTACTGGCTGGTTCCATTTTTCCTTCGCTCCTAATCTAGTCTCAACGTCTCGAAAGAATATGATCTGCCATATATCCACCTCGAACGTGCTCAAAGAGACCCTCCATTGTCGATCAAGGATCCCCTATTACTTTCCAGTTGCATTTGTATCGGGGACGCCCACTTGCATCCTTCACTGTGTCGTCATCCTTCAGTTCCTTTGAAACTCGTTCGTCGCACAGCTCATATTTTCTGGAGACACAAAAAGTCTGTAACGACAAACGCACAAAGCGATTCGAAAACGACTTAAAATCGCGTTCAGCCTCAAAGTGCCATCCGGAAGATTTCGTTCGACTTTCCAGGGTCCAGAAGCAGCACTTTCGACGCAGCGAGCCCCTCCAAAGCGCGGCAGTGTTAAATTAACATTTTTGCTGGAGCCCGCTCAAACAGACGCTTGGACAACCTGGACCAGGACCAGGACCAGGACCAGGACCTGGACGTTTGGAAGTCTCTGCGCCAGCCTTTTGATAAACAAAAAAAAAAAAAAAAAAAACCAGAGAAAGAAAAAGAGGAAAAAGAAAAGAAAAAACCTATTGGATTTTTACAGTTATAGAAATTGAATATCCACTGAAAATCAACACTACCAACGACTTTTCAATTCTTTTCTCCTGCAAGGTCCTGCCATCACAACTGCAAGCGCTGGTCGCCCAAACACAATGCAGACATGGCGCACGTGGTACCTCGCGAATTGAACCTCAGTCATTATGGCCACAACAACGTGGTGGACAAGATCAATATCTCGGTTGTGCCTGGATTGAAGACTAGTACTGGTGAGTATTCCAGATTTCCCTCGATTTCGCTCTTTAAACTTTTCTTGGCTTCCCTTATACCGTTGTCGCATCACATCGCATCGCATCTTTTGGCTGCACCTTCGAGGTAGCACGTGTATAGTGGGGTGTAAGTCACATCGTGAAGTCGCTTTGTAACAGGCCTGAATATTGTCCGCAAATGGAGTGCCATCCAAGCCATTGAGCACCCAGGCACTAGGTAGCCATTGTCGCCGCATTTTAAAGAGCACGCAACAATAACACATACCGCCAAGGCTCATGCATCGCCATCCTCAGATGACACCGACGATGACGGCAGCCAATGTCTATGACACACTCCAACACGAGATACAATAAAGACTAATAAGCCTTTCATCACAGCTTTCTTCACTTTCCTTCGCGCAAACCTCAACGTCAATCCCAGCGCCGTTTCTACGCCTCTCCTGCAACCGACATCGACTCTGCCACCACCTTCACCATTGCCCCTGATTACCATGGACTCCCCAGCGCCCTCGAACCCGGAGCGAAAGCTCGAGCCCGTCCCGGACGATCTTCCTCAGCTGTCGTGCGGTGTCCTGATCGACGAGGTCGACAAGCTCGATGCCCTGAATCTTGTGACCGACTCCATCGCGCAGCAGCGCCAGACGACCTCTCTGCACCTGGTCTTCCACCCGTACCTGCTGCCTCTCCTCATAGCCGCCCTGGGCGTGGCATTCCAGTACAGCTGGCGCGTGAAGCGCGACCTGGGTATGGCGCTGATGCTGCACAGCGGCGTCGTCATGACGTACCTGCTCGCCATCCGGTACGTAACCGGGCGATACATCGGCGTGGCTGAGTCGATGCGCTGGGAGTGGATGCAGGCCGAGGACGGGGAGGAGGACACGGTGGTTGGCGTCCGGTTCGGCAGGGAGATCATCGGGGCGCTGATGCTGCGGCTCGAGCCCAGCTCCAACCCGGCGGGGAAGAAGCGGACGCGGGCCTCGGCGCTCAGGGGCGGCAAGGGCGTCATCCGGGCGTGGACCGTCAAGCTGCGTTTCAGGGGCAAGGGCGTCGGCGCCGACTTGCTGAAGGAGGCCGTCAAGGTCACCAAGGAGAAGTGCGGCAGGGACGCTGCCGTTGGCTTTGCCAAGGAGCATGCGAACAGCGAGGTCGTGGTGCCAGAGGCACTAAACGGCCTGATGCGCAAGGACGAGCAGAGGGCGGCCAAGGCCCTGGAAAAGGTCGTGTCCGAATGGGAAGAGGCGAGAAGACACAAGAGAGGCAACTCGAGGTAACTTCCTTTGGGGGGGGGGGGGGGGGGTGGGGGGTTTCCCCCACCTTCCCCCAATGTTCAGATCTAGAGCTGGAGCTACTAGATATATAGATCTGTAGATCTTTCTGTCGCTACATATAGGCTTGGGTTAATATGTGCCGTTGGTACAGGAGAGTTAGGTTTAGAAGCACTGGATACTAGTCACTGGTTAGATGACTGGAGGTTGATACCCCATTTCCTTCGCTTTTGAGCATATAGTTGGATTTATAGTTAATGACAATAGCAATCTGCTATTCGAGGGCAGAGTAGTCTTTGCACCCATCTCGCCGTAGCTCCCGACGTCTCGTTTGTCATAGGTAGTCTATGGTTCAAGATACCCCGCTAATTCGGTGGCGTTAGTCAATTGTTATCTGCGCCATTCATATTATTATATCACAATGGACTGTGTTATGCCTTACACTTTGCACTTTCTGAAACAACTTCACCAAGTGTCATCCCATGTTCATGATCATTACAATACAGGGTATCTCAAGTAGCTGGATCCATATCATGCCCATTTGCCTGTGCGTTTCGAGCTCAGTTCCATCTACAATTTCTGATTGTCATTGGTTCCGTCATAATCGTAGCACAGGCGAGTGCCTCCTTGCCACTTGGACCGTATATGTTATCGTGCCCAAAGCTCGCCAGTTCCTGTCTAAAGATCTCGACGTATCAACGCTTTTTTGGGCCGGCCTGCGGCATCTTATAGCCATCATCGAAGCCATAGATAGGGCGACCCAGGCGTCTAAGTGCATGAAGGACCTGTAAAAGTCTTAGCGCCAGTTATAACTATACCGAATATGTAATAAATGCTTACATCCGTGGTGGTTACTGTCTTCGCTCTACGATACTCACAGTATGTGACACAATCTTTGAGAACCTAGAATTGAATATCAGTATCAGTGTAATACATATTGGGGGTTATTAAGCTTTACGCCTTCGAGGAACGTCTTCAGAACGCTCCGAACCTCATCGTAAATAGTGCCGGAGATACGTTTTACTCCGCCACGGCGCGCAAGGCGACTATGACACGAAGGTTAGACAATCCGCCAGATCCAATTAAAAGGGTACGGGAGCGATGGGTATGTGCCCAGTGCATGTCTCGCCGCGTACACGGAACCGCTTTCTTAGTGCAACCGGCAGCTAACAGCCAGTAAAGCTACTGAAGAATGAAAGAAAAAAAGAAAAAAGGGAAGAAAAAGGGATTGACGTACCGGATGGATCCTTTTGTGATTCCCTGAATGTTGTCACGGAGGACCTTTCTACCAGGACTGTTAGCTATACTGCTTCCATGGAATGGTTGCAAACTGCAAGTAAGCTTACCTGTGTCGCTTCGCCCCGGTCTTACCACCAAGACCTATCCCTTTGCCTCCTTTACCGCGGGCTTGCGCGATGCCGAAGCTGGCGCTTTTGCCAGCCATGATGCGCTCTGTTTCCTGCAGATTTCGTGCAACGAGTGGGGAGCAATGACAAGTCAGGCTCAGTATTCGGCGATAATGGACATCACGTCTGCGTTTGACGATGGTGATGAAACCCCACTTGAAATGGGAAAGGTAGTGATGTGTAACAGGTCGCCGAGAAATCGACTCCGACTTACGATGTTGACTTTCACTGCCGGTTTACGATAGAAGAGACGGGACTCGACGCGGGTTTTAGTGGGGAGGTAGTAGTCGCGCCGCCCGGGGCTGATTCTTATCGAATGATAAGAAATCACGCTAAATCACCGAGAAGCATTGCTGTACCTATCAACATTTTGATGATGATCTTTCGCTAAGGACAATCGTTCTTGGAGTATGTCACTACCATTGTATTGTGCTAGCTTGCTCGTGTTAAAACTACAGTACCAGAGGCCTGGATGGTTTATTTACTGTTTTTTAAAGTTCAATCAGTGCCAAATGATGTAATCCGCCGCAGCCGTATCGCTGGGACAACATGCAAGTAATTCCCCGTCGACGGTGTTAATTGCATAGTGGCAACTCAACACCTAGTCAGTCACGAGTTTTACCGGCTGTGCTGCCGCCGTAGGAACATATCTTATTGATAAAACGAGGGTATAGGATTATTCTTCTCATTACAAGGATTTATATAAAAACCTCATTCTAGGTAATATGCAATTTCCTCCTCATGCAAGTCGAATCGTCAAAGCGAGCGTGCTGGTCTTGGTGACCCTCTGAAAACGCCTTTGCCCATTATTCAATGCATCTGTCAGATCTAATTAGAATCAGTCGGACCAAGGGATAATTATTATGCTGCTTGCACCACTGCAGAATTTGCCAACGGGTGTTCATCCATTCGGGTAGTGCGGTTATCCTGCAATTCTTCCATATGCTTGCACCTGCTGTCGATCTACGACTGCGAAGCACCTGCATTAGAGTTCGAATTAGTGAAATAGATCATCACAAGGCATCATTGGGCAATCCTACCAGTATCTACCGCAGAGATGAAGGTAGCTTCACTGAAGGTTTTGCCTTGTTCAATGAAGGTCTCATCACCAATCTTCAGATTCAAGGTGAAGTTGGGAGGGGCAAACTGAACTGCATTAGTCCCTAACCGTAGCATGAATGGTCGGGGCAATGACTGTTTTTACCTGATAGATATACGGCTTTGTGCCGGCGGCACCAGCAACAATCTTCTTCACGAATGCAGGGACCTCGGCCATGACGTCGACACGGTCAAGTCGATGCTCAAAAGGCCCCTCAATGACAGCCTCGACAGGTTTTCCGTCCTTGGTCACACCAGACCATGTGAACCTGACTTCCTTGGGTTCTGGCCACTCGTTGTCCGAGTCTGGCTGGGTCTTGAGATGGACAACGTTGCAGTCGGTACCAGCGATGATGATCTCGCCGTCTTTGGCAATGCCGCCTATGTTGACGGTAGTGGTGCCGTACGATGGGGGCGTGGTGAATTGCATCAAAGCAGCCGAGTAAGTAGGGCCCTGGAAGTCGAGAAAGTTCCACTTGGCAGCAGCGTGATGCGGCTTCATCCCCTGGAGGGCATGAGAAAAGAAAGCTTGGCCCTTGAAGTCGATGGGGCCATCCTTGGTGATCATACTGCCTTCGGCGACGCAACGAGGCCAAAAAGCGTGTCTCATAGAACCCCATGGGTTCTTGAGGTCGGTGCCGTACAACGTCTTGCCATCCTTGCCGGCGACAAATCCTGGGGCAACCTTTGTGATCTTCAAGTTGACGATGCAGCGCTGGTCATTCATGGACTTGATCGTGTAGGAGTTTCCGTCTTCCGACAGTTCGAGAGCACAGTCCTTGGCATAAAAGTTCAGCTTATCTTGGCTGACCTCGTAATCGGTCAAGGGGTTCGAGCACCATAGGTGCGGTTTCGAGTTGTCGAGATATGAAATCTTGGAGTTGAACTGGACTGTGGTCTTGATTCCGCTTCACCGAAGGAGCATGTTAGCCGGGTCTGGGGGTGTGATGATGCGCGGGCCAAGTGCGTCTCGAAATAACCTACACGACGTTACTATAGATGACCTGGGCAAGACCAAGATAGCCACTGTCGGACATGAGGTAGAAACTCTGTGTCTCGACAGAGGTGGAGCCCATGATCTCCCACGTGAGGTCCTCCTTCTTGAGCTCGGTGTAGGGTGTGGTTTTGGCATCTTGGGCAACGGATTTGATTGCGGAAGGCCCGTAGATGGGCTCTTCTGTGCCGGCAACGTTGGCTAAACTTCATGGTTGAGGAGCATATGTTAGTGAAGGGTTCTGCATGTCTTGTCTTGTCTTGTTTTTGTTTCATCTTTCATCTTTGTCTTTTCCAGTGCTGTCCGGTGTGAGTGCTTGCCCTGGGCTCTGCCACTCTGCCGGCAGTGGCATGTCATGGCGGGGCAGGCGGATAGACTGGGAATAGAAATGGTATGGCGTTTGTAAGCCCAAAAGGTTATCAAACGTACGTCTGCTTGGCCCAGTTAAACATCTTCCTGACGTTCGATTTGGTTCCTAACTTGAAAGAATGGGTGTGATGCAGGAGGGAAGTAAAGTAAAGTCTTCTAGGTAGTAAACAAAAGGCGGTGTTAGTTTAGAAAGCAATCAATAGCGGGCGTATATCTACAGTAGGGGTTTTTTTCTGTACATATGTACAGCAGGTGGGAAGCGAATCACGATGGCGGCTGGAGAAAGCAAGCTCCAGTTATTGCTGAACGGAGGATCCAATGGAGGGGCAGAAGGAGCCGACTTTTGCGACCATTGAGGCGATCAGCGCTAGAGTTCTAGGTACGTAGTGCGTGCATAGTTTATTACTCGCTACCTTCCCTCAATGAGTACCGGCCCAGCACTGCTTCTTTTGCATGCAGCACATATCATGTACATAGTTAGCACGCAGCCCACTGCATTCGGCTCATTGCATTTATCAGCAGTACACTGCATCCAGTAACTACAGTACAGCGCAAGCAAAAGACCCCCCCGGATAGCGCTGTTTTTATTTTATGTCTGTCGCGGCTTATCCCGACTTAGACCAGCAGCCAAGTCGAGCTCCGGGCTACACAGGGGATGGGGACCCGGAACTGGGAGCTGGCAGCTGGAGTCCAGGTGGTTCTCAACTACTAGCGTCAAAATTTCCCCAAGCATCGCGCTCCTTGCAGCTCAACCGTCTTGATTCGAGGAAAACGATTCGCGACAGAAACCACGTCCCCGTCGCTTTCGTTTTGGAATACAGCAGACAAAGAGGCTCAGCGCACAGAACCAGCAACATGTCGAAACGAGGCGCCGCTGCCGACCAGATCGTCAAGCTCATCGTAGGAGCTGGCCAAGCAACCCCCAGTCCTCCCGTTGGTCCTGCCCTTGGTAGTAAGGGTATCAAGTCCATAGACTTCTGCAAAGTGAGTCTCCATGCCCCATATCGCTGCTCTGTTTGATCGTGCTCATGTTATCCCAGGAGTTCAATGCACGAACACAACACATCCTTCCTGGCACACCGATGCCTACCCGAGTCACCGTCCGGCCAGACAGAACATTTCACTTCGATATCCGAACACCTCAGACATCCTGGCTCCTGAGAAACGCGGCAGATCTTCCCGTTGGCAAGAAAGGAAAGAGGAAAGGCGCTGCCAAGCCCGGCCACGAAGTGGTTGGCAGCGTGACGTTGAAGCACGTATATGAGATTGCCAAGATTAAGCAGACCGAGCTGAGGTTGTCCGGTCTCTCTCTGGAAGGTCTCTGCAAATCCATCATCTACCAAGCAAAATCCATAGGAATCTCCATTGTCGCATAGGCAAGCCAAACCCGACAAGAGTGCGCAGAGGAGCACAAAACAGCCTGCGAACTGGCTTGTGTACATATATGTGACATTAGGGGCGGGTCGGGATCGTGCAGGATACGTCTTGTCACCGGGGTAGTCACGACCGATTCGATTGTACTTTACTCTCAAGACAGCATTCGCTTTTGCTCGGGAGGGCCAACACGCCACGAGCGCCACCCTCTCAACAGATCCAAGGCGGGCTTGCTGATGCCTGAAGCCTAGAAAAGGCTTATCATAATAATTCATCGATCCCTCTATATTATGCTCAACCTCATGATAAACCGTGCCTACGCGTGTCGCTCACAGCTATTCTAATTGTGTCTGTAATCCTCCAGCAAAACTCTCTCTCCTTCAATGCAGCATTTCAGAAACCAGGAAAACTTGTCTACAGAGGAAGTCCGCTGCATTGCTATCAGGCGTATCCATGATGATTGTTGGTATCCTAGATGCAAACGTCCAAGTCTGTATCACACCCATCAATGTTGACTGGCGAGCAACCAAGCTTTCTCTATGAATGCATAAGCAAATATCTCAAGAGTCAACCTCAACGTAGAGGAATTATACCATGCGCAACTAACATTCTTTTTATAGGGAATTCCTCGTGCTACGGAATTACAAGACTAGTCACGTCGGTTACGAAATTTCAATCATATGTTCTTCAGAAGTCGATAAAGAAAGTCCGCGTGGAAATTCTTATTTGGAAAACAAGAGAGGGGGAGAAAGCAGGACTGGTGTTTGGCGGTGACTGTTATTATAATCAACAACAAAGCAAAAAAGGTTCTTCGCACGGCCTAAAGCATGAAATCAGCAACACCCTATAATACCGTAAGTGTTCATATAAGCATACGAATCTTACACGATTGGAGGTCGAATATTCAATGACAGTGTAGGCATCCAACAACACCTAGAAACTTTTAGTACATCTACGAGTTCCACAAAATGCCCATTTATTAAGAGTCCCCAGCGCAATTATGGATAATGAATTATTTATTGGTTATTGATTGAACAATCATGAACTTTAGAACTTAACAAATTGGGTGATACGGTCAACACCAGAGCATAGACCTTAACTCCTTAAGATAATTGGTAGCGTTACTTGAGAATGCAAGTATCTAGCTGCACTGCCGCGTTGTTCACCTATATGCTTCTCATGCTGTGGCTTTGGCGAATAGATAAATGTTAGAATATGAAAACGTGAAGAGCTAGCAGCATGGTATCTACCATAAGCAACGAACCTAACACTTGATTACTAGACGTCACTTGACCACATCCCTCAACCAACCACTCACCGAGAATGTAAATCACGCACATATGCCACTCTTCCGTCTGCTCGTCGCCCGCGCGCATGCCCGCCCTTTTCTCAATTTCGCACCGTGAATATCAAAAACTGTTAGGCGGAGGGAAGAGGTTGTCGGGGGTGCTGAATCTCATGGAGCTTTCGTGTTGAAAATTGAGTATTGAAATTGTTTACAGAGTAGCCTCGCCAGAGGACAAAGATGAAGGATATGCAAAGCTAATCTAAGCAGTATGATCTTTTTCCAACGGCCTTGAAAGATGACATGTACCAGAAAACCAGTGGCTATGCTTGGAACCAAATTGATGCGCGGTTTAAGACGTTGACATATTCGCCATTGCCTATTTTGCCATTCCAAGTGTTCCTTTTCCCCTCATTGTATGATTCATCGTGATTTATATTACACACGAAGTTCACGTAGTCTGAGAAGACTGTTTGAGGGGAAGCCATTTATTCTCTTAGACAACGAGAAACAGACATGGTATATTCTTGCTCAGAATCATTTAGAGAATAGGAAAACTCTTGCATGTGAGCTGAAATATGGTATATGAACTTAGTTGTCCAAAGCATTGTTCGATAGCTTTTCACAATGTGTACGAATCCTAAAAGTCGAGCACACTGCATGGCCACTATTTTCAACACATTCTCCCATGTCGACAATGAGACGGTGGCATGACTGTTAGAGACGTCAAAGAGATCTCGTAGAACCACAAAACATACTCGCGAACCTAATACAAAAGGCCATGCAATCAAGCTTGTTTATTTTTCAATCTAGTTTATCATTCCAATTGTCCATCTGTCGATCCCTATTTGCCTCCTGTCATTATTGAAGCGAACTCCTCATCTAAACTTCATTAGCCTGAAAAAATGAATCGGTGTGCTGATATAACCTACAATCGATGTTGCCATCCCCGTTCGTATCTGCTGACCTCAACATCTCATCGATCTCTGCATCAGTCAAGTTCTCCCCAAGCGAACTCAATACGCGGCGAAGCTCCTCGGCGCTGATAGTGCCACTATTGTCACGGTCAAAGACCTTGAAGGCTTCTTTGAGCTCCTTTTCAACATCTGTCGACTCCACCTTCATGGACATCATCTTGAGGAATTCTAATCGGCATTAGCCACGGTCGTGAGGCGAACTTTTGGGCCCATGTAATCACCATCAAAGTCGATAGAGCCGTTCTTGTCAACATCTACCTCGTCAACCATGTCCCGAAGTTCTTGCTCGCTTGGGTTCAGTCCCAACGACTTCATTACTGCGCCCAACTCTTCGGCGGTGATGTCACCTGCTCATGCCATTAGCACACCATCCGACCCAAGGATCCTGCAAAGACTTACCGGTGCTGTCTTTATCCTACGCGCATCATGTTAGCGTCCTCAGAGCCAAACTGCTGGGAATGAGGCGATGAACGTACAAACAGATCGAAGGCAGCCTTGTACTGTTCGATCTGCTCCCTGCTCATAGACGCAGCCTTACGACATTAGCAATATTTCCTGCCTCGGACTTTGAGTACGAGAACGAACCATGGTCACAGATATTACAGTCGTTAGAGATTCGGTTGGGGGGAGGGGGTGGAAAGACGATATCGAAATGTACTTCAAACTCTAATAACGCTCACAATCAGATTCTTGGACTTCAGCTCGTTTGGCGTCGTGAAGCAATAAAGAGGGGGCCCAAAGACAAGCGCCACGCGGTGTTTCAATCCAGCGCCCGATGACGCGCGCCTGATTGGGCGCTTGGAAAGCTACATATCTGCATGTACCGACACTAGCGAGCCTCGCAGTACAGCCCTACCCGGCTATGCGGCACAATGGGGCACTTTCGTGATGACGCACAGCAACCATAAAGATAGCAATTGCTCCTGGAGATCTGTGTGCAACATCCTACTTCTCATTGGATCTCCGGCTCTGGGTATTCAAGCAATAACGGCTGGCTAATATTCACATCTGTGGTTGAACTCCTTCAATGTGCCAACAAATGCTTGCTGTCGCCCGTTGCCGTGTCCTCAATTTCGACGCCGAATACGATATCATCCTTGAGATATGGGATTAAACCATTTCTCGAGTGCATCTCGTGCGGCACTGGGAGGCGAAGAGCACTTCCGTTATGCTACCGGACGCATCAACTCGTTCACTACGACACACCAAGGTTTGTCGTGATTCATGCAAGGTGTTTAGCGAAACCGGTTCCTTTCTTCTAAGGCCAAGTATAGTAGCAACTGTATAGCGGGATTTTCGTCGTGGAGACGGTAAGCGATATCACAACGGTGACGGATGATGCCTTGTCGTGCGTCTAGCCATCGAGGAACCCAATGGATTTACGCTATGGCATGCTCAGTAAACGTCTCGCACGCTGATAGGTGCTATTTGCCTCTGCGTATTTCGCAATGCATCAGTTGCCAATCCATGCACCACGAATATTCAAATCCCGCATTCAAAAGCCCATTCGTTCACGAAATGGTCGAGTCAGTGCGTTACTCGGCATATACCATAGTTTTATAAAAAATTTGTCGAGCTTTGCTGATGAGAAACCACCTTTTTGGAGTGGTTGTGTTGCTAGGCGGGCTTAATGAAAAACTTTATATAAGTCACTGTTGCAGCCGAGTTTGCCGTGCCGGTATCCCGTGTGTGTGGGTCCTGATACGGCTCAGACTGCCGGTTGCTTTCAGTTAGAACATTGTATAACGGTACGCAAATATCTTGGTGTCGATGAAGTTGGCGTGTGTAAGAGTGTCGTTGTACGTATGTATGTGCTACTGCCCAAAGAGGCTGAACGTCAATAAAGTCTTATTTCTGGAAGCGTGACGGGCGGACCGGATGAAACGTACCGATACTACGTATAGGTGATCGCGCGTCCCGAGATTCTAGACTTGGTCTAGTCGGCGTAGCGGAAAGCTTATTCATCCCCCCTATAGATCAGACGGCCTTTATTGCTTTGTCCTGTTTCTCGATTTCTTGGCGTAACATGTTCATCGAGACTGATAATGTTCCGAAAGTCCTCCCCAGACAGAACGACAAACGCAATGACCGGCACTTGAATCCGATACTAAGATTATTCTTTTTCTCTCTTCCTCTGCCGCTTCAGCCGCCACATTCGCTACATTTCCTTATCTTAACCATGGCACTAAGGTCGCCGGTCGAACGACATGGTTCCGACCTCGAACTAGATGCACTGCCACCCTCCACCGATCGGGCTCCCATTGAAGAAGCGGAGGGGAGGGGAATCGTCAGCACGTTGGGCTCTAACTTCCCCGGAAGACCCCAAGTGGTGCTGATCAAGGGCCGACGCGGTTGGTGCCATGCAGAAGGCTGGCGGCTAGAGAACAATCTCCTATGGGGGGTGGGTTTGCTCGAGCTTGCCAATGCCGGCGACTTTGCGGCCAATGTCTGGAACGATGTGCCCGTCCCGGTTTTCGTAGTGATATTATGTGCCATTGGCGGTACCGCAGCTGGAGTCATCTGCACATTTGCCTTTGCAGATTCGATAAAAGCATGGCACAACATTCAGTTCCTGCGCGGGCAGCGGGCAGAGCTCCGAGCGGCCAGGTCGCGTCAGCTGGACGATGAACAGGCCTCGGGTTCAAGCCTTGAGGTTCTTGATGAGCTCACCAAGCGCGAGCTTCGGACAGAAGCCATAAATCGTTGGGGCATGGACTTGCTTATGGGAGGCGCCGCAGTTCTGATTTCTATTGGTACATTCATGGCTATCGGCGGCAACAACCACAGGATATGGGTTGCAAGTAATCTGCTGTCCGGATATGTTGGAAATACACCAGTTCTTATTTTCGGACTTGTCAATGCGTTCTGGCAGGTCGTCATCTGGAAAAAGATGCACCACCACGATAGAGCCGCCAAGAAGAAGTTACAGGGCCATCCGGAACTAGCTCTAATCCGAAAGCGGTGTTTCAATGTGCAGATTTATTCGGTAGCCAATGGCATGGCTACGATTATGGGTGGAGTTGGGTCTATGCTCACCCCGACATTCTGGTGGGCATATATCATTCTTATCCCCGTCATCATCACTTCTTTCTTCTGCAACTACTGGTGGCGAAGAAAGGTCGGATACGACCGCCCTCACGATTCTACTTCGGTTATCAGCTCAGCAAGCCTTATTGACGAGATACGGGTCGCCTGCCGAGCTAAGAATATCGTCGAAAACCACCCAGGTGCCGCACTGCCACATCTAGTCACCGAGTATGAGAAACCAGACGGTTTGCTATTATTCTTCATCAGTCATGGGCTCTTTGAAGCGTTCTGTCTTCGGCTTGTCAACGAAAAGCTTCTCTTCCCGCACAACGGTGATGCGGAAACTTCACAGCTGTGTATTGACACAGATTGTCTTTCGGCTCTATACCAATGTCACAGTTCTGCCTTCTGGAAGACTGGTGAGGAGCTTCTTCGCCTTGAGGGGCCAAAACATTTCAGGCATCGAAGGAGATTTTTCACTGAGCTGCTCGGCGAGCACCTAAGCCATTCAGTTTAAAGACTACCAATATTTCTTATTCTTTAACTATTCATGTATAAAACATCCACAACACTCCTCTAGAGACTTTTGATATAGAGAGACTCCCTAGATCTGGAGCTTAATCTTCGCAACAATACTTGATAGGACATTTCCGATTTGTGTTGCCTACTACCCCTCCTCGCTGCTTGCTGTTACGCACGCTGTTTTGTAATTGACAGTCTCCTAGACCAGCATACATCTTTTATGAAAAGCCAGATCGGGCATAAATAACACGACTTCTTCACGCTGTAATATTGGTCCATTCTTACAAATCCTAAGTCTCGACCAACCGGTAGGAACCGCGCATTCCCATGGAAATGGAACTTGAACTTGTGTGTTGGCTTGATCGGCTTGTGCTTCGATCGCGAATTCCCGGTCATTGGTTCTCTGGTCTTCGAATCCCCTTATGTGGTCTGCGAATGTTGGATCTTTGATGGTGAGTTGATCAATCGCGTCCCACAGCAATGTTTCGAACAATGTCCTGTTCGAACAGGCATATCTGATCACTTTAATGAAAGACCCTTGCAAAATCCAGGGCGTGAACAGCGCCAGTCCATGGACATGAAATACGATTGGTTCCGCTTCCGAACGTACATAATTGCGACAGCACACGGAGAGTTCCTCTGCGCGTCCGAATCTCTCCATTTTTGACATTGCTCAACAATTTCCTAGTATGCCGTCCATAGTACCTACTCATCCCACACGTGTTAGTAGTTTCTTCAACCAGAAAATTTCAGGTGTGTTTGGAATATCTTTGGTGCCTTGAGAGCATGAACGATCAAACCCGGCCAACTTCAAACCCCGAGACGATGCAGATACGAATTTTTCTTTTTCGAAAATGAATAAAGTGATGCTGAATACTGACCAGTGGTTTTTTATAAACCTTGTATACTATTTTTGTTTTGATTAGCCCAAGCAAAGAAAATGCCAGGGAATTATAAGACGACATACAGGCAACACCCTTCCCGTCGGGACCATTCGTCATATAATCAGTCCAGCACGATAGATCCTTTTTACACCAATTATCTCGTAAAGTGATGGCATCCCGGAAAAACTGATTCATAGGGTCATTAAGTTCATTGTATGGGTATGTATCGTAGGGAGCAGACCGAAAGCAGTCATCCTAAAGCGGAAAGTGGGCGAACTCGGTGATCGGCATAATTTAAAATCAAAGAAAGTCTATATACTTTTTCGATAACGTAGACCTTGGTTACTAAAATAAAAAGGTGTCTACTCTGTAAGTGCTATTAAGTGAAGGTGGTTTGTAATGTTGAGTTTCATCACCTCGTTGTCACTGGAAGTATGGTTCCATTGATCATTGCGCTTGCCCCTTTGACTTTCAATTCCCCCTCTCCTAAGGCAGGAACGTCGGGAATAGATTCGCTGTCCGCCATGTCGATATGGATCGTATGTATTGGGCATGTTTCGGGGTTTCAACTACACTATCTCTTTCATAATGCTCTATCTGCTTAAATGTAAAATTGTCGACCGGTTTATGAGTAGCTGAAAGTAGCAGGCACCGAGGTTTGCAGCAACAAATGCGGAACAATCTCGAAACCAATGGAATTCCAGTGAAATACTACTATGATTGGAAAGCTAGCGGTATAATCTGTAATCAAATGGGTGCTCATACACACGCTGGTAAATATTTAAGATATGTGGTTGCATAGCCTTAGTAATCCTTTCCCATTGTGCATGTACAAACTCATCCCGTTTTGCAATCTGCTCCCATGATCTCGTGTCTCATTGAAGTACATGTCTGATTGATCCCTAAGTATTAATACAGTACAGCACAGCAAAAACTGCTGGCCAGAACGAAAAGTACTACGCCTCCCTGAACCGAAGCATATATTATTCACCATGAGTTAATTCGGTCATATATCTAAACCGCCGTCTCTTTCGTGACATTCTCGCTAGCTCACATCCTACATGTTATATAACATATGTGTTAACTGGCCGCTCACTTCTTTGAGCCACCATTTCGACGTCTGCGAACCTTGTTCTCACAAGGGGTTGTAGTAGCAGGTGACAAAGAAGTCTCAATAGTGATAATACCCGCCGTTATTCCAGCACTGGAGGCTGTCTTTCTGCCGTTGCCATTTCTCTTGCTCGAAGTTGGAGCAGTCTCATCCACCGACTTGGAAGATTTCGTCGCGGTCGCAGTCGTTTCGTACTTGGAGGAGGCTATGGCGGTCCTTGAAATCTCCGTCGTGACAGTAGCGAATGAAGTGGTCACACCAGCAGTGGCACTGGCTACGGAACCAGACGCGCTACTGCTTGCATCGCCGGATCCCAGGTTGTCGGCAGCGGGTATGACCACTCCGGTTCTGACCTCTGCATCTTGGAGTTCTTGGCCTTTGTTTGGTGGCCCACTGAAGGTGCCAGCTGAGCATGAATCCTTTATGCCGTCACACTTAGTCTCCCATACCTTACAGTTCTTGGCTCCAGTTGGCGGAACAGAGTCGTAGCATGTCTGTGATTGGTTGTAACACTCTTCGCTTACTTTCCAGCAGCTGTCTTCCGTGCTGTAGTCGGCAACTTCAACACCACACCAGTTGGCCTCTTTGATGAGACAGTTGTCAGGGACCAGTGTCGCGCCGTTTACAGAAGTAATGTTGGGGAAATCGCTTTGGACTGAGAATGCAGGGCTAGCGGAAACATCATAAACGCTTGGCCCCGGCATCGGGTATGGGAAGACGGGTTTATTGATATTGAAGCTCACGCTAGCGTCGCCTTCTTTGACATAACCAGGAATTGAGACACTGTAATCTGCCGGTACATCCAATATCGCTTACCGCTACCTTGCACTTGGACCTGCGCGCAGCCGGTATATAATTGAGGATCGCCGATGTTGGCATTTTGCAGGGCAAGAAGCTCGGGTCTGAACAGATAATTGCCCGAAGGCAGGCCGTTGGGGATCTGCACACTGATTATACCACCTGCGTCGATGAGTTTCTCGGTACACCACTTGCTAGTGGATTCATCGTAACCCTCTTCGAAAATTTTGAACCAACCCGGCCCAGCGGCGGCAGTACTCGAAACATCCATAACCTGCTTCGCATAGAATGCGCAGGGACCTTTGTGTGAAGGATCAAGGGCGCCTTCATGCTCAAGATTAGCCCACATACGCCATTCGAAGCTGAGCTTGGCCCCTGCAGTAGCAGGGCACGTGAAAGCCACTGCTGTTCCGCCCATCAAACCTGTATCTCAATGTTAGCATCTGCGGAAAGCAATACCTGCGGGCAGTCTGAATAAAGGAGGAGGCGAAAAACAACGTTTACAGTTATATAACAATGCAGAATAATTGACATACCACAAGCCATGTCATCGCCGGACAAGCTAGGAACGGGATAACTGCTGTTCTGCGCGTTCATGTTCATACGAACGCAGGTTCCATCACCCTGGGTGACATCGTCGATATAGATTGTCGTGAAGGTAGTATGTGTAGCAACAAGTGGAGCGCTAATGCTCATGAGAAATGTAAGTAAATACTTCATATTGTATTAAATGTCGTGCAGAATAAGCAACAGAAGCAGGTGTTGAAAGGAAGTTGTGGTCGTTGGGCTCAACGAATGGGTTCAAGAATTGCTCGTTTCTCCCGATAATCGGCTAGAGACGAAGCAATTTATGATAGAGAATGAGTGATATGTCCTAAAGGAAGGAGGTAGCTGAACCAACACAGACGACTAGGTTTGAAAGTCTTCCTGGACTTAAAAACGAACAGCAAATGAATGATGTACTTGTGAAGAGAGAATGTGACTGAAATGCAACTCAGATGCAAAGATAAATAAAAGAGCAAAGATGTAGCCCAGTCAAAACGAGGCACACAACAAAAGCAAAGTGATATTGGTAGAAGACATCACATTGTTGATATATCACAAGATGATGGACTAGAAGGATTATTAAACACATCCTTCAGCCAAGGAATGCCCCTGACTTGGAAAATTAGGTCTTGGCCCTGTGGCTACACCGCGCGGAGCGTCATTCTATACTAGTATCACGATTCGACGGCCAACCAGACCAACGCCAAGCTTTGGCAGTTTATAGTGTCGATTTACTGCACAGTTGCCGAAAGAAGCAACTTGGAGGCCTGGAAAGCGGAGAACTGGTATTAACAGCAGGAGACATGCATGCAGTAGGTCTATGGGGAGACCTAGACGCTGCAAAATATACATGGTCAGGAGAATAGCAGAGCCTCCGGTACAGGTCTCCGAATATGAGGAGGAAAATTACACGATTACCCGGTTTGTGATGGCGCAAAGCGCAAATGCCGGTTCTCATCCACGACTAGAGGTGTTGGTTGAGTGCTGGTTTCTGTATTTCCCCAATCCTCAAGGATCCGATCAATCTATTGGTGAGATTTTTCTTTCTTTGGTAGGCGCCACTGCTAGTTGGATGTTTCCGCGTTTCGGACTGGGGGCGATCTGATCTCTTTTATTTTCGTCTGATGGCTGGTCTTGACAGCTCGGCAGTGAGTAGAGGGGATGACACCCTGCCAAATTGTAGTAGTTTTCGGCAATTGCAGCAATGCTAGGTTCAGAGGTAGGCTCCGATTGGTACATTTACACAGACACGAAAAATACAGTATTGTAGGGTTGGTGATCGGTAGTCGTTGATCCAACTTCATTGAGTTTGCGAGTTGAATGATTGGCTCACGAATCAACGAACGGGCGTTTCTCAGTTGCAAGGGGCTTGCTCTCCCATGCACGTCATTCCGGCCTCTTTTGTACAAACTGTTACTGCATATTTGGCGCTGCATCGTCAAGTTTCTGGGGGCAGCTTGGTCCCTAATGGGCGGTCGCAATAGAGCGTGTGATGGGTTTCGAGCCAAAGGAACAGTTCAACGCGTATGGAGCACTGCTCTACAACTTCCGCGAATGTGTAGGTACCTAGACTCATACGATTCTTGACCATAGGTGAGAACTATGCTCGATCCTCCCATCCAGTTGCTTTCCCCATTTTGCTGAGTGAATTTATATCGGTCCCAGGCTAGTCTAGGTCGCAACGCCCCCTTTTCAAACCGGCCCACTTGGCTATTCGAAGGCAACCACAACCGCAACATACGCATGTAGTCGCTCACGCATGATCCAGTCGTCGCTACCAAAGCCCATAGTCGCATGAGTTGTGGCCATCACGACCCGCGTGGCGATGACCCAGCGGGTGTGGTTTATGTAGTTATTGACTTTCCGCTCGGCAGATGCACACTACCCGCTGAGATGCCCGGGTTGCCTCATACTATCATGGAACATTTGTGAAGCATCACGAGCAAGAAGCATCTAGTTCAAGTCAAGGAGAGTGGAGAAGTCTTTTTGTACCTAAGCCACAAGGGCAAACACTGTTGTAACCCCTTTTCTGGCCAACTGAACATTAAACATGTCTTCCACTTCCATTCAATGCCATGAGAATACACCGCTCTATGCAAACGTGCTAGACCCGCACTTTCCTTTCGTTGCCCCCTTTTTTGTACATATTATGGTACATGTGATGGTGTCATAATCTTCGTGGGTATATATTCTTTACTCGTTGATCTTGGCAAGAATCCTAATTACGCAGGGTCAGCATCAGTGGTCATCCTGAAGGCTAAAACAGTCAAACTAGGATAGAGACGTACTCGCTGTCGCGGAAGAGTTGGTACTCATCCTCGCCAACCTTGACGGGAGAACCACCGAACTGAGGGATGAGAACTCTGTCACCGGCGGCGACACCCATTGGCAGGCGCGAACCATCCTTGGTGACGCCACCGGGTCCAACAGCGAGAACCTTGGCCTCGTTGAGCTCCTTCACACTCGACTCGGGCAAGAAGATACCGCTGGCGGTCTTAGTATCGGCCTTGATGCGCTGGACAAGGACACGGTCCAGAAGGGGAACGAGGGACTTGATGGATCGGATAGCGGTGGCCTAAGGTTGCATCACGTGTCAGTAGGTAGTCATGCCAATGAGTGAACTCAGAGTAGGAGCGAACGCGAGAGAGCTAAGTTGGCGCAAGCGCGTAAAGGAGTCACAAACAAAATCACTGGTTGTGCATTGATGGAAAGGAAGATGTGCATCAATGATACTCACCATTTTGAATGAAGTGAAGCGTTTCGGTGATTAGATATGGTGTATTGTCAAAGGTTGTAGGATAATTAGCAAAAGATGTCAATGAAGTTTGTCTTAATGAAGCTATCACGAATTACTTCTGGAAAGCCGTCGAAGAACCAACAAGAAGCTTTGATGGGCCCCGAACTTTTTTTGCGGCAGTTTTTCCGATGCCGAAGCCGAGGAACTCCAGCGCTTGCTTAGCGCACTGGTCACCTAGCACTAGGCTTAGAACGCAATCTTTCAGGCCCCAAATGACCTTTATAGGGGAATGAATGCTGCTATGTTCGGCAATCCGCGAAGTTGAATTGTGCTCACAACAGGGTCGCCGACTGAAACATACCCTTAAAAATTCTGGGTCTAAATAGGTATCTCTCATATACACACTTGTTTGTGAAGCTGAGGTCGTCAAAGTAGTGGAGGCGCGATTGGTTCCGTCCGGCTACCAGGCGCGTCCGCCGCTCAGAATCGATGTCAAACTGGGCCAATCAAACTAATCTGCTAGGATTATATCGCGGTGATCTTTCATATATGAGCATAATCGTTGAAATTTATGCATTGGGATTTTATGCTAGACTAGTATTGATCTGTTGAATCTGCGCACCACAGAGAATGGCCTCCCAAGGAGTTTCCCGAATACTGTCCATCATAAACAGATCTGGAATATCTGAATGGCGAGGTGGCAGTGCTAGAATCACCTTTGGTGAGGTTCATTGCATAACGTAGATGATGTAAATCATCTGTGGAATAACACGACATGGGACATCATTGCGAAGTCTACTGACAAAGGAGAGAATAAAGATAAATTACTCTTATTATCCCATCTGATAGTAAACCTAGTTCTATGTTTGAAAATGACTTCTATCGCTGTGAACGCTTCCAAATGCACCTTCCACACAACTCCATATCCCGAAATAACCCGACTTGTTCCTTCTTCAGGCCATATCTAACTATCCAGAAACGGCAAGCGCTACTTCGCCTGGGCCGGAGGCTCTAGGATGTGGGTGTGATCAGGAGCTGGGTCGACCTTACCCGGCGCATCTTGCCTACAGATGACGGTATCAGAAACCCAAGGCTCGTCGAGTATCTCCTGCATGGTGGCGCGCTTGCGGGGATCGATTGTAAGCATCCGCCCGATGATATGCCTGCTCTCTCTGGGTAGCAATCGCAGCAGACGCCAAGGACCTCTAATCACTTCTTTCACTGCTGCTCCGTCCTTGCCCGGAGCTGATGGTGCTTCCTTTCCAGTGACCGCCGGTGACTCCTTCCCAGGAGCCTGTGGAGCTTCGGCACCTCCGGCGTTCTGCGGTTTTGCGTCAGTTTCAGAGAACATATCCCGTTGTGGTATGTTTGTCAAGTCAGTTGCCGATCGTGCCGGAGCGATCAGTTTCTTGGGATCATGGCCAGGTGTCGGTTCAGCTGCGAAGAGCTTGTACGAGTTGTCCGTCAGACGAGGCACCTTCCACGGAAACCTTCGTAGCGACATGCAGCAGAATATTATCGCTAATGACCAGATGTCGACAGCCTGGGGGTCGTACTTGCGTTCGTCGTAAACTTCTGGAGCCAGATACGGATCTGAGCCAACAATGCCTGTTACGTGTCAATACGTTATCCCGACAAGCACTTCTCATGAGACCCACCAGTTGCTGGGACGATTCCTCCCTCAAACGGATACTTGAACACATGAGCGCTACCAAAATCAATGATCTTCATAATGCCGTGCTCGCTGACGACAACATTGTCCAACTTTAAGTCGCGATGCGCTAACCCCATGCTGTGGAGATATGTGACGCCATTGAGAATCTGAAGGAAGCAGCACGCGACTTCGGGTTTCGACATCTTCCCAGTCATAACAATGGCGAAGAGGTCAAAAGGAGCATACTCCATCACTTCGTACCATTTCCCTTTCTCCGAAACAATATCCAAGGTCTCGATAATATTACCGTGATGCAAGGCCGACCCAACACAAAATTCGGCGGTCAATTTCTTGACGTACTCCTTTTCAGACTCATAAGTATGTCTTGGGCGGAACTCCTTGACAGCAAAAACAGTGTTGTCCTCGTGCCTCTTCATAAGTTTTACTGAACCCCCAGCGCCAGAACCCAGAACCCTTCCAATTTTTCCATACTTGGAAGTCAAGCCATGGTCCTCTGCAAAAGGGACTTGATGTGCTGATCTGGCACTCGATTGAACCGCTGATTTCGGTTCGTTGACAACCGGGAACTCGGACTTTTTTGCCTTGTGGCTACTTCCAACCTTGAAAAACCTCTTGAGATCAGACATTGATGCATTGCGACTGTGTGTAGTAGACTCCGTGCCGGTATGGTGAAGATCATGTGTGCTTTTATTCAGCACTCCAAGGAAGCCCGAGTGACGTTTTTCCGGCTTGTCGGGTCTGACCAAACTGGTGGTGGATGAACTGGGTGAAGAACGTCCCTTTTTCCTCGAAAACACGAACCGAGAATCAATATTGGCAGCGCTCCGAGTTGGCGGTGCCCGCTTGCTGGCAGCATAGGGGTCGTTGGCATCTCCTGCGGGTGTGAATGGGCGAGAGTAGTACTGAGAAGCGGTCTTCCTAGTTGGGCTGGATTCTCTGGACACAGGAACCGAGTGTCCACCTGGCCCAATGCTGAACATGCCCCTCCTATGCGACGAGCCGGCGTCACGCTCTTCTTGGTTGCTGGATCTTTGTGAGATATGGTCGTATGAGGAGGGCCGGTGAGGCAGAGCAATTCTAGGCGAGGCATGGTCTGATCCTTGGCCAGAGGCTTGAGGCGTAATGGCAGAGACATCCACCCCGCCATCTGACTGAGCGTTTACAGGCTTCAGACGACTGCCGGACGCGCCATCGGCTCCGGTTGTGCCGGAAGGGGTCAGAGGAGGTGACACTACATCAGATGTAGCATGCATCCTAGGGGACTGTCGCCCGGTCGGAGTGTGGCTTTGCTGGGGAGTAGCATGGACGGAGCTGTCATGAGACGGAACTCTTGAAGCCGGAAGCGAGAAGGGCTGGAAAGAGAAGCTCTGCATTCGTTGCTCCTGCAGATTTGTGTCGGCCAAGGATTGGGACAAAGCTCTCAGTTGTTCAGGTGTGACGTTTGAAGGGGCATCTTTGGTAGGCTCGATCCTTGATCGACGGCCGTCTTCGGCATCAAACTCCTCAACCTTTGATGCAAATCGAACAGCCGGAACGGCGGCCGCAGGGGCTTTTGGATTCATGTCAGAATGAGCAGTGGGCTGGCTGGAGGCACCTGGAGGTCATGGGCACGGATAGTCAGCATATGCAAACAAAGAAAGTAAGCGGAAGCAATGCAATGCATCGGTCCATGACGTGCACTGCCCGTTGAGCCGGTGGTGGGGTTGAGTGCACACAAAGAAGGGATTGGAGATCTGAGAGCACTGTACGTGAGCTGTGGCTTTATCTTACCTCTCGACGCCTCCTGTTGGCGAAACTCTGAGCCTTCCATGCTAGTATCGCATCGATGTATTGCTATGATGGCACGGGCGGCGAGTGAGCTGTGATGGTAGTAGCGATGGGACTGGATATTGTGCTGGAGGAAGATTTGCAAATGAATGGAGAAGAAAAAAGGACGATGCTATGATGCCGCCAAACGTCCAAGAGAAGACCTCAGCGAAAAGGCGCCAGACTCAACTGCTCCGAGTCTCTGACCCCATCTCGATGGTGGGGCAACTGGCATGCGCGATGAAAGAATTGGAAAGCTACGAGAGGTACCGACGCGGTACGGTCGAAACCCGCAAGAACCGCCCTGCTTTTCGCCGTCTTCCAAGCTTGAATCAGGTACTCGGCTGTCCCTTCCAGTGCTCGGCATGAGCGATCGCTCGGCTTGATTACAGGGATTACTCTGTCTTGCGGGAATCAATCTTCACGAAAGGTGGGGCATCCTTGTGCAAGTCCGCACCTCTGCTGGGCATCCATTTAGGTAAGCTTTTGGAACTTCGACAATCGACTTCAGTCTCCTCGGTTGCTATTCTCCGTGAGATGGTGGCGGCACTTTTGCAACAATGATGGGCTGCCTGGATCCTTTGCTTGGACACCCGATATGACCACCAACCTGGTATCTTTCCAGCACTTCAAGATCGTATCCAAGAAGCTACAGCATCCAACGAACTTTGCAGTCGAACCGAGTGGGGGAATGATGATCTCAGTCAGTCCACTTGGCTCCGGAACTCTCTACAGGTCACGTACAGTACACCACATTTTCGCAAAAGCTCCAGTTCTCCGGATTTTTAAGCCTTACTCTCTCTGTGTTCCTCTGAGCTATAGTACCACGTTGTATTAATTGCGATTTTGACAAGGAGCCACACTGCATCGAAAATGTTTCTACAACCTCGAAGATCAATGTTCAGATGCGGTAAGCACAACCGACCTGGAGGCTTTTCCGCCCTCACAATAAACAAATGCCAATGCGTGCGTTTTGACTTTGACTCATGAAAGCCGGGTATGCAACGACAGTCCGCTTCTGCGACAGATTTTGGCCACCCTCTTCCCCGGGATGCCTTTTTCGGTTCGGGTCAAATGTAATCTCCAGCACACTCGCCGTCGTCCTATCCATGACAACTAGTAGCCCTCTGCCCTATCAATGAGGCGACTGCTAGACTTTTTCTCAAGCCCTGTCTTCTGTTACCTCTGCGGCATGCATCTTGCTAGGACATGTGCTGGAATGGGCTTACTTGGCAGGGTCCAACGAGGCACCCGGCAGACCCGGATAGCCGGGTTAGCATTCTCCAAGACTAATTTTCTAATTCATAGCCACATGCAAATCAACCACTGTGAGTCAGCTGCTGGCGGCGCTTGCTCGGTGCATCGTGACCCACTTATCCAGGAAGAAAACTTTTTGCTGTTTATACTCTCGCCCAATGACGTTTGTGTTTGCATCTTTCAGCATCCTTCCACATTATAGCGTCAAAAGACACGAATAATGATCCCGAACGATTGTGCGACTGGAATCAATGCCTGGTATTGCCGCTCTAGATCCCCGTCACAACGCTTATACGGTAAAATCTAACAATACGACCCCACATATTTGCCCTTCTGAAGCCTGCATCTAACCTTAGTGGGTCGAACAACTGGGGCGTTGTGCATATCGCAGTCTCGAACCAAGCGGATCCGGTATTCTACGACAGTGCTTGCGTAACAACTCTTGAGCTCTGTGTGCATGGGCTTTATCCTACTTGTTCTGTGCATGCGTATAGATCAACAGGAGAGCGCCGTGGCATTATGTCGTCATCCAAGTGTTGATGTTTGTATACCTCGAACATATCTCAGTTTCACACACTGAGCTCACATCCGGCCGGAGCGGATTTAGTGCGATACAAAAGCTGGACTCGTATGTAGTCAGCCCTAGCACTCTAAGCATATGTTCTAGATCTGATCCATTTCTTTAGCGGTTATCATAGCTGTCACCCAGAGAGCTCTTGTTGACAGCACTTGGTGATGTCACGTCTAATATCACTTATGATATCTTTCAGCGTGGAAGTCACTTCTCGTCTCACAATGAATGCCAGTAATGCAGTTACGTAGGCATATGACAACGAACAGTGCCAATTTGTTGACATCAAAGTGGCACAGAGTGTACAGGGTACAGCAGAACTAGGACGTATCAAGTCCTTATTCTGTTGTTCTGCTAGTTGTCGAGCTCTCATCCCTGAGCTCAGCCATACGTATACGTCACAAACAACTAGGTCGGTCCACTTACCGTGCCGACGGTAGGGACAGTCTTCGAAGAAAGCATGAGCGGTCCGTATTTTACTAGTTAGTCTCTCAAGCCATCTTTGCATGTTTTTCGTATTCGGACTACTGTCCCTTATCTGAATGCTAGAGTAAGACAATGAAGTCGGTTTGAGACTGGCATGTACATGATTTGATAGGAATGAAAAGATATGTGAGTGGCTGTCTGATAGAGATATTGCAAACCCCATTCCTTTGAAATTATACAATTCAACGGGCCGCGGTCTTTTGGTGCGGTGGTGGTGGTCGGTGCGTTTGGTGGTGTTGGTAGATTTATATACACTCGCAAGCGAGCCAACAACGTCCGGAAACGGCGATTATGAAACAATGGCTGTCTACCGCACATGGTGAGATCAAAGAATTTCATCGCAATAAGTAACAACACAAATATATCCTAGCCACAGTTTGTTGTCACCGTGAAGATTATACCGAATACTATAAGTACGCGGTTTTGCAGTTGACCAATCCAGAGCAATGCGCAGTGACCTCAAATTACATCCCGTTGTACAATACCTAACATGGATAGATTTGGATGGGCTGTGGAGCAACAACGTCATATATTGGAGGAGACAGGTCGATCAGCCCGCGATGAGCTCAGACACGAGATTGGGTCCTTGAGGCAACAGCTCATGCACGCCGGTATCCGCGAAGAGTTCCTCTCAAAATCTGTGGACAGGCATCGTGTTACCGAGATTGATCTCATGCGGCAGCTTGTTGACGCTGAATCGCAATTATTGCAAGCCCGTGCCAACACAGCGGCGCTGGAAGACGAATGGATGCTTGAGCAGCAAAGGCTATTTCAGCAGCTCCAAACCCCTGAGAAAGTTAGAAATAGAGAGGACGAACCGTATCGTGAGGATCAAGATGAGTGGATGATAGAACAACAACGACGGTACCACCTGCTACAAAGCAGAAAGGAATCTGCATTGGTTGATTCGCCCGGAGCTGATGAATCCGTGTACTCACCGTGTGTTCTGCAAGACCCTCCACCATCATACCATGAGCATTTCGACAATACTCGCCTTGATTACGATCAGGTCGAGCCCACCGCCCACCACGAGCGGATAAGACAACCTTCACGGCAGATTGCACAAGTTCATTTCGCGGATCCCCTGGAAATTCTGCTCAATCCGTCACCGCCATCAATGCCGAAGGTGAAGAAGAAACAAGAAGCAAAACGGCAGATTATAGGCCTCTGTAGAAGGCGTATCAATAGAACAGCAGTGTGAGTAGTTTCCAAGCCGTGTGGCCAAGCTTCATTCTCCTGCAGTTCTGACTGACAACTGCCACAGTGGTTTCCTGGCATTGACATTGACTTGATTATACGATAAAAGTTCATTTAGTTCTTGTTGTTGATCCGAACGACTGATACGGAAGGTCTTGATTAGAACAATTCAGGCAAGCACCAGCAACTCGACCTTGTTCTTTTGTTGGCCCCAAAAGACAACGGACATGCAATTATTGGTATCGAAGGTAGAATAAATCATTGACGTGAGCTGTTTCTAGCATTCTTTGAATTTGACTTGGTATCTCCGGACGTGCAAGCATAATGTAAGGCCATGTAAGAGTGGCAGTAATAGATTTGAACCAAGAACAATGCAGCAAAAGCCCTAACCATTGGGTATGTGGTCTCACCGCTGAGGGACTGACAGGTTGAGCTGCCATATTCTTATCATGTTAGACTGAATGGAGGAAAAGCTAGTTTTCTGACAATAAAAATTGGCATTCCCTTCCTCTGTTGAGAAACTCTATGGGGCTACATAATCATAGGTCTTCTTTCAAATGAACCGACTGAGTGGTTCTGGTTGGCCGGGAGTGAAGTAAGAACATCTAGAGATGCGACATAAATTGATGTTGCCAAAACGAGTCGCTTTACTTACGTTAAACGTATTTCATTTCGAGAATATATAGAGGAATCTTTATCTGCATAATGCATCTGACGTAGTATTTCCTCAGGGGGTTGGATCTCACCTCCCACAAAACAGGATCACGCCATCATTCCCAGTCATTACGAACTTGGTGTACCTGCAGATCGAATGGACACGCCAAGGCAGGATATACTATATTCTGTAGCATCATATCTAGTATCCGTACACACGTGGAATGCGGAGTCGAAATCCCCCTTCCCCGCCATATTTTCAAAGTTACGGATCTGTCAAGGATACCTCGGAGGATCAATGTTCAGAGTTAGACGCCTATGGCAAGATCGATGTATGTATCTTTGTCTGGTTCTGGAGTCTGGGATGTTCCAAACGCATACAAGCACTTTCGGTCGTCATTTCAGTCGACTTGACTGGACTTCAGGGCATTATCCTGACGGTATTATTCAGTTCACCATGGAAGTTGCCTGCTTTCAACGTCGCATGCACTAATAATTTGCCATGAACAAATGGCGACAAGTGCAAGCCCGTACGTACAACCTACGTAATGCGTTGAACATCGGACCTTGGAAGGAAGACAACTGCAACAAACCGTTCCATGACTGGCCAGTGAATACGATGAGATTTCGGCCCGATACTAACCGGCCGCTCAAGTGATGCAGCTTCCAAAGATTGAGCGCCAGATGAGCCACAGGATTGCTTGCTACAAGTTTCAACAAGAAGCAACTGATTAATCGCTATGCTGAGTGGTATGTTTGCTCTGATATGTCCGCCGGGGCGTACAAGGATTCAACATAAAGCATTTGGTTGATATACTTCCAGGACGGATCTCCAAAAGTGGCGTTCGGATCCGACGACTTGATACTGTTTATCGTTATCGGTAAATAACACAGGCAGGTACTCAAAGCATTTTCATTTTCTGGATACTGTCTTCCGAGTTACATGAAACGAACGATTAGAGGTGCTGTTCTAAGACATGAAATCAATTGCTTATGTCCGAAACTCGTCATGACGTTCTGCAGTGTCGAAGTGATTCAATTGCAATGGCGCAATTCGGGATTAATTCATGAGTTCCGGGATCCGAAAGATATGTCCGTCAAGGATACCGGGGCTGTTCAACGGAATAGGCAAGTGGCCTCAGCGCTTTCAGGAAGTTTTCGTAACGTAGCGATGCTTTACAGTTATCATCTCCGTAAAGTTGCGATTCGGTTACATTGGTGTTTCAACCAATGATTTTGAGCCTAGAGCACGTAATACAAGGTCATATACACAACATCTCCCTGTTAGTTGCCAAAGTTGCCAGCTATGTTTTCTCGGCGTGCTCTTATCTGTGGATATTCCCAGTTCATGACATTTGACGTCGCACATGCCATGGGAACTGAGCATTGTATCAAGACTGACACCTGCCAAGGTGGGCAGCCGGTAGTTCGACACTGCCATTATGACGAACCAAGACCGTTTCGACCTAGCTCCATTAGGATCTCTTCTAGTGATCGGGATGTCAGCAACTTTACCTAGAGAAAGAGAAGAGTAGAGATGCCCTTAGTTATATAATAAGAATAATATGTTTCAATTAAGTCTTCCCCTTCGATATATCGGAATCTCTACTTTAAAATTTCCTGGTTGTTCTTTAGTATGTTCCTCTTTTTGCAGCTTTACCAACACGTCCAAGCATAACCGAGGTCGGCGAGCATACATTAAGAGCCCGACAAGGTACGAAAAGCGGAGAGGGATCCACGCAGATACCGCTTCCTCACGAAACGCTCAACACATCAGCCACGTTGAACAAGAGAACCTTAGTATCAGATCATACAATGTGCAACCTCACTTGCCCAGCAGTCCTCCCTCCCACTCCTCCATCTTCAGACTCTGGAATCCAACACAACGACAAGATGAACCAATTCGATGAGCTTGTCAACGTCCTTAGAGATGCCCTTGGCGAATCTAGCGGTCTGACGTCCGACGATGTAGACGTCGACGTTCTCAGTGACTCCATGGCCAGATACATATCCGATGATGCCGAATGGGCCAAATATGCCCTTCCTGATGCCAGTAGAGGCTACACCCGAAATCTAGTCGACGAAGGCAACGGGAAAAGTAACCTCGTAGGCTCAGCCCGATGCCCATCCTATTTGCTGAGGACTCCCGAATTGTTGCTGACATGAACCCTATTCAGCTTGTCCTTGTATGGACGCCAGGCAAAGGCAGCCCGATCCACGACCATGGAAATGCCCATTGTCTCATGAAAATCCTTCGTGGTAGCCTCACCGAGACGCGATATGACTTCCCAGACGAATCCCAGAACAAGGAAATGGGAATGAAATCAAAGACGGTGCACGACGAAAATGCTGTCGCGTATATGGCAGACGAACTAGGTCTGCATCGAATGTCCAACGACGGCAGCGACTTCGCTGTTTCCTTGCATTGTGCGTAACTCCCTTTGCCAGTCACTTCACCCAACTGACCAACAACAGTGTACACACCACCGAACGTTGCCAAGGGTGGGTGCTGGATCTTCAATGAGAAAACAGGCAAGAGAAGCCATGTGCCCAAGTGCGGATACTACTCAGCATATGGTCGGTTGTTGAAGGGTTCGTGACAGAAGTTGGGAGTAATGAGATACGATACCACAAGATATGATTTATACCTCTCGGTGTGAAGTGGAGCGAAACCTGATGAGTCAAAGTCATCCCACCATAATCAGATTGATATGTAGTAAAATGATCTTCACTGCTTTCGAAACTGAGTCCTATCCCAAGGCTTCTTGAAGTACGGATTTGTGTAGGATTTATACTCCAGTCGATAACGTGGTGTGCAGACAGCCGCAAGGAGCTTTGACAGGAGACCAAGCTCTTCTCACATGTCATCGAGCTTCTCTGAAGGTCAGATATGCCTTGGATCTAGTAATTGATGAAGAGAAGAGGAGAAGTCGTCCATGAGCCCCAATGCGACGAACACCTCTGTCCGCCTTTGACGCTAGTCAATCACGCAATCGCCCTTGCTCACCACTGGCTCTAGAGAATAGTGGATTCCGACTTAGATAGTCAAGCCACTTTTGAAGGGACGAAGCCACTCAAGCCACATTGAGTGAAGTCACCTGAAGTCGTGACTTGCTTCTTTCAATTGTGGCGCAATTGATGCCGTCGAGTGTGCAAACGCGTCCAGGGGTTCAACGAATGCAAATATTTGGCCTCAGGGGAAATTGTTAATCAGCAGGGCTTGATTAATACGTTTTCCCCTTCTCAATGTCATCACAAGTTATTTGTCATCTCCGGTAGATTTTTGCCCATTCATCTCATTTTGACAATCTCAAATTAATTCAACAACACAGAAGCTTGAGCGACACGGAATGGTGTCCCAAAAACGAGGCCATGATCCGACAGGATCTGATGCCCGCAGCAACAAGCAGGCTCGCGTCTCTGGATCAACTGCAGCATCCATCAGCCACGATGGGACCTCAGCAAGCTCTCCAAGCTCCCAAGCACAAAATGACTCGCAATTTCCAGTATCCACTCAGATCATAGATGACGAAGAAGCTGATCTCGTCGACCTTACGCAGGACGATGAGAGCCCATCCCTTGACCTCTATGGCACACATGATGCCAAAATTGTCGGAGTTAGGTATTATGATGGTGTTGTCACGCCCCACGAGCTGGTTTTGCTCCAGCGCGAGCCGAACAACCAATATGACCGTAATGCTATTCGAGTGAACAATGTGATGGGGCAACAAATTGGCCATCTACCTCGTAATCTGGTTGCCAAGTTGGCGCCATACATTGATCAAGATCATTTTGTCCTTGAGGGAGTTCTTACAGGAGAAAAGGGCTTCTACGACTGCCCAATTCGCCTTTACTTCTATGGTTCCAGCGAGCCTAACACCCGCACGGCTCTGGAGAATAGAATTAAAGCTGATAAGCTCCTAAAGGCCACCGAAATGAAGAACAACAGGAAGGAAGCAGAAGCTCGTAGAAAGGCCATGGGCATGAAGAGCGGCACCACGACTGGTACTGGGCTTGGCAATACAGCGGAAGCTACCGTTCAGAAGGAAGAGCAAGATACCTCGTTGCAAAACTTAGTCGCTGCAAGTGAGGCCTTGGACTCGGTCCGTACGGACACATTTACTGATACCTTGGCTATCGGCGAGGACGATCTCGCGGCCATGCCAATGGCGCAACAGCCAGGGACCCTCAAATCAACGTTGCTTCCATACCAACTTCAGGTACGTCGACTACACCCCGGCTCTTTGCTGCAGGATTTGTGGCTGACAGTTTTTTCTACACAGGGTCTTGCTTGGTTGGCTGCCAAAGAGAATGTCAAGCTTCCTCCTGTCGGTTCCGACGAAGTTGTTCAGCTCTGGCAACGCAAAAACTCAACTACATATTTAAACCTTGCGTCATGCTTCGCAACATCTTCCCCTCCAAAACTAATCTCGGGTGGTATTCTGGCAGACGATATGGGTCTTGGAAAGACTCTTCAAATCATCAGTCTTATCATGTCCGAAGGTCTGGGGAATGGTCCGACGCTCATCGTTGCTCCGGTCAGCGTCCTAAGCAATTGGGAGCAGCAAATCAAATTTCATGTCAAGGAAGAGCAACAACCCCGAATTCTTGTCTACCACTCTTGTAAGCCGATGTCCGCATCGGAATTGCGAAGCCATCATGTAGTCATTACGACTTATGGTATGCTTAGTTCTGAAGCCAAAGCCAAGCAATCTTCACGGCTATTTGGAGTTGACTGGCGTCGAGTGGTCCTGGATGAGGGTCACACCATACGAAATGCCAAGGCTCAGTTAGCCCAAGCAGCCCACATGCTTAAAGCCAAGTCTCGATGGGTCCTGACGGGTACACCGATCATTAATAACGTCAAAGACTTCTATTCGTTGTTGAGGTTCCTCAAGCTTAGTGGCGGTCTTCAAGACGAAGGCTTGTTCTCACAGGTCATTGCTCGTCCGATCAAGCAGGCACACAGTAGACACCCTGACAGGATCAAAGCGGTCAATCTGCTTGGCCATCTCATGAAAGACATCTGTCTGCGTCGTAAGAAAGAAATGAAATCCGTCAATCTCAACTTACCTGCCAAGACGGAGTATATTCATAGAATCTCGTTTGACAAGACGGAGAAGACAAAATACGACGCTCTGCTGGCTGAAGCACAAGGTGCACTTGAGGAGTTTCAAAAGAAATCGAACAAAGGTCAACTTGGGAGATACACCAACGTCCTGGAGAGACTGCTCCGTCTACGACAGGTCTGCAACCACTGGACTTTGGCGAAAGAACGAGTCGGCGATCTTCTCAGCTTGTTTGACGACCAGAAAGTGGTCTCTTTGACGGAGAAGAACATCCCCATTCTTCAAAAAGCTCTTCAATTGATGATCGACAGCGGTGAGGAGTGTGCAATCTGCTTTGAGGAAATTTCTCAGCACCAACCGGTAATTACCGCATGCAAGCATGTTTTCGGAAAGCCATGCATTTCCAAGACAATTGACCTGCAGGGCAAATGCCCCTACTGTCGAGCTGAATTGACACATGAATCGTTGATCGAAACAGATGAGGCTACGGATAAAATAGAGGTGGACGATCTGTGCAAGAGTTCGAAGACAGAAGCACTTGTTAAAATTCTTCAGGCAACACTGAAGAACGAGGGTTCCAAAGTCATTATTTTCTCACAGTGGACCTCATTTCTCAACATTATCGGTCTGAGATTACAGGAAGCTGGCCTCTCTTTTGCACGTATTGATGGTAGCATGGTCAAAAAGAAGCGAGATGCCTCTATCACTTCATTGAACGAGGACCCGGATACTCGCATCCTTCTCGCGAGTCTGCAAGTCTGTAGCGTTGGGCTAAATCTTGTTGCTGCTGACACCGTCATCCTAGCTGATAGCTGTAAGTTTGCTCTCTAATTATGCTCTAGTTGTAACCCCCCCCCCCCCCCCCCCCCCCCCCCAAAAAAAAAAAAGAGAAAGCCACCGTTCTGACTATTCACAGGGTGGGCACCTGCAATTGAGGATCAAGCTGTCGACCGTGTCCATCGACTTGGCCAAACCCGGCCGACAACGGTCTGGCGCCTGGTCGTCGAGAACACGATCGAAGAGCGTGTGCTTGATGTTCAAGCCGAAAAGAGAAAGATTGTTAGCGAGGCTTTCCAAGAAAAGGCCAAAGGTGGCAAAGCCAAGGACACACGATCAATGGCGGACATCAAGAAATTGCTTTCATAGGTCGGAGAAGGAATGATTAAGCGAAGCGGTCTGGTGAGGTATGGGACATCTGCTATTGCTTCTCTACACTTGAAGTGTTATTGTTTGGTGATATTCTTTGAAGAGTGGAAGCGCAAAATAGTTTGGTCTTCGTCACAGGCTAGATTTGCGTTGTATTAAATACTGAGGCGCAAAAAAGGGGCGTCAGGAGTTCCTCAATACAAAGGACGCCGACAAAGACCTCGCGCAGATACTAGATCACCCTATGTAGATTGCTGTGTATAAAGCGGGCATCAAGATGCGTTGCTAAACATAAATTGTCAATTATATTTCTACACTCATATTTGCATTATGCCGCAGGATAACTCGAGACCTCGGAAAGAACCCGATGTCCGAATGTGGTTGAGTCGGCCTCGTTGCTTGTTTGTGAGTTCTCAATTCGGTGAGTCGGGTGAGTTTCATTCTTGACGAAGGATTACAGTTCGCTGCCTATGATGTGTTCTTCAGGGTCTCGCTTTACGCATGACTGGACAACGGTCGTAGGCGTTTCAAGTGTAAGTGGCTAAATACTGATCCAAATTTGGGGTTCAATGGAGGCTTGGGATGTACGGATCCGTACCTGATGAGCTCAAATGCAATCGAGAGGCTCGTGCTCTCTATCGCCAGATGAGATGATGATTAACTGGTTTAGTGGATCTGTTTACGCTTGTCAAGTCGTATTTGGCTTGCTGCGTCCCCTGAATACGAACGAATGCTGACCCTCAACCGCAGGACAGAGAACCCAAACAGTCATGTCTTGCGGGGACTAGTTGAGTGACTAGAAACGAGTGCATAGTTGTGGTTGTTGTTCCCTCTTTTGGCATTGCCTCATCGCCGTTGAAAACCCAAGTTAAGGTAACTAACCTGACGTTTCATCGACTTCAAGCATGGTGCATCTTGTCCCGCTGCCACCCCAGAGTCGACGCCAATCGCTTTGGGCGTCAGGGTCCAACGGCTAAGTGCTTGTAGTGTCCGTGCTTCTGCTCTGTTGTCTCCCAGGCCGCGTGAGAATCTTGCAGTCACTGGTGCCCGAGTACGGGAAAGCTTGTAAGCGGGCAGTGGCTGCATGTGTATTTATTTATTTATTCATTCATTCACTCGTTCGCTCCTCTGGATTTTGAGCGCCGGGACTGGGCACTGGACCTCGATGCTGGTGCTCGAGAGCATCGTGAGCTGTTCACTGTATGGCGATGTGCAAGCACAAGTTGTCTACTATTTATTTCTGGATTGTGATGATTTGAGGAAAGCCATATTTCTGAACAGAATCCCTGCACAGCTAGAACATATGACCAATTAGCAGCTCTGGCTCAGGAGCGACCCCTGCCGTACCTTAATGTCCCATTAGTTATCTGTGGAGCCGGCGTGCCTTGGGGCCAACTCGGAGTCGACACGCAGATGAACTGTGCCCTTGTTTGCAGTAGTTACTGCTTTGCTGAGCCTGGGTGTAGAAATGCAAAACAGAGCAAAGCAGAGCAAAGCTCAGCAAAGCAAAGCACCGACGACGACCAAACCTGAATTAGAATTAGCCGACCACGACGATCATTGACAGCTGACAGTGACTGGAGTCCCCGTGAAGCTCGAAAGCAGACCAGCCGGCAGCGACCCGACGGGCCTTGCGTACTACGCTCATGTGCTGTAGTTACTAAGTAACGTTAGTGGACAGCCCCTTTTGCAATCGGTACTCTCGTCCTCGTCCCTCAATCTGGGCGCCCACCCCCCCATGCATGTTCCCCTAAAGCCGTGCCTGACCCCATCCAATTTGCTGAAGCGCAACGCGACAGGCCAAAAAAGCTGAATGTACTGTAGTGGTCCGTCGCACAGGACATGATAGGACAGGGACAGGTAATAAGGACAACGACCAGGACTGGTTGATCCCTTCATTACTGTTCCGCCAACCCAAACCCCAAATCTCCTGTGTCTTTTCCCCCCCCTGCTGGATCATCAACCACCTCTTTTGCGTGTTGACCAGCCTTTTCGCAGTTGTTGTGAATTTTCATACATTCCCTACACCTTCACACGGTTAATTGCAGACTTCTGGTTTTTCTTCTCCTTCGGTACAGCACTGTGCTCGCGGCCGTGACTAATTGGACCCGCGACTTGCCACGACAGCACTACGGCTCGGCGACATCACATTGCGTTAACTTAGGTACGTACGTTGGAAGTAATCCTGAGCCTCGAAATTTCCGACACGAGCACCCGCAGTTGAGAAGGATTCGGACCTGATTCCATCACCATCCTCAACTTTGCACTGGGAACAGAGTGTCATTCTCCAACATCATTCGCCGACTAGTTGGGACTCGCAAGTCATACTCTTTGATCTACTCGAGCATCAGACACACCTTCCGTTTGCCTGTGTTCCTGGCCACTGCTTCCACTGCTCTGCTCAGGAGTCCTCCACTGCTCTACATGGTGCCCTCCGCTTGACGACTGCCCCGACGTCCAGCATTATCATTGCCTTGCCCTTTGAACCTGCAGCTGACCTCGAGATCCGACTGGCAGACCTCGCGCTTTCCTCCGTTCGACATCTCTCATTCATAGGTATCGAAGCGTTGTCAGACCTTCGACATGGGTAAGCACAACCTCTCATCGCCTGTCTTTCCTCAAGAAGCAACTGTTGCAAGAGGCACCGTGAACACAAATGGCAAATTCAAATTCCAACATTCACTACCGGACTCGATTCGTGCCTTCCATGGCATCGTATCGCTGTTGCTCTGTCTGACTTGATGGTCTACTTTTCGAAACGACTCAACGTCTCGTCCCGTCGTCTGACGCTTGCCGCTTCTCAACCTCATTTCGACCTCATCACCCACACTCGTTAACATACACTCCCCACGCCGGTTTTTGGTTGATCTATCACTTCTTGATCTTCCTTTTTGGTTCTTTGGAATACTCCGCCATTGTTAGGAACATCGGTTTCCCTCGCGCCATTGCCCACCTCGAGAAGATTACTAGATCTCACGAGACGAAACAAAAGAAAACAAAACAAAAATGCATACCTTTCTCAGCCACGCCAAGACACGAAACAGGAGTGTCCAATTGGACAATGTCTCCATGCAGTCGGTCGCTTCTGAGCAGCAATCGAGTCGGGGCTCGGTCTCGGCACCGGCACCAGCACCAGCAGCTCCGAGGCTCAGGTCCAACAGCGCCGCTCTTTCTCATCAGGAGAACCAGGACCCTTTCGTCCGACACTACAGAAGCATGCTTGTCGTGGATGCACCAACCATCAAGCCACTGAAGCCCATGGACTATTCTGGACTATATGACAACAATGTGCCTCCTCATTACGGTAGCTTCGTCACCCGGGCGTCTCTTGCAATATGCCCGTTGTTTCTTGGACTTGAATGATATGATCAGAATAGTGACTCTGTGCTAACTATTGTTGGTCTCTAGCTGAAGCTTCGCCCGAATTGGCCCCCAGTGCCCCAAGCACGCAGCCACTTATTGTGAACGAGAACAAGAACATTGTTCGCAGAAAGTTGACCGGCTACGTTGGTTTCGCCAACTTGCCGAACCAATGGCACCGCAAGAGTGTACGAAAGGGCTTCAACTTCAATGTCATGGTTGTCGGTACGTTTTTGCGGAGCTCAGATGTCCGGTTGCACGAATGCACAGAAACTGACCGACGACTGCAGGTGAATCTGGCCTGGGTAAATCCACCCTCGTTAACACTCTCTTCAACACCTCCCTGTACCCTCCCAAGGAGCGCAAGGGACCCAGTCTGGACATCATCCCCAAGACTGTTACCATTCAGTCCATCAGCGCAGATATCGAGGAGGCCGGCGTCCGCCTTCGCCTCACAGTCGTCGATACCCCTGGTTTTGGTGACTTTGTGAACAACGATGAGTCGTGGAGACCTATTGTCGAGAACATCGAGCAGCGATATGACGCATACTTGGATGCCGAGAACAAGGTCAACCGCATGAACATTGTTGATAACAGAATCCACGCCTGTGTCTACTTTATTCAACCCACAGGTCACTCCCTGAAGCCCCTGGACATTGAGGTCATGCGTCGTCTTCACACCAAGGTCAACTTGATCCCCGTCATCGCCAAGGCCGACACCCTGACCGACGAGGAGATTGTTGCTTTCAAGGCCAGAGTAAGCTTCTATCCATCCTACCCGCCCTGCCGACGATGCTAATTTTTCAATCTAGATCCTTAGCGACATCAAGCACCACGACATCCAGATCTTTGAGGGCCCTCGCTACGAGCTAGACGATGAGGAGACTATTGCCGAGAATAATGAGATCATGTCCAAGGTGCCTTTTGCCGTCGTCGGTGCGAACAACGAGATCACCAACGCCGATGGTCGTAAGGTCCGTGGCCGTCGTTACCCCTGGGGTGTCATCGAGGTCGACAACGAGGAGCACTGCGACTTCGTCAAGCTTCGACAAATGCTTATCCGCACGCACATGGAGGAGCTCAAGGAGCACACCAACAATGCCCTGTACGAGAACTACAGAACTGACAAGCTTACTGCTATGGGTGTTGCTCAAGACCCTAGCGTCTTCAAGGAGGTCAACCCTGCCGTCAAGCAAGAAGAGGAGCGTGCTCTACACGAGCAGAAGCTCGCCAAGATGGAGGCCGAGATGAAGATGGTCTTCCAACAAAAGGTGGCCGAGAAAGAAAGCAAGTTAAAGCAGAGCGAAGAAGAGCTCTACGCCCGGCATCGCGAGATGAAGGAGCAGCTGGAGCGGCAACGATCAGAACTCGAGGAGAAGAAGGGCAGACTCGAGAGTGGCAGGCCGATCGAGAAGGAGGGCAAGCGCAAGGGTTTCTCCCTGCGTTAGCACGTCGCATCATCGACTCGTCCTTCTCTACGACTCATGCCCCGAGCCCTAATGATTCCCACTGCCAAAACAAGCCTGTCGCGTTCTTTTCGCTTCTTGCTCTTGTCTATTCACTCTCTTGTTTTAATTATTCTCTAATACACGCGTCTGTCAGAAGATGGTCTTCAGCGAAGGCAAATCATGAGCGAACGGCGCCATCAAATCACCAACGGCATCGTAATTGGCCGACAACAAAGTCAACCTCGCGTTAGAGATCCCACGACCCTGCCACCCAGACTATGGGTGATGTGGGGGATCTGATCCGATACACTTTGCCTGGACGTTGCGAGACACTGCTCCATAGCCAGTCATGCTACCAGCTCAATCATTTTCTTTTTGTGGACATTGCAAGTTCAGCACGTTACGACAGTATACCCCGGAAACGAATGGGAGGAGCTCATGCTCGGGATGCTATTGCGAAGGATGGGGATAATGTTCGTTGGTGAAGGCGTCTTCGCGAAGGACTCGTACCAGATGCATGTATTCTAGGAGAGAACCGCCGCCCACCCAGCGGGGAAATCTCTCAACACATCTTGCCGCATGTTATGGGCTTGCACTCCGTTTTTCCTTGCATCGATCAAAATTTGATTTTCCCTTTCTGTTATTCTGTAACTCGAGACGGTGCCTTTTTTTTTTTTTCTACTCTAGGTCGTCTAAAATGATGATGGATGATTTTCTTAGACTGTACGAACGCCTGACTTTGGCCTAGGTTGACATGTTCAGGTGTGCCATATTTTCTCCGTGCAGCTCCCAAGTGATAGGATGCCATATGCAGTTAAATAGTGCACCCCTATATGTATATTACTGATGCGATCTGTGTTGTCCATCCTAACCTAGTATTTTTCTTTTTCAATCTTTGGAAAATATATGTATTGACATCTAGCGATGCGACTGCAAACCTTTTTTATTTCATTAGTGGTGTGCATCCTTCAGAAAGCAAAAGGCAAACACTCGAACGATGGAATAAAAAGATGAAATCAAATAAGAGGAGTCTTTACTAACGTACATGCTGATGTACATTACTGTACTAACACGCAAATTTTTTATACAGAAAAATTTTGGTCTGGTAATTTAGCACCCTAAATAGGACAACACGCATGCCATATATATTTTGCGGCTTTATTTTCCTCCATTGGAAATAGGCATTCATGCTCGACCTTGGTCAAACATAATGTGATGCCTCTTTCTCCCTCCTTTTCTCTCCTGATCTCTCCAAATTCACACATCAATCCCCTTCACGAAAACTATAATATAGTCAACAGGCTGTAAACATGGTGATTGGAGTGGCCGCAGATGTAGATATATACGCGCATGACAGAGAGAGAGAGAGAGAGAGAGAGAGAGAGAGAGAGAGAGATAGAGAGAAAGCCCACACTTGAGTGCCCGAACGTGAACAAGCAATGGGCGGGTGGTATACACTTTTTTATTTCGTAATGTACATGTCTATACACATTGATATCTAAATGTCCGGAGGAGGAGGAAATGTCCTCGCTCCATGCATCGATTGACAAGAAGCCTTTTGATGAGCCAAGGAGAGAATGGCCGGACCACTCCCATTATAGTATACATTCACTCGCGGAACATGTCCGGTTGCGCGCTTCTCCAGCCGTTTATCGCCTCCTCAGGTACCAGTTGAAAGCCAACTGGTTGATGTTGTAGCCGAAGGGTGTTGGCACCTCGGCAGAGCCTACTCTGGCCACTGGATGCCTCAGGTACACGGCAGAGCAGATGTTGTGGTTGACTTCGAGGTATTGGGGGACGAAGGCGAAGGGACTCATGAACTCTCTGGGTTGCCAGGGCGTCATGTAGGGCTTGTCCTGGTTGTATGGGTTGTCCTCCTCCTCCTTAATCTTGCGCTCCAGAGTCTTGATCTCCTCGGGCGTCAGGAGATCCGTGACGGCGGGTTTGCGTTGTGCTGCCTCTCCTGTTTGTGCCTCGGCGGTTCCGTGCTCGGGAGCGACGAGATTCAGCTCGGACATCAACGAGTTGATCTTGGCGGCGATATCAACAGGCGAGTTTGAGCCGCTCTCGGACTGGATCTTCTTTGCCTTCTTGATGAAGCCGCGCAGTGTTCGCTTCTTGGTCACGCCGAGCTTCTCGTTCTCGAGCACTGCCTTGGCCTGCTTTACCATACCACCGATGGTCTTGCGCATGGGGCTGAGATTGTGTTTTTGCTCTGGCTTGTCCGTGGTATCTGGGTCTTGTTCGGGGGCTGGTTCTGCCGATGCCTCCCCTGTTGGCTCGATGGGCTCGACCTCTTCGGATCCGGCTTCTTCGGCAACGTCTTCGGCACCGTCTTCGGCATTGGTGCCTTTAGGAGCAGCCTGGACGATGTGAGGCTTTGGCTTTCCGGTCGCATACATGACTTTTTCCGTATCAACCTGGAACATGTCGCCCGGGTTGAGTTTATAGGCGGGGAAGGGCATCTGCGGAAGGAGATTGTGTCAGTCTTTTGAGTGTTTCTTGCTATCTCGGTTGGTTGGTTGATTCCTCACTGATGGACGGGGTGAGGGCAAGGAAGGTGGGTTTTTTCTTTTATGTATGTACCTTTTTACCGTTGACCTTGACGGCGCCGTGGATACACATCTGTCTGGCCTGTCTCGCGCTGCTGGCAAACATGGCTCTGAAAATGGCAATGTCCAGTCTCCTCTCCATGGGGGAGAAGGCCATGTTCATGTAGGGCGTGATGGTCTTGGGCTTGATCTCCTTGGCGTCCCACAGAGGGGTCTCGTCCTGGCCGGAACCTCGACCGGCCGCCTTCTCGCTGCCGTCGAACTCGGCCATGTATCGGGGATCCATGTTGGCGACGGAGAGGAGGCGGCGGCTGAACATGCGCTCCCAGTCGCGCTCCTTCATGTGCTCGCCGTGGTAGGATCGCAGGAGACCCTTGGCCCGCCATTTCTGCTGGAAGAAGGTTTCTTGGTCGGACAGGCCAATCTTGGGATCCCTTTGCCGCCAGATGTTGTAAAGGTTGTACTTGTTCCACGACTGGCGCAATTTCTACAGTCGAACACAGGTCAGCTCGGCTGCTCCGCTCCAGTGGCAACAACAAAACAAAAAAAGACACAGACAGAGACACCCGGATAGGCGCAGCAAGGCAGATGGTCGATTGATTGATCGATTGATCGATTGACTGGTTGGTTGGGATGGTTGAGATGGGAGTAAATTACTGACCGGCCTTCTCAAGACGTGCAACCTCTTTCCCTTGGCCATGTTTGCTGTCGTGCGGAAAGGCTACGTCGTCGTGTGCTGCGGCTTCACGTCGGGGGTTCAGGAGTCCGCAGTCACAGGTCCTTTGACTTTCAATGGATGCACGCGATAACACGATGTCTTTGGCTTTGGCTTTGGCTTTGGCGTAGCTCCCCCCCGTCCTCAAGTCCCATCCAAAAATTTCGTGAGGACCCCTGTCACGTGGTGCTTCGCTTTGGCGCACTGTTCCGTTGGCGCATTTTGGAGGCGCAGGGTACAGTGCCAAAGCGACTCTTCTAAGCAGGGGCGGAGGACGCTCTACACGCACAGGCCTCCTCTCCCCGTGTCCCCATCCATCCAATACTGAACTGAATTGAGCCTGAGCCGCCTTTAGTGCACAACACCACTAACTTGATTACAGGTAGGTCATCCATCTACGCATCTGCATGTCCTCACGTTACTCTATTGTCCCATCATCCTGAAGTGATTTCCACTTTCCGGTTGGATTCATTGACTGCATCAACACAATGCTCGGCCTCAAACATCTATAGGACACTTCTCCTGCTGTTGAATATTGACAGTCTGCTTATCCCTCCCAGTGCCATGATCCACCATGCAACTTGACCTCCGTTCAACCAACATGCCATGGTATTTATTTCAGCATAGATGGCTCTACTCGACAGCCCATCCCCAAGCTTTCTTCAGATGATCCTGCGCGCCCCCTGTAGGCCAGAAGTGCTCCGCTTCTGTTTTGACCAGGACATTCAATAGTCCACCGCGCTCGCCATCGTCGCTGAACCGGTCTCCGCACATGGTCACACCCATGCTTGCTGTGAACATTGCGGGGACTGTCGCTCGGTTTGTGAGGGCAGTTGCGCATAGTTCTCGGATCTGTGTACGTATTTCTGTCTGTCAGGCTGTGTCAGGGTCGGGCTCACAATGATCGGCATGTGCTGCTTGAAGGGTGGAAATGGGTTCAAGGCGAGTCGCGCAACCTTGGCAAACACTGAGGCACCTACATCCAGTTTCTGCTGAGCGAGCTTCTGCCCCGGCCCTATCCTCGGTATGGTCGGATCGTAACACATCAACAATGCTCTTGCAAAGATGGCATGTGCGTTGCCGATAACTGCACGTATTATTAGCACTATCTCGTCTCCCATCGTCGACCTCTTCCTCCAACTCACCAACGGCACTACCGAGATAGAGCACTGTGGGAAACACTTCACCCTTGGTCTTGTCGGGCTCCGAGTACGCAAATGGAAGCCAGCTTGACGGCCTTGCCCTTAGCCAAGCCTCGTCGTACTCCTGCAACCTCCGCCATTCATCTATCGCTCCGCTTGCCGCCTCGCCTCCAAAGCAGTATCGGAGCACATCTGCACAGTGGATGATGATTCGGTTCGCCCACACGTCGTCGGTCGCAGGAGAGTTGAGCGAACGATCGACCCAAGCGTGGTCGAGGTTGAGCTTGACGGGTCGCTGTGCGGCGAAACCCACCACGATCTCTTGCCGAAGACCACTCCAGAAACAGGCTCTCCGAAGGCTGGAGACAGGGGCCAGCTCGAGAGAAGACAAAGTTTCTGGCGAGGAGGGCGAAGTTATATTGCTCATGAAAAGCTGGATGCCGTGGAGATGCAATTCGTGGTCTGCGCCTATCAATGGCACTAACAGGAAGTCATCAGTCCATGTTCCATCGTGAGAGTAAGTAGTAACCATACCGTCTATCTCCTCCAACGTCCGTAGGAGGATGGTCGCCGCAAGCAGGTCGTCATTTGAGAGCGTGGACGGGTCCATATATATCGCCGACAGCTGGTTCAGGCATTCTTGTTGGTATCGATCTGCAGCATATTGGTCAAACTGTTCGCCCATGCTTAGATGGCGAGAAGACAAGGCGAAAATGGCATTGAGCAATGTTGGGCACGCAATAGCCCGGCGTGGAACTTCGAGCGCGAAATGTTTTTGGTTGTCACATAGATCGAACTACGGGTCATGGAAGTTAGCATTGCCATGGGAGATAGACAGCTATGGCCGTTCGTCATAAAACCTCCCACTTACCCAGTGACACATATGTTCGAGGTAATATTTCATCAATCGCACCTCGGCTGGGTTACGGAGGGGAAACGCGCCGTCAAAATTGCCATCGCCGCTCGTCAAGAAGACAAGCGAGCCATCCGGGATGGAGGAGTAGGCTCGGCTCCCAGTGGCAGATTGTGCCGGACTATGCGTTGCAGTAGTCGGCGACAAAGTATCTACCAACAAGTATTCTGCTGCTGAGACTGGTACGTGATTGACAGGGGGCGTGACCACATTTGATAGCGGTAATGGCAAATCAGCTGGTGCTGGTAGTGTAAAAGGATAAGGGCTTTCTCCATCCTGAAGAGTATAAAACGCCCTAACCTCATCTGTCTCATTCACAAAGTAGACTGCGCATCATCAGCACAGATTGTAAGACATCCTCGACGGATTAGAGCACTCACATCGAGTGGGTAGTCTGGCCCATCGTTGGTCCGCCTTTGGACAGCTAGAGACATGACTCGAGATCAGCAGTGGTCCACCATTCACTTGTGATATGAACCCTGGTTCCCAACAGGTATTTCTGGCTCGTTGGCGTGACCTACCGATGAAACTTGAAGCGTAATTCTCTAGCTCGAACGCACTTCTTCCCTGACGCCGCACATCGATCGCATGGCGGAGGTTTCTCAGCAGGCCCTGGTGCGTAGCCTTCCAGGTATTCACATTTCAGATGCTTCTCGCGGCATGACTGTACAGCACACAATTAGTGGTGCCTTCCGAGGACCTGGGACTATCTAACATCGGGTGGAATCGGAAGCATATATAGAACAGGAGGGCAAAGAAAGAAATGACGTTACTACCTGACATGGCTGCTGGTCAACCCCAGACCCCATACTCAGATTCTGAGCAGTCAGGGGACCGGTAATGGACGAGCCTTGGGAAGCGGGCCGCCAAGGATTGTCTGAAGTGACGTTGAACTTTGAGTTCTTAATGGAGACATCCGTCCTTGATCAATGCTAGAACGGTTGCTCAGGTTGAAGTTGTTAGGAACAACGCAGACCTTCACAGGCGAAAAAGTTGACAATACGCACATGAGATCTGATTCTGAGCCGACTTGTGGTCGGGGAATCGAGCCTCTTTGACTGAAATGGCCATGAACGCCGAAACGCGACCACGAGAATGCGTGGTCTGGGGACCAAGACCGTTGATGCAGCCGTTTAGCCAATCATTGTTGGCGCAATACGAAATAGTCCGCCGGCCTAACCAAACCCCCAAACTTCCCCGCAGTTTTCCCCAACTATCACTCAACGACGCCTTGGGAAATATGGGTAATCATTCTTCAGACGTGAATAATCGCATAAGAACTAAACAATATGACTGTACAAGTTGTCATTACATCGCTGAACATCAAAGGTGGTCTGCAAGCAATACGACATCGACGACACCAAGAATGTAACAGATATCCGGACGTCACCATGCATATGAATCACGCATAAAGAAGCGGCTGGAAGGATCAGTGGAGTGTTCTCGTGATCTCTTGAAGCAAACTTCAGCACTGCGACCCGTTATTCCCCCACTGTCCCAGAGACTGGGGCCGCTGTATGTGCCGACAGGTGCCAAGCCGGCGCTTCAGTAACAGGGCGCGACTCGCGAGACGCTGCTAAAGTGATGCCCATTGACGCAATGACGTTCAAGCGCAGTCAACTCTGGGGCTGCATCGACGGTTTTGCCCCTTTCTGGGGCTGCGGAGAAACGGTTCAGCCCCTTTCAAGGGTTCTCCACAGTCTATCATCAACACCAAGCACTTTGCTTCCCCACATTGGGGTATTCGTGGTATATGGGATCCATTATATTGTTGTTTCTCCAGATAACCAAGAATTAGTGTTCGGGGATGGTGTGCAGGAGGCCAGCGTAGTGACAACCGGATGAAGATATAAGGACTCCATGATCGCCCTACTCCTCTCTTTACTTTTATGTGCTGTAGACTCACTTGAGTAACCACCGAATTCCTGGAGTCCCAACAAATTCTCCCTGAAGTTCCAAAGCATTCCATCTTCTCTTCATCATGGAGAAGAACGAGACGAAGGACTTCATCGACACCGCTTCTGCGGAGCATGATGAGGGCCAACCTGCTCTCAACCTAGACGAGCTATCCTATGGACCTTCCGGCATCCGAGGCGTCTTCGCGTCATCATACGTTGCACTATGTGCCGGCTTTGCCACCATTGGCGGTCTGTTATTTGGATATGAGTGCGTAAACGTGAAATGGTGTGGACTATGCTCTGTGTAGCTAACGAAGATGAAAAGCCAGGGTGTTATTTCCGTGACACTGGTCATGGACCACTTCCTCGATCGATTCCCCGAAGTTAGCGAAACTGCCGCAGGGTCTGGTTTTTATAAAGGCTTGATGACTGCCATGATCACCCTGGGAGCATTCATCGGAGCAATTAACCAGTGCTGGGCTGCCGACGCTTTCTCTCGAAAGTATTGTATCATGATCGCGGTTGTGATTTTTATCGTCGGATCTGCCCTTCAAGTCGCTGCCATCTCGTACACTATGCTGGTCGTTGCACGTCTGATTGGCGGTATCGGCATCGGAATGTATGTGATCGTTACTAATTCAGCGATGAGGCCTCTAAACTGACATATCTGCCAGGCTGAGTGGTGTCGTACCACTCTATATTGGAGAAATCGCAGCGCCGCAAATCCGTGGAACACTCCTGGTATTCGAGCAGATCTCGATCGTTGTGGGTGTTGTCGTAGCTTTCTGGATTACATACGCAACAAAGGGGATCAACAGCGCGTGGTCGTGGCAGTTGCCCTTCCTCCTCCAGATCGTGCCGGCACTGTTCCTGGGCTTCGGCGCGATTCTGCTGCCCTTCTCACCGAGGTGGCTCGCAGCAAAGGGCCGCGAGGATGAAGCGCTCATAAACCTTGCAAAGCTAAGGCAACTGCCAACTACCGACAACCGAGTACGACAGGAATGGATCGATGTCATCGCTGAGGCCAAGTTTCAGCAACAGGTCCTCGCCGAGAGACACCCAAAACTCGTCGGCAGCTCGGGTTTCGGCAACAAGATGAGGTTGGAACTGGTCTCATGGGCCGATTGCTTCAAGCCTGGCTGCTGGAAGAGAACCCAAGTTGGCGCTGGCCTGATGATGTTTCAGCAGTTCGTGGGGATTAACGCTCTGATCTACTACTCGCCAACACTCTTCGCGACTATGGGCCTCAAATACGATATGCAGTTGATCATGTCGGGAGTGCTGAACATGGTTCAGCTCGTCGGTTGCATCACCAGCTTATGGACCATGGATCACTATGGTCGTCGGAAGCTTCTTATCAGTGGCAGTGTTGTGATGGCCTTGTCGCATATGATCATTGCGATCCTTGTGGGCAAGTTCTCGTATGATTGGCCCGGACATACGACAGAAGGCTGGGTCAGCGTGGCGTTTCTCATGATCTTCATGCTGGGTTATGGTTCCACTTGGGGGCCGGTCCCCTGGGCCATGCCAGCTGAGATCTTCCCCTCGTCGCTTCGAGCCAAGGGCGTTTCGATCAGCAGCGGATCCAACTGGCTGAACAACTTCATCATCGGACTCATCACGCCACCATTGGTGCAAAACACAGGCTTCGGTGCATATGTTTTCTTTGCTGTGTTCAGCTTGTTATCTCTCGTCTGGGCGTATTTCTGCGTTCCCGAGACGGCGGGCAAGACGCTCGAGCAGATGGACGAGGTGTTTAATGACAGGGGTGGTGCGTCTGACATTGCGAAGAAGAATCAGATACTATCGGACGTGATTAGAGAAAAGACGGCGCCAACTTACGGAGTCGAGCCATAAGTGAGCTACGGAGGAGACGGTTAGGTAGTTGAGTGCGCCTTGTCTAGGAGAGTTGCAGAAACACAAAGCTGAGATACATAATCGTGATTCAATGAAGAGCGTTTCGCCTGAGCTCAATGTTGATGTTTTCTAATATAATCATCGTGATTGCAATGTCATATGCCGAGTCCAGTTTGGTCCAGACTAGTCTAACCTTAGTGTAGCCCTTAGGTAGCTGCTACTCGATTGAATATCTCCTCTGTCAATGGAGGATAAACGTCTGGAAAAGAGAGCACTCGAGGGGCCGAAGTCATGTCAGTTTAATCAGTAAGGTGAGTTCGTTATGAGTGATGGCATGACTAATCTATACGTACAGTGGACCAGGACTGCCTAATCGATAAGAGCTTAGGGGGGAAAAAGTTACCGTGGTTGTTTGGCTGGAGCAGCGCATTGAAATCATTGAAATCATTGAAATTGCGGGGCTCGAGGCCCAAGAGCAAAAGTGCAATTGGTGCGCGCAAAGTTCAGGTGCTTGCGCTTGTGCTTGTCCTAGGTCCCGCAGCTACTTGTTATCATTAACTTATCCGTAGCTCCATCAGAATCTTTTTTCGAAGCTCCCGTCATTGTTGCGACTGACTGACTGACTGACTTGTGATTGTTCGTCGTAACAGATCAGACCGCATTGAACCCATAACTTCTACACCACCAGTCGCCCCAGACTGGATCTCTTCATTATCAACATACTCTTATCATTGGTGAGTCAATTCCTATTCCTGTGCAGTCCCTCTCCAATCCCAGTTTCGAGTCGCAAACGCCGAGTGACTCTTGCCTCTCTGCCTCTGCCTCTGCCTTTGCCCCGCCATCGTCTTTTTCTTTACTTCTTCTCTTCTGCGACTGCACCTCACCACTGTGACCTTGATTTTTATTATTATTATTATTATTTTTACCCACCATATTCACTTTCTTTCCCTTCATTGTGTCGGTCTTCTCAAGATCCAAGTTACCACTCCAGCACTTTCAACATCACTGCACAGTACAATTCCTCGCACTTGACTTGGCAGATATCTGCCTGGTCCAGTAGCAGTTGTCGCTCCTCAAGGTTTCACGACGACTTCCTTGACGTCTACGAGTCCTTCTGTTCGCCATCGTACTTCCTGCAGTCTCACCTTGCACTCTTTTCTAACCTAGTATTGCCACAGCGTCCCATTCGTTGCTACAAAACACAGTCAGCATGAGCGATCAAGAGGTCAAGGCCCCCGAGGCTGTCGATGTTCAGATGCCTGACACCACCACCGAGCTCCAGCCTGATGCCCAAGTCGACACCAAGACCGATGCAACTGAGCCTGAGACTGAGCCCAAGCCTGAGTCTAGCACCACTGAGGAAAAGCCCTCCGAGGTGGCACCAGATGCCCAGGATGATGGCAAGACCGATAGCCAGGGGCCTAGCATTAACAACCCACCCAAAGACATGCTCAAGGTTAAGCGCCCTGAGACCACCAAGAAGGGCAAGACTGGCAACAAGTTTGACGTCTCGGACCTTCCAGAGACTGATGATCCTGACTTGATCCGCCGCCAGGTAAGCCTTCTGCTATGCAGAACTGACTCGACATTTCTAACTTTCATCCCAGATCCAATTCTACTTCAGCGACAGCAATCTCCCGACTGACAAGTTCCTGTCTGATCTCACTGGTCTGGCCGAGAACAAGCCTGTCCCTCTCAAGACCATCTGCTCCTTCAAGCGCATGCGCCGCTTCCAGCCTTACTCCGCCGTTGTCGCTGCCATGAAGGAGAGCAAGGATCTTATTGTCGACGGCCCTGAGGGTGAGGAGACTCTCCAGCGGAAGAAGCCCTTCGATCCTACAAGACGTACCAAGATCGACGAGCGAAGCGTCTATGTCAAAGGATTCGGTGAGGAGGGCCAGTCAACTCAGTTGGATATCGAGGCCTTTTTCACACAGTTTGGCGAAACCAACTCCGTCCGCCTTCGACGTGGAGACGATGGCGGTTTCAAGGGTTCCGTCTTCGTTGAGTGGGCCGACCAAGAGGCGGCCGACAAGTTCATGGCCCTCGACCCTCAGCCCAAGTGGAAGGATCACGACATGCTGATTCTCCGCAAGCTGGTCTATCAGGAGCAGAAGAACGAGAAGTTCCGAAACGGAGATGGAGAGCTTTCTGGACCTAGACGTGGTCGTGGCAACTTCAGAGGTGGCCGTGGTGGTAACCGTGGTGGCTCTGATAACTGGAAGGATCGTCGGGATCGTGATCAGAAGAATGGCCACCGGGACCAGCGCGGCCGTGGACGTGGCCGAGGTCGGGGTAACCGGGGCCGAGGCAGAGACCATGGTGGCTCGCGTCGAGACCAGGAGGATGAGAAGCCCAAGGTCCAGCCTAGCGGTGACGGCAGGCCCAAGATCCACACCAGCGAGGACAAGCCTTCGGAAAATAAGACCAATGGCAAGCGTACTCGCGACGAAGACGGCCAGGGGGCTCCTCCTGCCAAGAAGGTTGACACCAAGGAGGCTGCTACTGAGGCATCATGAGCAATACAAAGCCGTTTATAAGACACTTGGGATTGCCGATATACTCCGGATCTCGTGATTCCCAGAGCGCGGGCACCCACATCGACTTCACGTCTTACTCCTTCTTTACCACGTCGCTCTTATGAGCTTGCTTGATCACATTCTACACTATCAAAAGTAGCAATCACAGGACTCAGGAAAACGGCATTCAGCGGATCATGGCGTTGCGGTTTGTTTTTGTTCACCGTTCATAGAAGATGATACTGGTAATGGAAGACAGGATCGATCGGGCAATATTTCGATATTTTGTGTACTCGTCGATTGCGCCACTTATTTGGACAGGTCTGTCACCAAGTTTGGGATATGAAATTACACACTTATACACTATGCTTGTTTCAAGCCCACCCTGTCCGTGCTACAAGCAACCAAATGGTTATTTCCCACGACGTGATTTGAAGCCTACTTTACACTTGTGGTACCCCTAATCGCAACTCGCATGCTCACTTGTGCCGACCCGTAGCAGGGGCCATCTCTCACCCAGACGTGCATTACAGGAGTTTGGGCCGGGGCGATTCAAGATTCCCCGTTGTTCGCGTAATTGGCAGGGTTGAAACCAGTCAGGCACGATTGACCTGATTTCCACTCGCCATCCTGGGTCCGCAAGACCTCCATCAGCGGCAGATTTATACATACCCACCGGCTAAATACAACGACCATGGAATCTGTGCTGATCTGCAAACCACTATCTAGTATAAGTATGAGTGATGGCTTCAGTACTGTGAATTGCACAAACAGCTATCGGAATCTGTTAGACTCGCCAATCCCGAGAACCGTTGTAGTCGCTATCCCTCGGAGTCGTGGTAGACTGTTCTCCTCAGTCACAATGAAGAGACTTCTATCCTTCTTCATTATCCTTGTGATCTGGACTACACAAGTCCTCGCCCATTGGAATTACAACAACTTGATCATAAACGGCAAAGTTGCTGGAGACCCTTACCAATACGTCCGCCGGACCAACAATTCCAACGCACCTCTACAGATTGTTAACAGCACTGACATGCGTTGTAACGCTGGTGCATCGCTCGGTACATCCCTCAACACCAGCACCTTGACCATAAACGCAGGCGACGAGCTCGGCTTCGTCATTGAGTCTACTTTCGGCCACCCCGGCATCCAGCAAGTTTACCTATCCCGTGCCCCCGATGGCGTGAACGCTGCGGACTACGACGGCAGCGGGGATTGGGCCAGGATTTATGCCGTGACGACGCTGGCCAACTCGACCTTGGGAGACGAGGGCCTGGTCTGGGCCATGCGGCGAACGCATTCGTTCAGGTTCCCGCTCGCTCGCAATGTCCCGCCGGGGGAATACCTACTACGGGCCGAGGGGTTGGCACTGCATGCCGCGCACAAGCTCGACTGCGCCCAATTCTACGTCGGATGCGCACAGGTCAGAGTCGTCGGGGACGGGACCGGGGTGCCGGCTCCCTTGGTCAGCATACCCGGAGTCTACAGTGATACGACACCTGGCGTGCTGATCCCCGACTTCTGGACAAGGATCACGAACTACACTGAACCAGGTCCCGAGTTATGGCCACCAGGTACTCAGACGCAACATGTTGTGAAACAACTGGATTCCTGAGTATGGGGGTTGGGAGGCAAGCGCACAGCTGCCGAGCCACCTCGGCATTCAACTATCCGTTGTTGTCGTTATTATGGTCCATATGGATACTAGCTCAGTATCCAATAGGGATATAGCGCAGCCATGTTAACCTCTTATTTCCGTCTTTTAAATTGTCTATTTCTCCAACTTGTACCTGCACACAAATTCAAATGAGTGAAACAGAATATCACATTTGCGATTCAAGGGTAGACATAGTGTCTAATTGTCCCACAGGATGAACCAAAGCTCATGTTGTGTGATCTTGAAGGATTTGTGGAATCATCGGATCGTTCGGTTTAGGACTGTCGTTGATTGCTGTCGGGAGAACTTTGAAGATTTCCTAAACGGTCGGATTGTTACTTACCCTGGTCTACACTCTGCGCCAAGGCGTTATGGTGAGAGTATGGAGCCTTAATGATGACCAATGCTAGGTGTTATACATTGAAGCAGGAGATGACGTTATTCATTAGTTCTCATTTATTGCGAAGGAGCATTATGCTCAATTCTTAAGACAGGCATCGTTCCGTTGAGGGCTGCAGGATTGCGTTATGCTCAGCTCCATAACACGACCACCTCAAGTTGCGGTGACCAAACATATATCTGCAACCAGGTTACTAAAAATTATCGCCCATAAGTACTCAATGCATGCCAGCCATAATCATTAAGAGCATCGATTTGTAATCCACGCATATCTATAGGGGCAATAGGAAGATATCGTGATTAAATAGAGAGCTTTGTCGCGATACTGATGTTTGACTTGATTGTCTACATCGTCAGTCGTGAGAGCAACATACAATTTGTGACACCAAGGAACGGAAGAGCATAATGAGCAGTGGATATTTCCCGCACAATGGCTCCGACCTGTTTTACACAGTCCAAGGGCCTGACTCTGGGATCCCGATAATCTTGTTACATGGTTGGACTTGTGACCAAACCGACTGGGTGTTCCAAATTCCGCTCCTCCTCACCCAGCGGTTCCGCGTCCTCGCCCTCGACCTCCGTGGTCACGGCCGCAGCACCGTCCAAGACAACGTGTCTGAATTCGACCCGATAACGCTGAGCGACGATGTCACCGCCCTGGCCCGTCACCTCAACGTCAGCGCCGACAACCCGGCCATATTCTTCGGGCACAGCCTTGGGTGCATCATCGCATCAGAGCTGGCCGCGCGGCATCCTGAACTCGTGCGGGGTCTGGTGCTCGTGGACCCGTCATACTTCATGACGCCCACGCTCATGACCAGCCTCGCCGAGCAGCTCAGGCGAGACCCTGCCGACGCGCCACAGCTCTCTACGGCGTGGCTCGAGAACGCGGGTGTCTATTTGAGTGCGCCGGATTGGCTGCCAATATGGAACAAAGTCCGGGCCTGGGGCATCGAGCCGCGCGTAGTCGGCGAGACATGCCTCGGGCTGATAGAGCGCTTGGGGGCTTCTGGTTCCACATATCTGAAGAGCGTCAAGGCTACCAAGGATCCGATCCCGCGCTTAGTTGTGGCTGCTTCTCCGGGCGGTATCGATGTAGAAAAGGAGGCGGGGGTCGATGAGACTTATGATCGTGTTGAGTTGCTGCAGGCTGGTCATTGGCTGCACAAGGTCAATCCGGAAGGATTTAACGCTCTTTTGGAAAGCTGGCTGAGGCAATGGGGATATTTGCCTACGTACTCGGCTTAACTAATTAGATATTGCGTTTCGGATAAGCGAGCTACTTGTGTAGTGGTATGGTGAGGATCTAAACCCATATAAATACCCCGGGTTTCTCCTTACTCGAATCTCGTACTATCCATAGTTTTCTATTAAAAGTTTGGATTTATGGATTTGACTACCGCAACAAATATCTATAAGCTAACTTTATATGCCTATATTTACTTATGACGAGTGCAGTCTCCTGAGCTGATGCCTTTATGTGGTAAGCTTTTCATAATTCCACAACTAAGGGTAAACCTTCTATGAACATTTTATGAATTAGAGTCGGTCTAGATTGATCCAATCAAGCTGTTGGTTTTGTTATCGTTTGTGTAGCATAGTACCACTAGTCGTACCTCCATTCTCCTTATATCATACTGTGAGGGAGACTGAAAGTCGGAATGCCCCTCGTTGGTGTATTCAGCATTTAGAGTATCGAAATCCAAATGCAGTGCCACTAAGCGGTCGGATTTCCATTCCAAGTCACAATTCTGTTGAACGATTATATTGGACGCGAATGTACACCCACGATATAATCTACCAAGAACTTATTGTCCAGCGGCAAATGGACTTCTCTTCCTCAATTTCTCTCCGAAGAACCACAGCATGATCGGACTCGGCCATCCAATCACAATGGCCAGGAATGCTAGAAGTGTATTGCCCCAACCAAGTCCCAGTCGGTCGTATAGGCTTGAAGCAAAAAGTGGAAAGCCGAATCCAGCAAGCGAACGCAACACCGTCGCTGCACCAACGGCGCTTGCGGCATACCGAGTGTAAGTGTCGACCAAGAATGTCTGAACGCACTGGAATCCGATGATTGTTCCGGCAGCAAAGATACATGCTCCAATATTGGGCCCTATCCAGTGTGTTTTGTATTCGGCGGTCCAGCCGTAGATGAGCAGCCCCGATGGGACGAGAATGGCACCGGGCACCATCATTGGCACACGGTATTCAGGTCGTCCAGGACCACCGTTTCGTCGCTTCAGGCCCGCGTATACGCGGTCCTGCAGGGGCGCACAGACTTGTGCACCTAAGAAAAAGCCAAGACCCAGTGAGATATAGTTCAGACCGCTTATGCCAAGACTCTCCCCATAACCAGCCGGAGCGGGCGAGGCCCACAAGCTCGGGAATGACACTAACACAATGTACATGAGACCGTAGAGGAACATCATGTACAGCGAGAGCGCCTGTAAGATGACCTGGGTTCCTAAGAGCTTGAAAGGTCGTACGAAAGCTATCCGCAGAGTCTTGCCCAGTGTTCTGTCCGGGTGGTCGAATGGCGTGTGTAAGTTTTCGTTTCCAGTTTCTTTCATGAGTTTTTTTCTTTTCCATGCCAGAAGGACCGGAACATAGGTTTCTCGTAAAAATATGAGACCGGAGACCTGGATAACAGCATCGGCAATCGTAGTAGCATAGAATGTCCACCGCCAAGTTGTATTTTGAGTCACAAAAGCACCAACTGCAAGATGAAATTAGTCGCAAATACTGGATTTTTCTTCTCACTGTTCTACTTACTGATAGGTCCAATGGCTGGTCCAAGAAGAGGACATAGAGAGTACAGCGATATCGCCTTGCCTCTTTCCTCGGCTGTGAATAAGTCTCCAAGGACCCCGCCACCTATAGCCAGAGGGGCAGAGCCACCCAGACCGGAAAGAAACCGGAAAGCTATGAGTTGACCTTTAGTGCGGGCCAGTCCGCAACCGAGGTTGAAGAACAAGTAAAGCACATTTGTCGACTGGAGTACGAGCATTCTTCCATATATCTCGGATAACGGACCCCAACTACAAGACGTGGTTAGTCGGAACTGGCGTGGGACAAAGCACAAACTTACGCTAACGGACCAATGGCGTATGCAAGAACGAAGATGGACAGGATTATAGCTTGTTCAGTTCCTGCAGAGACACCAAACTCCTCCCCGATGGTCGTCAGAGCTGGTGCAACCATTGACGACGAAAGAGGTGATATTAGAGTGAATGTCGACACGGCGAACACTGTAAGCCATTTTCTGCTAGATATCCAATTCTTAGGGTTCTCGGGGTCATCGGGTCCTATCCAAGTAACGAGGTCCGGGTCATTAGGGTCTGGTGCTGTCGTTGTTATCTTCTGCTGCATCGGCTGACCTAGTTCGGGGTCTCGCCGGCTTTCTACGCCATAAAGATTATCTGACACAGTCCGGGAGAGTGCCTGTGATCTTGATGTTCTCCTTGACCTAAAGCTTGGGCGGCCGCTGAATGAAGAGTCACTAGAGGAGCCACCATCATTGTCGTCGTCAGAAGAGGAAGACGATGAGTATTTTGGGTTGCTCTCTTGTTTTTCGATCTGTCCAAAATCCTTGGCAGCGCTCTCTATATTGACTGTAACGCCAACCTGTGTTGACGACGCATTAACGTCATCTTGGACTTTTTCTCTTAGTTGAGATTCTTCGCCTAGAGTTATGTCCTTCATGGCCTTTTCTGCACTTTAAAAAATGAAAATGATTATAATGGCGGCTTGGCAAAAATGAAAAGAGGCGAGGATCTCCAACGCAAAAGATATATACGTGATATCCGACTGATTGATAATAGTGTAGACTGTGGATCTAATCTTTGGCCGAAACACGCTTGAAAGTCTTTGATGTGCCGGATATCTATACATAAACAATCTGTAGATCTTCAGCAAGGTCTCCTTCCTCAAATGTGGGAATAGGACACTTCAAGAACAGAGGCATATGTGAGTCACTTCGCCAACGAACATATGGTCGATATGAAGCCAGAACGATCAGTAGAGCCGTCAAATGTATCCTACTAGCCAAAGTGTGGCCTTTTCTAAGTTGCACGCGAACAACTGCTGCATAGTGACATGCTTGACTTGACCGTCCGGAACCGACAGCCGTGACGGACAAGGGATTCTTTTTGAATGCCGAGAGCGGGTCAGGTAAAGCCCAATCATAGGAGCCACGAAAAAAAAGACTGAAATTTGGAAGAAATCTTGCTGCTGTTGTCTCCACCTTTCGAGCTGTTCGAGCCGGACTTAAGCGGTGTTCGTATATAATAGTGGAGGCGCTGTACACTGCCGGAACCGAACCGGCGATGATACAGCCGTATCATTTGGAGTTGCTTTCAACTTGTTGGGTGGTGGCCTACTCATGGTATGTACTCGCGGTTATTCATCATTGAACAGTTGTATGGTATCCTTTTCTTTATCAAAAAGAAAGAAGGTATACTACCATGGCAAATTCAAACGTTGGAACGACCATGAACAAAGCCGAGTCGTTGACAAGTAGATCTGCCTTCCATCAGCATTACTATTTTACACAACTTCAAGTCGTGGTTACCCTGACTTAACCAGAACTGACGATTGAAATTATCGCATTTGTTCCATCTAGAAACTTAGGTGCAGATATCCACTTGCACTTAACCGCAGAAGTACCATCATCGTTATGCTATGACAGGTCTCTCAATGCGTTGGCCATGGCCAAACCAACAACAGAACTGCTGATGCTGTGCTTTTGACGACTACTTACTTCTTTCAGTTCGGCATGGGAAAATACGAGATAATATTTGAACCTGCATCCTTACGAGTAATACCGATTTCGCGATTTGCGCTTCTCGCGAGGCTTCAGCATTGATTGCTAAAGTCCGTCGAGTCCTGACCAATACCCAAGTGGCATGATCTAAATGTGAGACTGGAGTAGTCAAGGAAGTTCGTGGCGTTGAACCACGTTTCACGTTTCATGTCAGACAGATAATTCCACATGACATATTGCTCAGCATAGGGTCTGAATGGTATATCAAATTGTGAGCAAGAGTCAACGCATCCTCGACAACATGAGGCTTGGCAGGAACGAAAGCATCGCGGACGTAAAGGGTGTTTGTCGAGCTATTATGCATGGTATTTGCCTCCGTGAAGTAGTGGGGTTTTGCAGGCTTGATGGCGGCGCTCAGGGTCTGAACTGCGACGGTAAGAAGCAAGAACAAGACCGTGGAAGGCTATATGGAGGATAGTCAAAGATGGCCCTCGGTTGGTGGGGGCAGTAAAGGAAGCACGAGAGCAGGAATATATGAGGACTATGAGCTACCCTACTCGACTAGTTGCTTGGAGTGGTTTGTTGAGATGAGGCGTGGTTTCGTGGAGGCTCATTCTTATGGATTTATTAGCAGCTCTAAACGTACAGTGAATTTGTAATTGGGATGGCGAGTGCCTGAAACAATTTTCTTTTGCTAGCAAATTGGCCCTCAAATATATGGGGAATGCACAGGTCACTTTTTGTGTTCACAGAAACATTCAATTATGAACACACTTACGATTTGTTGAATTCTTTGCGAGTAAGAAGAATAGTGCGAAGCTCGGGATCCTCTGTCAACACAGGCGTGTCTTGTATAAAAAGTTGACTACGACTGAGCGAGTATAATTTCTATGGTCAGAATCAAATCATTTTGGAGTGACGATACCGGCATCGTACAAACAGTATGTCTCTGAATAGCTGAAGATTTTGTGTATAAGTGTCAGCTTCTGAGAGACCTCGTATCACTTCTCGTAGCCCTTGCAAACCACATGTTTCAGATATTACCCTTCCCGCTAAACTCCTCGCATCCAATTTGAAAATCACCAACAGAAACCCACCCATCTATGCTATTTCGAAATATAAGTCAACTCCTGGTGTCGCGGTCCCCGCGCATATTCACACTTTTTGTATATAGTCGTCATCATAATCATTGTGCCTCGTCAGTCCAGGCCATTAAGGGAGTCCCAACCGTTCATAGAATTCGGCAGATTGTTCAAGCTGTCAAAGTCAAAATTGTTCACGCCTGGAGAACGCTGTGAGTTTGGACTTCCCGGGTTCCCCGCATTCCCCGTATTGCCGGTGAATGTGAAAATAGAGGAGTCGCCCAAAGCATTACTGCTAGAATTGGCTGCATTGCCCAGATTCCACGCATCGAAGCCTGATTGCCAGTTGACGCCATCCTTAATGTACCAGTCACTGCCATCGACAGCATAAGCAGAAGCAGAACTAGGAGTCGCGTTTCGAGTGCTAGTTTGTGTAGTACGGCCGGAACTTGTGTTGTTTGAGACTGGGGCATATGAACGAGCATAACTGGGAATGGCTCGCGTCACCGGAGGTTCGCGCCAGGTTTGGTTGTTCATTCGATTGACCTCCAGACCCACCAATGCCGCATTGTTGATGCCTTGTAAACCGGGAATCCTGGCAAATTCAGTAGGCGATGTGGCCAATCCGCTGAAAATGTCTTGGGACATGGTTGATCCTGGAGCTATTGGGCCATTGGAAGTCGTAACAGGCCGGGCGGAATGGTTTACGGGACTGTATTGCTCCTGCTTTGCTGCAGGCGACGGTCCTCCAATGGCCGGCGGTGACGGCGATGTATTCATATGGGATCGTGGCGAGGGTACGTCTGATGTGTTGAAAGTTCCCCATCTTTCATCTGTGCGCTGTAAAACGTGAGCAGCCTCTTCAGGCAACTCCACATTCCATTTACGTGCGAGGACACTGATGATGCTTAGTGTACGACGACCGCACAGCCAATCTTCTGCAATCTCTTCTAGCGCTTTTACACCATGTATGATGTCCCTTTTGGCGGTCTTCTCCGGGAGGTTCAGCAGATGAATGGTACAAGCCGAGTGTATCATATACACTGCAATGTTGCAAATTTGACGCAAATTATAGAGCTTCTTGTATAGTCGCATTAGTTTGGAGATTGCTCCAGCATTTGCAGTGCATATTCTGCGTGGCGAGACATGTGGTGGCAGAGGCGACGCAGATGGCACATATTTGAGGAATGGTCGAAACAGATGGATATATTGGAGGTGGAAGAACATGCTTGCACAAGTTAGCAGGTAGTAGAGTGTGTGAGATCCAGCATTACTTACTGCATAAGGATTGCATGTGGTAATTGGCCTTCCTTTGGCTCAAGCTCAATCGGCAGTTCTTTCCGCCATTCTTCGAGGCGCCGATGCAACTCGCTGAGTTTTTTCAATTCGATCGATTTGCCACTTGACCTGCCAATATGGTTTGGGTGATAGAAGAAGAGTAGCAAATCGCCACTAATCTCACATAGTTTCGATAGCTCGAGACCGATTGCCCGTGTCCGTGATGGTTGCTTGGATGTCTGATCTGATCCAGTGTCCGTGTAAGGGGACCATTCTTCGGCATCCTCGTCGGGAAAGACGTCGTATTTAGGAACATTGTAGCAGCCCTTTGGCAGCTGGGGAAGACGTCCAAGATAGTTAGACCAGCATTTATCAAACAGAAAACACCCCCAAAAGGTCATCCTTCGCGCATCCATCTCCGTCTCATCCAATTGCTCAGTTCCTGTGTTAAAACCCCCTATGTCAAGATTGAGGCCCAGGTCCTGGGCCATTCTGAAACTCATACCACTATAGACCCAACCTTTGGCCTCCCGCCCGCAACCAGCTTCTCTTACAGACATGAGAGCTAATGCTTGAACGGTTGTTAATCTGGGTTTCTCGTACTCGTCATGTTCGACAATCAGTCTTTTGGATTCAGCAAAGAAATGGTCGCCTTTGGTCCAGCTGTCTTCTGGAATGGCATATGCGCCAGCCACATTCGTAAAATGACACCCAAGAGCAAGCATGGTATTGACCAGTAACGACGAGCAGTACGTTGTTTTGTGTAAAACGCCATGTGGCTTGCCCCTGAAAAAGTCCCGGTAGAATAGAGTCTTGGACAATGTCGCAAAGTAGGAGTAATGCCAGGTGAAATACATGTTCAACAGATGCACAACGAGCTCCGGGTCCTTCGTGACCTCTGACCAACTCGTTATAGGGTCCAAGTTCAAGTCCATATCCGAAGGTTCGGGTTCCGGATTCGGCACAGTCGGATTGCCCAAGTATATCAAGTGCGACGTTCCGCCAATGAACCGTACGGAGCCATTTTCCAATCTCAACTCACCCATCTTCCGGGCCAAGTCTCTTTCCCCTTCTACGGGCGAATCGGTGGTATAGTTTTCCTCCAGTATTTCGTTGTCATCAGCTTCTGGGTTACCGACTCCTTCTTTCAGGATCGCCTCGGCTACAACATCAAGGCTGTCGCATGTCCGAATTCTTCTTACAATTTCTGGCACTTCATCCTCGGTGGCGTTCAGAATCGCTTCGATGAGTATCTGGAGGGTTGAGTTACGCGCCTTGGAGCTGTCAATTTTCTCACGATACACACCCTTTCGCCGGTGGTCTGAGTTAGGATCGTATACACATTCGGTCCCATAAACACTGGCGCAAGCAGCGCAACTTGGCAGAGCGCCATCGCATTTGCTCTTTCGCTTTCGACACGCTATGCAAGCTGTTGATACACATCGTCGCTTCTGTAGGGCGGGATCACCACCCCGTCTGGTCTTCTTTTTTGTCGGAGGAGCGGCATCGCTTCGAGGGACATTCGGCTTGACGGGTGGCTGCTGTTGCAGCGAGGGTGAGGCGAGCGATGCCTCCATACTGGGCTCAGACTCAATAGCGCCTCACCGGCCCCTATGTTAAGGCTATACCTGACAGTTGTCGAGGCTCTCGGACTGTAAGGGGATCGGTTTGTGGGTTGCGGTTGCGCCAGTTTTGCAGTGGTTGAGGCTGATCTGATCCACTATTCCATTTGCCAGTAGTCAGGTGGTCAAAGGAGCAGAGCAAAAAAGGATAGACACACGACAGTCAAAGGGTTCTACTGATAGATGAGGGGTTTGATGAAAGGGTGCAGTGTGTGGCGTTCAGTGAAGTTTAACGGGGGAACTCTGTCTGGTAGATTTTCGGTCTCGTCTCATGATGACAATTGTTGGATAAGAAGACGGCGACGGCCTGCGAGGGGGCGCCGTGGAAGAGGGCGTTGGGAAGGCTGACAATAGCGCGATAGATAGGCCACGGCGTGGGCGTGGGATGTCTCCGAATGTGACACAGCGCAAGTCTAGATTGATCACTAAGCATTCCAATTGACGAACATCATGCATGGCATCTGATCTGAACTGGCATGGGCATGGCAGAGGCATTAGGACTTCTGGGCATACAGCTGAAAGAAATTGGGAATCTCCGGGGCCGGCGTCTCTGCCCCGCGATGGGGTGCTTGCTGATGTTTCATGGAATATCAGTGGTCTTGTCTAAACTTAAAAATAAAATACAAAATACTCTATCATACATCTGTATGGTTATCGATTCGTGGATCAAGGCTCGCCCTATGCAAATACTTTATTAGAAAGAAATCCGTGTACAACAAAGATATGATCAGTCCATACGTAATATTTTGCTTGATAGACCGCTTGGCCATTAAAGCTTAAGCTCATGGTTACAAAGCAAACTCCCGGGCCACTCGCTGCAGTATTCCGTTCGACCCCACCATCATATCCGCCTATCAAACCCTCTCAATTTCCAAGTCTATCTCGTTGAAATTGAATCTTGATTACGATTGCGTACACGTTGGCTCGCCAGAATCCGTCTGGAGCTGATGCAAATGATCTAATTTCTCATGGGGCTGATAACGAACTCCTATAACCACTAGCTATTGGGCATTGTACTTGGTATGTTTCACAAAAAACCCAGGACATTCTACCGCAGGCCAATCAGAGCAGCTAGATAAGGACTGACCATGCATGGTACATGTATACAGGCACATCTTTGTCGAATTGGACAGTAATAGACGTCATCAGGCGTTCAAAAGGGATGTGGGATGCACTATCGAGTAGCGTAACCACCTGTATTGCAACACAAGGCTGCAGTTTAGTATCATTACACCGGGTGCATCGTGACAGGGGAACTCCACGCAGCGCAGCGGGATGCCCACAGATAACAAAAAGATAAGCGGTACAGCACTTTATGATTCAGAGAGGCCTCACTTCGCAAAAGCAATGACCATAACAATAACAATGACGACGTGATCAGATCATCACAAAATTGGAAATTTCAGATAACGGGACTCTGCATTGTCTGAAACTTCAACAACAGCCACTTCTAAATGCATGCCCGAGGAGACTTTGCCTATAGTACAATCATCGCGGTTGGCAACGGGCAGAGATAGGCTTCACCCATATATTTATTATAATTTGAACACCCAAGACGAAATTATTAGATACTGCTGATAGACACGTCTCGTATGGTAATCAATAGTAGTCTATTGGTATGGAGTGTGGTGTGACGGTGAGGAACAGAGCTATCCTCTGTTCCACTGAAGGCTACCTATAGTGGTTGCCCTATGTGTGTACTTGAGGTATCAGGTTAAGACCTGAGGCATCTACTAACTACTCCAGAATATCCGCAACCATAGTCTGCACTCCATGTGTACTCCTTTGAGCTACGGTCCGTGGCATGATGGTGATATCATGATTGGCGGAGTCTGATAGCAGCTTACCAAGATGTAAAATGCGCTATGAATCATATTGAATGAAGATTGTCCTTCGGGACACGTATGTCCTTATACGTTGCGGAAGATAATCAGACATTGAAAATTCCGGATGATATGATATGAGAAATCAGATTCAGTAAGGATGTTCTAGCACCGCTTTAGCTGGCCGATTTCGACTTTCAATAACGAGACCTCCACATCTTTGTCAAAGCTACCAAGAGAAATCAAAGACTTCATTCCCACATTAAATCGATAGTGAACAAGTGATTTTGCCATGTTATAGGGTTATTGAATTATAGACCAACACCAGGTAAGTGATGGAGCGCGTGAAGGAGAATCCCGTGTGCGTTGTGGCAGACAGCTTTGCAATTATGGTCAAATATCAATAAACAGGTCGAACGATGGATCTTTACCATATGTGGCTATGTTAAGAATGACGACTCGTGACTTGAAGCTTTATCAGGAATATGGCTTAGGAAGAAGGCAATCGGTACTGCCCTTGCTGAGGCAGTATATCTCTCCTGTGCTATACAATCTGGCGACAACAATTGGGTCCGTCAGTCCGAAACGCCGGGTATCATAATAACCACCCCTTCAGACTCCATGTCTCTCAGGATTTTGAGATAACCATACGATATGGGCGACCGAGGAACCTCTCCGACTTGCGTTAGAGTGAGAACCCCGAGTCAAGTTGGAAGCTAACAATTGGAAGTTCAGACCGCATGATGGCACGATCTCTACACAGCATCGCGCTACTCCCCGTTTATGGATATACATTAAATTGAAGAGATTGATATACGTCTCTGATAATAAGCCGAAACTTACTCAATTTTCATGCCGCTCCATCTACTTACACTTGAATATCTCTGATTCCAACGGCGTCACCGGATATCGTTCTTCCCAGCATCCGTGATTACATCGCAGAAACATGACACTGTTCCTGCTTCCGGAACTGGCTGTGGTTAGTTGCTTCTGTCAACGCAAGACGGCAATTCACAACGGCATCATCAATATGTCCTGAAAAACAGCAGTTTGGCGTGGCTTTGCGGAATCTTCTCAAGATCAGGCGGCTGTGTTTGACGACAAGGACCAGGTCAGTTCAACATGCCTCAGTGTATGTATGGAGCGCGGAGGGCTCCAAGAGGGTGTCGTTTTCATGGCGTGGTATGGCTACCCTGTTCGCAGCATGATCACCTACTCCACGGGATGATGCAGGGCGATCTCGGCTGATAATAGAGCATTATGATGGCAATGGAAAGGGACAAGAGAGCTGTGTTGCTACGCAGATCACTCCGAAGCAAATTTCTTATGCACGTATGTCTGATACGAGGCTTCGGCCGCGCTTCTAAAACATCTGCTACTTTCACAAATTGATGAACACGGTACCACTTCTATGCTATTTCGGAGTCTTACTCTCTGAAAGCAGTACACCGGGATTGTGCGTCAGGGCATCAAACTCACAAAAACCGACCCTATAACAGACATGCCCCAAGGTGTTCTGAAATATGTTGTTTCAGCGTATCTAGGGGTAGCATTGGCTGTGTTCTGCTCTAAGTCGAATGTTTGTGTGTTACCATACCTATACCGCAGGTAATGCTGCCAAGCCTGGAGATAGCAAGGGGTCCCTGGTATATTCATCAAACATGAAGAGAATACACTTTTCAGAAAAATGAAGGCTGGCTATCTGTCAAAATTTTGGTGCTAGGTAGTTCAAAAACCGGCTGCAGCCAGCGTCATATATCAATACTGTTGATTTGTCCTTTTCGTTTTGTGAACATCGAACTTATAGGGTTACTGGATGTGGGCCATCGTAATGTTAGTCTCATTACTTATGCTGTACTGTAGAAACCTATAAAACTGATCCAACACCCTTCTAGAACGTGCCGAATGTTCAAAGGCGATGTAGACCCCTGTCGACCATCAACGTGGCACCTGTGATCGATGTCAAAGTTCGGACGAGGTTCGATCCGTAAATAAAAATAAAAGTAGTTTGATCAGCTGGAGGGATAATATCATTAATCGACTGTATTTCTCCGAGAATAATAAGTGTTTGATAGCTGATAATATGGGTTCAAGCTGAGCACGGACGGGAGATCCCCCATAATTGGGCGATCCGTTTGCGGGACAGAACTTTCCAGACAAGAATTGTGTTGAATATCTATCCTGTGAACGATATCGACCGTGCAAAATCCAAGCTCAACTTTACTTGAAATGACGTGAAAAGGGTCGTCTGTGACATTAGACGTCCCATTTGCTGTTCGGCAATCAGTTTGAACAACCACAAAAAGATACAAAGCAACAAAGCAATGTCTGCGCGCATACACAATAGGCCGCCACCGACTGCGTCTACATTTGACCTTGGTCCAAGACAACCGAGCAGACCAGTTATCTGGAAGAGCTATCAGCCAATAATGACAAGTTCCAACAAATGTTGATTAATGGAATCTACTTGCTTTACCTTTGATACTCGCCACCACAATAGATTACATTTCATGGTCAAGTGATGGTCAATCAACATCCTTTCCTGGACTGCAGGCTGGTTGTCATGTGCTTAGATACAGTCTCCAAGCTGCAGTCGGGCGCTTCTTTGAGCTTATGTGGTAATCAATGTTGACTCTACAGATTATCAATTGACGATCAATGGAGCGACGGTCCGACATGCTGTAAGGAAATAGTTCGGATCAGAACTGAGCACCCCCTGGATCCTGCGTGTTTGTGGTACAATACGACCCCGCAAGCTCTGCTTTCCACTCAAATACATTGTCTGCACCCCAGACCAATGTCTGCCGACGGACCCTGAGGCTCCCTTCCCGGAGGATGGCCAAATTTGGATGCAACACCGCTGTCTCAGAGCTTGGGAGGGTAGTATTTCGATCAAGCTTAAATGAAAAGCATGAATAAGCCTCCATATGGCTTGCAACTCCATTGCATGGTGGAGTATAGGGTGCGGAATGTCAGTGAGACGCAGTGGTACCTAGGCGGAAGGTAGAAGGGTTGCATATTCCCCGAGAATCCGGGGAACCCTACAAAGCATAGAATAGATGAGATGAAGCGATGTTCAATACCACTGAGACTGCACAGGAACGAGAAGAAGGCTGTTGACCAGAAGCTCCT